AACAGAACACAACATGAATACACCAATTCACATCAATGAACCGAATACACGTAATGTCTGACAGTTGCTGCTAAGCATATCAACCAAACACGGACTAATTAGAGGGCCCCGCCGTTGGGTAAAGAAATGGCGCCTATTGCGTCGACTTGATGGCAATAAACTAAGCCTTATCTCTAAGCCGGGGGCCGAAAATACCTATCGCGAAGCGCATACCCCGAAATTCAGTGGACACTAGGCGATAGCATCTCAGACTGAGACGCGTTTGTCGCGCAGTTCACGACACGCAGAAGGTAGACCCGCTCTCAGCTTTCGGTAAACCTTTTTTTATAACATTCTTTGATAGGAAAATCGCCAGGAGCAGGGCTTACTAGATCTGTGTGACATGATAATCCAGATTGGAGCGATTGATGTCAGACAGGGCCAATAAGGCCAGAATATAGAGCCTGCTCTACCGACTGCACAATGCCTTGAGGATCGATTCTCTACGTCTCTAGTAGTAGCTCGTTCATAATTACAATACCTCTCGATTATTGAACCGTCACATACGCATCCAGATCAAGTCATTTGCTCAATACTGTCAATGGAGTTTAGGTGCTCCTCAGTTTCTGTTGCCTTCATAACGCACACAGCTTCCATTCTCGTCTTATGTGCGAACAATAGCCTCCAGGTAGCTGTAACTCACTTCGGCACGCTGGGATCAATATTTTTCCTAGTCAACTATTTAGTTCATTTGCCTGTGAATGCCCATAATACAGGGGCAGCGCACACTTGTTTAGTCCGGGATTTCGCAGTATCGGAGTGGGTCCGCATCCATGAGCACAACGAAGTATCAAACAGCCTCACTGAACTGTCATCATGCACAGCTGAAAGTCGGGCCCGAACCGTGCTCCCGCTGGGCGAATTAACGGCAATTTGTATCCGCTGCGTCATGTTGCGCTATAAAGGCTTGTATGTCACAGACTGGGACCCGCGGGACCCGGAATTGACGGCCCCTTGGCAAAGCACCGATATTGACTACATAGAGCGGAATAAAAAAGCGTCTAGCAATAAATAGCCTAAGTTACCGCACTTCTCGAAGTCCTTGCATATTCAACAGCGGTTTCGAAGCACCCGGCGATATAAAACATCACCCCTCCGAACCTAATCTGAGACCTATAGCCGCCATATTTCATCATGTTCGAGAAACTCAGTCTCCGAATTCCGTACCCTCCACCACAAGAAGGATTTTGGGGACAGCCAACTTCCACTTTAAACTGGTGCGAGGAAGTGAGTTGTTCCCATTATCTCTGATCTTCGGCGTTGCCGCAATTCTTTCATCCATCAGTTCATAGCTAATACACACCAGGACTATGTCATCAGCCATTACGCTGCGGAAATCACCAACACTTTGACCAACCTGTTATTCATGGCGCTTGGCGTTCAGGGAGTGCGGACTTGCCTCAAGTACAAACATGACACGGTATTTGTCATCGCATACCTGGGCTATTTGCTAGTAGGCTGCGGTAGTTTTGCTTTCCACGCTACTTTGTCATGTATCGTATTCCCTCTCCTCAAAGCTATGCAAGCTCGCTGACAAGTACCTAGATCCAATGCAGCTCGTAGACGAGCTTTCCATGATCTATACAACATCCATCCTCTGTTATGCAATCTTCACACACGACAGGTCTCGCTTGTTCTCGATACTCCTCGGGATCGGACTCGTTGTGCTATCCATTTCAATTACAGTCCGTACTTCGAATCTTTTCAGTGTGGTATATCAATAACCTGACTCCTCCTCTCAGGCATATTACCACTACATTCAAGACCCTTCATTCCACCAAAACACCTTTAGCATCCTTTTTCTTGCCACAGTGTTCCGAAGTCTGTACACGATGAAAGCAATTTTGCGTCCCACGTTGAGCAACACGTACGCAAACAAGTCCCGCAGGACTTCGCTCTCAGACAAGGAAGCGCTATATTGCCCTGTTCGAATTGATCAGGCTATAATTCGTGAGATGCGATGGATTGTGGCCATGGGGTTCATCACCTGTGCAGCAGGTATTGCCGCCTGGACACTTGACAACTTACGCTGCGGTGATTTTGTCAAGTGGAGACATCGAGTGGGACTGCCATGGGGTATACTCCTCGAAGGCCATGGGGTACGTAAGACTTCATGATTCTCGCATTCAAACAGCTAACAAGTTATAGTGGTGGTATGTCATTGCACTGATATAGTGTATGAGTCTTTTACTAATGATATCTAGGCACCTGATGACTGGGCTGGGAGTGAACTACTTTATCACCTGGGGTATTTGGCTTAGGCATTGTTTGAACGGCATGCAAGAACAATACATCTTGCATTGGCCACATAAGCTATTTTCCCTCCCAGTTGTCGTTCCCTCGACCGAACACGCACGATACCTAAAGCTACAGCATGTAAAGAATGATGCCTTGGGGGTTACTGGCTTGGAGAAAAAGCAGCTGTAATCGCTTATGATGAACTCTGTCCGCCATTTCGCCAAGATTGATCTAACTGTTTCTGGGCTCTAGAGTACCTATTCAACGGAAGAAGCAGTTGGATATTGGCATAGCATGAGCTTCAGCCTCATGACTAAGAGTCACGGAGGCACAAATCTAACACATATCCAGATTATCACGGTTTATGTTGCCAAGCCTAGACATAGCATTCAATGGTGGCCTGTCGAGCGCGACAGAATGTCAAGATTTCTAGGCATCTGAAGCGAAGATTAAAGTCAGGACCCTACTCTTGTCTATGGCAAGGTTGCACCTTGAAGGAATTTGTCTCATGAGCCTTAATAATGAGGGCTGGATTTTGATATGTATACCTTATAGGTCTCAATTCTTAGCTTCAAACGATTTTCATATCCGTGGTCGAAGCATCAGCAAATAGACCTAAATTCTCATTGCAATCTTTAGAGATGTTCAGATATCTAAAGAATCCTGGTATATCTGGCGCGGTGCTCAAGTCGAGGGCATAAGACCAGCATTTCGCATCTGGGTCTTTTAGTGCCGAGACGCGAACACCACCCAGGAACATAGCTTTTGGCCTCCTGATCTAGCAGTCGTATCATGCAGACCGTCTTACTCTTCCGACGCTGTCATGGCCGGGTTAATGTTGGTATTGTCGCATTTCTTATCTTGGACTTTTGGTCGTATATGGGGTTCAAAACCACATATTCGCTGAATGATCCCCTCTGGGTTTTCTCGCGTGCTGAACATCCACAATGCAATGATACCACCAGGCTCAAACCCACTCACAGGAAAGCCCGCATACCCTCTGACAACTGGACTGCGAAGAGTTACAAACCCACTATTTACCTCACCCACTGGATTATTTTCAGATGGTCAATATTCTGTGCCCAAGGTACTCTAAGTGTGCTGTGACTGTTAAGGGGTTGGTAGGATTATGATAGTTGATCGGACCCCGGAGTAAAGGCTAAGACTAAGAAAGTGCTATAGGGTACTTGGAGATATGTATTTTTCTAATATTAATAGTCTTATTAACATACTTCTCTAACATTCATGGCCCCAAATGAATAAATGAAGCCCAGCTCAATTCTCTTTCATCATCATCATCATCATCATCATCATCATCAATACGCATGATGTCACGATGGGTAAGCCCAGTCCAGGGCCTTATTCTCTCAGCAATCCACCGATCCCTACATTGTCGGGTCGCATCATGAAGACATAATGCAACAGTATCATCCGAAAATTCTCTGTTCGCCCAAGCTCCATAAAATAAACCTGAAATCTCAGCGCAGAGCTCGTCATCGACTAGACCCAACGTTCCTATGGCGTGACGGAAACCTCCCGTGTGGAGAGCGCCAGCTGCATGAAGACATTCGTTAGCAAATGCTATTTCAAACGATCTCGATCTGCCACAGCCGGAGAGATAAGCAAGATATGGAGGATGAAGCCGCGGTGTGGCGTCTAGAATATCCTTCGCTGTGATTGAGCCATTCGCGAGCAAAAGCTGGCTCTTGAATGGATCTCCCCTACTGCCGCCGAACAAGCCTGCAAAGTGAAAGAGGGTGCAGCTCGCCAAGGCTTGTAAAACGCCCTCTTTCAGGTTTGGCTGGGATACTTCGAGCCCTTGAGACCGGCAAATATCGTCCAAAGTGGAGATTTCTTTGTAAGCACCCAGACTGTCTCCGGTTCTAACGAGAAGTGCCCTTGCGCCGTCAAGCATTGCTACAGGTCTTTCTCGAGCTAAATTCAAGGCCTTGATAGATGTACTGTAAGAGCAGACAGCACAATCTGAAATTGAAATTGATTCCGATCTTCGCCTTGTGTAGTCTCCTGCCGCATGGATTGGCAAATTGGTTAAAGGGCCGGTAGGAATTAACCACAGACGAGGGCGATTGTTGGATGGAGCAGGTGATAGGCCAAGATGGACCAAAACAGGCTTGGCAATCGTTTCCCAAATCCATAATGAGGTTGCTACTGTGAATCTGCTGCGCAAATCCGATTTATCCAAAAATTGACCGTAATCGAGATCAGGTAGGCTTACAACCTCAATCGTGTCTTGATAGATGATAATGGCGTCGAACCGAATGTAACTCGTGGTCAAAACAACAACAGGTCCTTTGGTCCCGGCTTGTAACATTCTTGTCTCATCCTCATGATTTAGCCAGTTGGAAAAGCCTGGTTCTTTTCGAATTTCGGTCAGTATTCTCTCACACTCGATGCTTGCTTGGTGGCGTCTCCGGGACTGTGCTTTCCAGGGCGAATTGCCAATGAAGCCTGCCGGGGGAACAATTATCGGCTTTCCGAGGTCTTTTCGGATAGAAAGAAGCTCATCTAGCTTCGAAGGATGCGCTTGACGTAAGCGCTCAAAGTCGTCCAGGTAATAGCCACCAGAATTAGCATCTAGCCAGCGGCTGTCCTCCAGGAAGGAAAGAACTTCAAAGGGGGCCCGCCCTGCATTCAGTGCTGCAGCGACGCCATCAGATGTAATCCATCCTGTTGTCTGAAGAATGCGATGTTTGTCAATTTGCTCGAGCTCTGCAAATGGTAGATGGGCAAGGCAACCAATGGTCGTTTTCGCAACCTTAAAAGCACCATCCCAATTTTGAAATTTAAAGTTTGCCTCGAAGAGCTTTTGGCCAGCCTGCAAGCGAGATTGCAATGAAGAATATCCATGGTTGAGAGCCCGTTCATACAAGTCAAGTGATTCACGCTGCTGTTGATGGTCGCCCAGATGGTCGGCCAGTTCCAATGTCGCATCTGCCAGGAGGCATAAATACGTAGCCTTGTTTACGTCAGTATCTGGCAAGAGTTTGACTGCTTCACTGCTGTTGAGAATGGTATCTCTTAGATCCTCGCTTGACATGGTTCTGAAGAATCGTTCGAAGATCCTGGTCGCAAGATTGTGACAGTAAACGTGGTAGCTAGAATGCTCGACAAGGGTGAGTGCTTTCGCAGTAGTGGAAAGATAGATAGCTTCCTCTAGCAATTCCAATTCACCAAATATTTTGAACCTATCGCCAAGGCGAGCCGCGAGGTATGCCATGCGATCTGCGGCATCAATGTCGTTTTCGGGCGTTGAAGCTACAACGTTTCGTGCAACCTGGATGCTTTCTTCGAGAGCGTCTGTTGCACCGGTCGTATTGTATAGCTCCCCCAACATGACCCCTAGGCTGTTCAGACGTCTCAGGTAGGCGGGATCGCGTTCAGCAACAAGGTCGATTGATCGTCTCATAAGTTGCATGGCTTCGTCCAATTCCTCTTGAGATCCTGACATTGCAAACTTCTTGTCAAGCCCAACTGATAAAGTTGCCAAGTACTCGCTATACTCAATGTCTTCCTCGGTCACGTAGTGTAATGCTAGGCGTAGCTCATATATCGCCTCATCAATAGTCTTTTCAATACCGGTTCTCCAATAGTCCAAAGTCAATAGTTGTCCTAGATGATTACGGTATCTTGCTTGTCTGTCACTGTCTTCCGGAACCAGTCCGATGGCTTGCCGCGCAATTTGGACAGCATACACCAGGTCTTCATCCATGCCGGTCTCAGAATATCGCCACCGATATAGGTTACTGAGATGAATATAATGGTCCAGCTGCTGGTGAGTGTCATTGTTCGTTGCGACCACTCTTCCTGTGATCTCAATAGCCCTGTCAAGGTTCATTCCGTGGCGCTCTATTTTATACTTTTCGATCAGGTGAGCAGAGAGATCTGCCAGGTTTTGCCATCTAACGGAATGCTCCGACGGGATTGTTTCTGCTGCCCTCTGAAATGCCTCAATGGCCTGATTAAGATCATCTACCTCCTTGGATTCACGGAATATTTCCGATTGTAGAAGACCGATCTCCCTCCACCGATACCCATTTTCAACACGCTCGTCATGGGCTTTTGTGAGGTCCTGCCGTAGGCCCCTGACAGACTTCCTACAGGACTCAATTCGAGAGAGCTCTTTTTGCTTATTGCTGAAATGCTGAAGGATGGCGTCTTCTTCTGCGGGACCATCCGCTAAAAGATCAAGGCCGCCCCACTGACCTTCTTCGTAGGGTGACAGGACATTTTCAGCTGCCTCCTCATTCAACCTCATCTGTTCCAGCTGAACTCGTTCTGGGTCAGAAATGTACACCAACGCTGGCTCCTCGCCGGACCAAGTGTCTAACTCTGGGCCGTCTTTCAAGGAGGAAATGGATCCCGTTGCAGGATCATTCGAGCCATGCGGGCCAGTGAGAGATTCTTCGTCTGTATCATGACCTATAGTTTCCATGAGGCGCAGCGACATAACGAGCAAGTATTGCAAGTGGGCCGCGATGTGTATTTCCAATGCGAAAAGAGCGGAGGAATCATGGTCTGGGTCATCGCCAGTATCAACTTCAGAAGCTGCCTTGACGTCGTCTGCAAACCTGACGCGAGAGTCTACACGTTTCTGATTCTTCTTGCTACTTTGAACCCTTTTTGACGGCTCTGGTGGAGTCCCGCCGGATTTCGAAGATGATGTTTGTTTCGCCCCAAGACTGTTTTCAACCTCGAAGAAGCATAATGGACAAGATGAAGGCGACATGGTGTCGATAAGTGATGATTGGTGTTCTAGATACTTTGTGAGCTTATTGTCGGATAACCGCTTCTTGGAATGATGTATCACTAGCATGTGCTGGTCAAGGTCGTTCTTAGATGAGAAGGCGTACGGAATGCTCTCGCCGTCCTCAACGTGATCGTGGCAAACCCACATCATCTCGCCATAGAGAGTCTGAGGCCAGGCCATAGAGTGTTTCGATCGCATATGCTCAAGCCACTGTTTCCTAGAAGAGAAGCTAGGACGAGACTCCCCACACGTTTCAGAAAGACATGGAAATGGCTTGAGATCACGCTTGTAGTGAAGCCTTGATTCATAAGTGTTATTAGCACATCATCATTCTGCAACCGACTGTTAACTTACCGTCCGATATTTGACCATCGATTGTTCCTCACAACAGATCGATCTAGAAGCTCATTACACCATTCGCATTGGACCTCAGCTTCACCAGCCTCGAATTTTGGTGGTTTAGGCTCATACAAGTGACCATCGCTTTCATAAACAGACAAGGTTCTTTTCGACCGAGAGCTCTTAATATGCTCATTGTTAAAGCGCTGACGTAGGAGTCCAGTGTCGAGAGACGAAAGTGGCTTCTGTTGCAAGTTTGGGTTTTCCTCTTGTGTCTTCTTCTGAACATAGTCAAACTCTACAGTTTTTGATCTTGAAATAACCGAGGTCTGTCCAGTGGCTTCCTCCTCAATCTTCGGCCTCATAGGAGCTTCGCCACCTTGAGCTTGCTTCAAAGACTTGGAGCTGGATTTGTCGTTTATATAGGCACTGTACTCTAGCCTTGCGTACCTGTCAGTGAGCGTGTTGCAGATGTGCTCTCGTAGACTTTCAGGCGCGTTTGGGTACAGTGTTTCAAGAGATGTCAAAATGAGCTCTTCGAGATCTTCCAGGCTTCGATTCATAGTTGCGAAATTTCGAGCCAAGGTGAGTGCATACGACCTGGATGATTGCCTGATAGTTATTGCAAGTTTATTCAGACTTTTCAACGAGTCTTTGATGCCAGCCAGAGCCGCTCTTGCCTCTGATTCTAAATCCTGCGGACGCTCGGATTTCGTGTTTGAGAGGAAATCGAACACTAAAAGATCTCAGTTGGCCACAATTCGATACGCATCAATGTGTATTCGGAGAAGGCTACAGACCGATGAACAGATTCTGTCGTAATAACTCTAATAGTCGGATCATGATATCTTGGATGGATTCATGCCTTCGGAGCCGGTAGTCGAGGGATGAGCCAGGTTCGCTAAAGAAACATAAAAATGATGTTAAGGCACTAAATGCATCACGATACACGATTGTCTGAGAAATGATTTCTCGCTGATTCACGGAACTAGTCTTGATGATTTGTTCGAACAGCTCATTGCAGTCTGTAGCCAAGAACCGCATAGGCTGATCAGGTTCTGCTTCTATGTTAGTTAGTGCCAAAGCCAGAGGAATGGTCACCAGCAGATGCTCACCTTCGTCCTCGGCCATTCTTTTCTAAATGCCACTCTTTGGAATCGGCTTTCAACTATGGTTGTAATTTTAACATGAATAGATACACCAAAGAGATTTATGAGAGAATTATCATGCATGAAACCCCGCATCTCACAGCCTGATGCAAGTTCACGTGAGCAGGGCCGCTGTTTGTTGGGTGCCTAAGCCTCAGAGCCTCGTTTTGCAAATTCTGTCATCATTCTCTGTCACCATTCGCTATCTCGCGGTCTACGGCTAGAACGCTTAGCCTTTGAAGACCTTTCGAGTGAGTGTTTTGTTGAACATTCATTACCTGCAGTGTGACGTGACTAGGGCGCTTATCGACCCAGCCCCGATGATCTGACCGAAAGGCCGCCGCCATTTGCTGTCATCTCGGAACCTTGACTATCAACCCGTCTTGAGCATGGCAACCCTAACGAGAAGCGACCAATCCCATGGTTCCTATGTTAAGCTGGAGCCTGGAATAACGATCACTTACCCTGCTCTATCAACAGAGTGGACGGTCCTTCAAGCGTTTCGATTGCACCATCAGCGGCTTGAACGTAAGACTAAGTACCAGCCGTTAAGAAGGTCCCTCCAAGGTATCAGTACCATCAAATGGCAAAACGACCTTGCTTTGTTTGACACCCATCTCCGCCACATTTTGACCAGGGGCGACTTAGACACGATTGTCAAGCATAAGCTCAAAGAACAAGAACAAATTGCTCAATCACAGCTTGTGTCAATTTGTACCTTGCTCAACCGTTTGACAAATTCACAGCTTTTGTTGGGACTCTTTGAAGATGCAAACTTCAACGAGCAAGACAGTCCTTATCCGAGACTCTTGTTGCTGGCTCAAATTCTCAACGATACTGAGTGGAGTTTTGACTTGACAACAGGACAGAGACGGGTCCTTTTTGTTCTGGACTCAGAACAGGACGCATATGAGGCAAGCAATATCGTTCGGACTTTCGATGAATTTTTCTCTCAAGTCATGCTACCCATGCGTGTTGAGAAAGTTCAACAGCCGACTTCGGAAGCATGTGAGTCTCGTCTCGGGTTAAGAGACCGAGCTGTCAAAGGGCTTGAATACTTGTTCCTTCGTGTCCCGCAGGGCCAGTCTCAAGTTTGCCAGGGTCATAGGATCCTAATTAAGTTGCCCGATTGGGATACCATTGACAGACCCCCAGAACCGGAAACAGCGTTGGAACTTTTCTTTTCAACCTGTGCCAGTTCAAAAGAGTGGCATCAGGCATGGTGTGCAGTTCGACCAACAGCGTATAACCCACCTTTACTCTACCTTATATTAGCATCGTCGACTAACAATAGCGCACAGGGAAAGCGATGATGAGTATGTCTGCGATTTTTGTGACGATCTGAGAGACGCGAAGACGAGTGGGAATGTCTTTCGATTTATTGCTAGGGACAACAACTTGTTCATATCATCAAACGATGATAACCAACAACGCGCTCGGCCAAACTGCCATCCTACCAGGTCACTGTATGATCTTATAGAGAATCAGAGCTTCTGTGAATCACGGAACATCAACCCGTTCATGCCTCCGATAAAAACACAGCGTTTCAACGAAAAGAAGAGACGGGCCCTCGCTTCACGACTTGCATTGAGCCTATCGCTATTCCTCAACTCAGATTATGTTTTGAATGCATCCGAGGCGACTACTGTCTTTTTTGTTCTCGAGAATGGCCGGTGCGAGTTGGATCTAGTGTACGCTACTTCAGCTGCCAATAATCACAACCAGAACACAGCATTCAACGAGTCAATGTCTTTATACAACAACCTTGCCAGGATACTTCTAGAGATAGAGTACGGGTTTTCGTTGAAAAGTTTAGAACTCGAAAATATGAAGACTTGGGTGAACAATAGACTAATATTAGGCTATGAGGAGTCGGGCAGCGAGGACGATATTAACATCAAAGATACCGAGGCGAGGATTTCGTATTTAACAGCGGTTCGAGACCTCTTGAACTTTAAAAAAACATACAGAAAAGGGTCCCGTCGGTTCAAGGGCATTCTTTTTGACATTGGGGCCATCGCTAGTGAGGTAATCTTCTCGGATGTTGCGGAGCGGCTTCGAAGTTGCATCGAGCCAACACAACTGCGAGTTTCAGGGCTTGAAAGCTCTAAAGAAGAGCTCCTAACTCCTACCGAGGATAATGACAGCATGCGGACGATGAAAGAGAGAAAGGTTGTTATGAGATCAACCGTGCGGACAATGGCATTCAAGAATCGGGCAACACCATTTCAGCTGTTTGACGACAAAGACGAGTTTGAAGAGGACAAAGGGCAGGTTTACAAAAGCCTTACTTCCAAGATTCGCAGCGCTGACTACATGTTTAGGCTAGCTGCGAAAGCTGACTTCTTCTTCACTCAACTGAAGCAGTTTCACAAGAGCTGCGAAGAGCGAGCTACCTTTATGCAGTCCATTTCACGGTTTTCACCCAAGCCTGTTCGCATCGCTGTGCTTGATACCGGCATCAATAAGACTAGTGGTGCCATAAGAGGAGGATTAAGAACACACCGCATCCAACATCAGAATTGTCGCAGTTGGGTGGGCAATGACTCTAATGACGTTCACGACCATGACGGCCATGGAACAAGAATTGCGGAGCTCATCCTTCGAGCTGCCCCCGAGGCTGACATTTACATTTGTAAAGTTTTTAACGGCCGCAGTCTTCTTCCAGATGAGGTCGAAGGCATCGCAAAAGTTCGTGGTTGGAATACGTTTCTACCCTACAAGTCTTTATCTGGCTGACGTGATTCTTAGGCTATCACCTACGCGGTTGATGTTTGGGACGTTGATATCATCTCAATGTCCTTCGGGCTTACCTCTGACAGCCTGATAAACGATACTAAACTCAAAGTTGCATATAGAGATATCGACACAGCAATCGAAAACGCCAAGTCTACGATCTTTTTGGCTGCAGCTGCAAATCATGGTAGCCACGGCCCCAGAACATTTCCTGCAAATCATGACTCTGTGATCTGCATCCATGCTTCAGACGGAAATGGAAAGGATGGAGGGATCAGCCCAGATCCCGAATCTACAGACGATAACTTCATGATTTTAGGTATAGCACTTGAGCTTGGAGATGGACGGAAATCGGGAACAAGTTATGCTGCACCTATGGCAGCTTCCATGGCTGCACACATCATATACACTGCGGAAAACCTTTTGGATCTGACTGATACTGCGAAATATCGGTTAAGAACTGGACGTGGGATGCGAGAGATGTTTCGCCTGATGTGCGGGCGTAACTGTACTGGGGGATACCGCTTTCTCGCGCCATGGGTCGAACTTTGGACAAAGGATTGGCACCTTGATCATGACAGGATCAAGTTCATTGAGACTAGGATTCTAACTACAGAGGTGTTTAAATTCTAGTTATCGTGATAAATACAGCCTCCACATGTACAAATTCCGGTCCAATTGAGTAAGTTCCGTCAAGGCAAAGCCCAGTTCGATGGTTCAATTCCCAGATCATCAGTCTCATTTGCAAATACCTTCCCAGCGGGAGGCTTTTCACCGTCATCGACCAGGAAATCTTCAACAAATCTTGCACCTGAAACAGGGCTGACCTTGTCTTGAGCCCCTCCATTATCCAAGGCCACACCAGCAACCTTGTCTAATGTTTTCCTTACACCCTTCTCCCACCAGATCTTACGAACGCGTATACCTAGAACGAAAGGTGTAGAGCCATCGAAACCCATAGCAGAAGTATCCTCACTCGTGTAACCCCCGGTGCCACCAGCTGACACCATGCCCTGGGGGTCTGAAGCTCCTATCTCGGCTTTGACATTCTTGGTCTTACTCTCGACCCGAGATAGCTTTGCTCCGATCGCAACCTTCAAGCCTGTCACCATATACACCGGAAACTTCTTCTGTGTAACGGTGACGAAGCTGGCCACATCCGGAAGCTCCAAGCTTTTTGCCATGTATTCTTCAGTTGGGCTGAAGTATCGGGTTTGGATTTCTTCAACGGTCAGGTTTTCATCATCCGTTCGCTTGTTCAGAAAGTTGAAAGTGCCACCAAGCCCTTGGAGGCTGAAGATTTTGGCCCAGATGCTTGCTTCCACGGATCTTAGTTCCTTCAGAGTTCGCGTAAAGCCAGTCTTCGAATCAGGCCCATTTCGGGGGAAAATTTGTACTGCTGGGATTTCTATGGCGGCATTGAGGTTAAGTGGATGAGCTACCCCATCGACATCGAGGCTTTCAAGAACCGAGCCGAGGGTCAGATGACCATCAGGCGGGGGTGCAATAGAAAAGTCGGGACAGAGATGATAAGAGGGTTTTGGGCTAGTGCTGCTGACCATGTTGATTGGCTTGGTAAAAGGCGGCGTTCTATCTAGATACGTCTTGCTGAGGTCCTAATAAGATTTGCGATAACTTTACTCTCTTGCTGGGCTAGTTGTTTGGGGGAGGAGAAAGAGAGTAGCTTTGCTTACTATCATTATGCATGACCCCTCTTTTCTAGCACAAGCCATGACCCTGTTTGTAAATATGATGCTTATAAGTACCTTGCAGGTTAGTTAAAAGAATATATAAACTTGAGTAATTCATAGGCTTAAACAGGTTTAACCGACTTGAACGTAAATTGGTAAATATAAAAGACATATTCGTGTTATGTCCTCTTATTGCTGTTTGCTTGTGAGAATTATAGCTAGTATTGAGGTTATTTAATTTTATATAGAATAGGACTAAAAGATCTTTAATTATTAGACTGCCTCTTAATTAAATATAATTAGCCTCTGTGTTATTGATAGCATCGCCATTCTTTATCCGATCATCCCACCACTTGTGAATATCTGGGGCTCCTGACACCAACATCTTGATGTCTCCATCGATCAGAAACCTGTCTAGGGCACTATCTTCAAAGTTGTCCATGTTATCCATTCGCAACGCACGAAGAGAATAGCTTCGACAGAATGCCACCAAATTCGGTGCTAAAACTGAATGCGGTTTCGTGATGAGATGAGGTAGCCTTTCCATAAACCCTGTTCCTCTTCTACCCTCCATGGCCGAGATAGACTCTGCTGCAAATAATCAGACTTCGCCCCGAAACAGGAAGAATGATACTTACCTAGTCCAAAACGAATAAGCTCACGCTCTGTTTCCAGAATGCGATAATTCGAAAATATCGAATTGACTGTTTCCATCTTGCGTGCGATGATGTGCAGGTAATACACCAACAGTTCAAAAGGGTAAGAGTTCTCAATCCAAATATCCCAAAAGTTCCCACCGTGAGCCATCTCAACGGACGAGACCATGTCATTCCATATAGGCTTTTCGATGATCCACTGGAGAGATTCCAGCAACCAAAGCTGATCACCAAAAGAATTAATAGACCGCCCCAGAGTGGCTGCTGCTTTGCTCATCAAAAACTTCTCGCGGTCTTGAAAAGACATTCTGGATCGCCAGACGATGGGGTTCCGCATATGCCCCTCAAAGATGTCTCTGATTTCGCCAGGCGCAACGAATATCGCCTCGGAATCAAGCCACATTGCGAAGTCGTAGTCAAAATGATCCGCCGCAGACATCTTTTTGAGCGATTGATAAGCGTATTTATCAAACTTTTTCAACAAAGCGCTGGTGTCTTCGGGGGTAAGGTCCGTTCGGAGTCTGGCTGGGAGGATGTCGTATAGGTTCACGATACTGAAACTGGGATTCTTTCCAGGAACGTTGTCCTTTGGGGTTTTCCACCGACTGAATGTTTGGTTGCAGGGTTCGAGGGTCGAAAGTAGCTGGGTAAGGCCTTCGACTTCGGCAGTGTTGGATACGATGATGTGCCAGTCCACTTTGTCATGATCGACGCATAGACACTTGACGGATTGGAAATAGTGAAGGACTTGGGGGAAATGTCCATCCTTGATATAATCTTAGATTCGTGACCAGAATAATGCAAAAAGAGGGCCTTACAAAGGTTGGTAGCAATACGGCGAGGCGCTTGGTTTCTATGGGCTGTACCTCGCTGAAGTTGGGGTGTTCAGGTTTGTAATTGGCGAGCCTGTCGGTGTATCGACTACTCTCAGCTGGCTGCGGCGGCCATGATGGTGGGTCTGATGGAACCCATGAATTCTGAATATTGTTTGGTCGAAACGGGAGGTGAGGCGATGTGTGTAGCGCAAAGAAGACGACGGTAGAAAAGGTCAAAACTGAGATGCCGATTAGAATATTTTTGAGCCTGCGTATTAAATTAGCACTCTCCCAAAGGATTGCCGAAATGTGTAGCTAACTTGCCAAGAGAGATAGTTGGGCTTGACAAAGAGCTGCTCATATGAATATGACATCTTCACCGAGAGCATCTTCTATTTATACCATTTGAACAAAAGAGTGTCTTTTTATTTGGAGAAAGTGCCTCTTCATGGAGAAATGGAAACGCGCCTCTAAATCCTATGAATCACATGATAAAGTCTAGACCCAGTTGGAATGTTTTATCTGCAAAACCTCGAACAACATACCAGCTCGCAGCTAGCTGAGCGACTAGTAAAGCTTGTTCTGTTTCGCTTGTTTATTAGGTCTAGCGAGGTACATCGCGGGATGAAAGCAGCAGCTGTCAGGCGGACCAAATAGAACTAAGCCAAAATTGATTCACTGGAATGAAGACCTTCTATTTCTACCGAACCAAACGCCATTACAAGGAATTCTATATGATATGTCACCCAATCACTCCTACACATGTAAATCAAATCCGTTTCCCGCTGAACTCCTCCGCCGGCCAACCCTGCATCGTCCTTCTCTCCTCGACAACATCGCCACCCATGATAAGCGTATGTTCCAGCAAACAGCTATCACTCTTCATCTGCGCACCACTCAAAAGTCGACTTCCTGTTCGGAGCACACATCTATCGCCAATCTCAACCCTGTTCAAGTCGAACTTCCCTCGCGTGTTGATGTGTGCGACGACACTGGCATCGTCAACGACAACGCGATCGCCAAGGGTGATAAGATCAGGTTCCGTGAACATGAGGCTTGGGGTGCCGTTGACGAAGAGTGCGCAGTCTTTGCCGATTTTGGCACCCATGAGATTGAAGTAGATCACCATCCAGTGAGTCCCGGTAAGGAGATTGAGGATACCATTGCCTTTGTAGCAGTGTCGGCGCAGGCGCTCAATGCCGAGGAAGATCTGCCAGCGCTGGCAGTATGGAGACTTGTCCCAATCGTAGTTACCAGCCGTGCGACGACTCATCAATAGCCACTTGGACCCAATGATGATTGCTAGCGCAAGAACGGATTGAAATGTGGAGAGGACGGCGATGCCAGCCAACATGGTCAGGAAGATCGCGACAAGGTCGAACCAGACGTTCATGCCACGGGGAAAGGAGCTTCGGAACATGATACCCACGAACTGAATGGATGAGACACTGGGAACATCCCAATAAACAGCGGTGAAGACTGTGAAGAAGGCAGAGTAGCAGAAGATGGCGAAGGGGCCGAGGACATGGTACGGTGCTAGCTTTAGATAGAAAGCTCGACCGAATGGAGAGAGATGCTGTGCCCAGTCTCCTTTGCCGTCACTGCCCTCGGTATCGCTTCCAGATGTGATGCTGGGCTGGGTGTCAGGACGTTCCTTCTCGTCGTTGAACTTCTTGTCGTTGGTGAGGGTATCCTCCGACTGCATGTTGCGGATGTGAGATCGAGAGACCTTGGTGTCCTTACCGGTTGACAAGCAGACTGCATCGCCTGCCTTGGAGCCAACATAGGTACCATCAGAGGCATAGCTTCCGTTCCTTCTCGTCACGGCGCCAGAACCCATAGTGGTCCGTTCACCAACTGTGACACCGGGGAGAAGACAAACGCGATCAGCGATCATGGCACGGTCTTGGATGGTGACTTTCTCGGACCCGATCCCATCAGAAGTGACGAGGTGTGAACGCGAGCCGAAGACTACATCGTTGCCAACGTCGATGAGATGATAGTCACCAATGCTAGGACCAGTACCGGGCCAGTAGACGCGCTCACCAATCTTGGCCCCAAGCATTCTAAACGCGATGGACGTAGCCTCATAATGCTGTCCAAACAAAGAAGTCATCCGGTGAAGCTTCCCCTCAGGCAACAGCGTCTTGATCAAGTTCGCTCTCCAGATATCCACCGTGTTTTGCGAGTCGGCTTTGAGCTTTCCAAAGATGCAGTCTAGTACAGACTTGACCAAGATGACGAACCCGAAGAGAAAGAATGGACCGAATAGGCATCCAAGAGCAAGCGCGAGGTAATGGTAGGCGATTCGGTTAGGCTGAGTGAACCAGTCCACGCTGCTTCTCAATGGAGCATTGTGGTTAACCGTTTGACCCTGTGTAGTGACCATGCCTACAAGACCGGCCATCCAAGGGACTGCAGAGAGGAACAGACCAATGAGCTTAAGGGGCATGGTGAAAAGCAGGTTCAACGCCCAGTGAGGCTTGGGCTTCTCGCTTGGAAGCTGGTCTCTATACTCTTCACTTGCGTCCTGCATCTCCCAGTTGGATGAGTTGAAGCCTAGGCATGTATCAGGCGGCATGTTGGTACCAGGCGCAACGATAGAAGACATCCCGACAGAGCAGTTGCTTCCAATGGTGATGCGGCCAAGATACATCGACGTATTCCCCTCAGCAGCAAAAGGTCGACAGATGCATTTCGTGAGATTACAATCATCACCAACCTCAATCAAATCCCACTCCCCAAGCGCCGCGCCCTCAAGCTTGACATTCCTGCCAATCTTGGCCCCCATAAGCCGACAGTAAATCCGCTCCGTCATCTCATTCGCATCAAAGAAGCCCTTGCCGCAGATCGCGACGATCTTTTGCACAAGCCACCATCTGGTATGATACATTCCCCACATGGGATACAGCCCTTCGCGATAGCGGCCGATGATGAGCCACTTGCAGATGATGCCGACAATGGGTGATACGAAGCCCATGATGATGCGGGCGATGAGCATGGAGACGGTGAGGTTGAGGAAGCGGCCGGGGAGGGAGTGGTTGGTGGGGAGTTTTTGAGAGTGGGCGAGGGTTACGAAGAAGATTGTCCATTGGACGGCGCGGCGGAGGGGATAGAAGATCACGAGGGGGAAGAGTTGGAGGATCATAAGGAAGGGGTTGGTGGAACTGCAAGTCTCGGTACATCCGACGATAGCACTGGGCTGGTCAGATTCATCGGTCTTGCTATGGAGCATCTTGTCGATGTGTGCAGCGATGGAGGTAACGGTGCCGCCATTGAAGACAGCAGTGATGGGGAGGCTGATGCTGAACTCGGCACGGAGCGTCGATAAAAGGCGACCAGCGCGAAGTGAGTCACCACCGAGACTGAAGAAGTCTGCGTCGCGGGCAATGTCTGCGGGTGGAATGGATAGGACTTCGGCAAAGGCTTTGGTGACGAGTCCTTCTGTGCTGGCGGCTAGTTCATTCATGGAAGCCATTTGAAGTTGCTCAAGTTCTGCGCAGAGTACTTCGACGTCGATGTTCCCAGATGAGTCCTTCTGGAATGGTCGAGGCATGATGTGAATCTCGGTAGGGATCATGTAGTTGTCGATTATTGATGCCAATTGATGCCTAATGTTGCTGACATTATCAGAGTCAATAGCACCTTCAGCCTTAGGCGCAAGGATGGCTTCTGGTGACCCGTCGTGAGTGCTGGGAAGGCAAAAGATGTCGAGGTCTAGAACGATGGTCTGGATATGAGTCGCAAGCTTGGTGTAGTCAACAGAGCAAGGTGAGCACTGAACAGACTCTGACAAAGGTGTATCAGTTGGAGGACAAACTGCATCCCAATGCCTACCCATATAAGGTGTATCATCAGAAACAGAAGGGATTCCCAGCCGTTGACCAAGTTTGATACGTAGTACCTTGTTGTTGTTCTTCGGAAGATCGCTCATATACGTGATCAGGACAGGCCACTTCGCCTGCTGAAGAGAAGACTTCAACGCGCCGTGAAGAGTCCTCAGATCAACACGCGGAACATTGGGAGGTGTGACGAGGACAATGGCGACGACTTCTTGTAGAACATCATGCGATGCTGAGAACGCCAAAGCCTGTGAGACCCTTCCGTAAATGGGCGAGTCACTCGATCTTGAAGCCGTCATGATGGCATTCTCAACCTCAAATGGAGATATCAGCTCTCCACCACGGTTGATGACCTCTTTACTCCTACCAGTGATGTAAAGATATCCATCATCGTCCATGTATCCAAGATCGCCAGTATCGAACCAGCCATGCTGGTTGAAGGGTGACTTGTCATATGTACCATCGGGCTTGAGATAGCCGGGGAAGGCAGGCTCGCCGCGAACGCAGATGCGACCGACTGTACCGTTTGTAACGTTCTGTTCGGACCAGTCGAGGATGGTGAGTTCGGGGCCGGTGCTGATACCTGATGTACCTTCACGATCGAGACGATAGTCTAGTGGAGGTGTAGAAATGGGCATGCACCTGTGCCTGTTAGTATATGTGACACTGGGGGTGTAAGTGGCTTACTCTGTCATTCCATAGCTCGGTAAGACGACACAGTTGAACGTGTCCCTCAGCTGATACGCCAAAGACGGTAGCAACCCACCCGCAGCGTTACAAGCCAACCGGATCCGACTCTTCCGCAGAGCTTCAGGTCTCACAGTTGCTTCTGCGATAATGATAGAGTGCATCGATGGTGAAGCGTAGTACCATGTTGGTTGAATGGTCTCAGCCACGTCCCAAAACAAATTGGCATCGAAGGAGGGACAGCAGACCGTCGAGCCGCCGGAGAATATCGGTGCAAAGATGTTACGAACTAAACCTCCTCTGTCTAATGTCAGCTGGGGCTATGGGTAGGATGCTGAAGTGGCTTACACGTGGTAGAGGGGCATCATATTCAGACAGATGTCGGTGGCTGTGAGGCCCCATGATTCGATGACGAAAGCGACGCCGGCGACGATGGAGTTGACTGTTAGTGGTACTACCTTCTTGGTACCCGATGTTCCACTCGTGAAGAGGATCAGGCCGATATCATCAGCCTTGTTAGCGACTCGTTGTGTACTGCCAGTGGGGACTGCTTCTCCATCGACTGTCCTTAGCGAAATGCCTTCATCTCGAGTCCAGTCCATGATGAAGATCTGGATATTGTTATCTGATACCCAACGGGCATCGAGTTGGAGTTTCTCGTACTCATCCTTAGTTGTGAGGATAAAGTCCGCTCGCGCTTGTAGAATGTCTGCTCGAAATTGTTCCGCTCCAGCAGCGGGGTTGATTGGCGATGCGGTGTAGTAAGTCGTGACAGCGATGCATGTTGCTGCTAGTAAGGGACCATTAGGCAACGCGATAGAGACAACAGGTTTCTTATCTGATGCATCAGCGGGAAGTTGGAAGTTGTCAACGAACTGCCGTAGTTCGCGATGGGTGATGACATCCTCATCTGTGGGGGCTCGTAGGGCTGGCTTGTCATCGCAGCCAATGAACTGTGCAAAGGATGTATACGAGCTCTTGACTAGCGCTGAAGTTTGCTCAATTAGGGAAGAGAGCTCGTGGTTTCTGTTTGTCTTGGCATCTTCTGAGAGTTGTGTGTAGAGTCGCGTGTAAGTCTTGATGAGTTGGAAGACTGGCCATGAACCAGGTAACTCCTCAAGGAGATGACATAAAGTGTAGAGGGAGGAGATGGAATGTTGTTGGGATGTAAGAATGGCAGCCAAGAGATCAGCTCTGTCTGGATTCAGAGCTACAAGTGATCGAAACTGTTGACTCTGCTTGACCGCCATTGGCGGCAGGTCGCACAGCTCCCGCAACAAACACGGCACACTCATATCTCGATGAACAAAGCGATAAAAACAAAATAGCGATGATCCTTTGACTCAGAGTAATGAAGATCTGATAATCATATCCATCACAGCGCTCAAAGCATCTCTATATAACAAGTTCAACTCTCATCACAGCCCTTCCACTTTTTTCCCAATTTCGTCTCGCCGATAGATCATCAGGCAGAATATGAAGTCTAATCTGCAATGGCATGGCCAAAGATCATCAAACCTGAAATCAAATCACAAAGGTCCTACCGCCGGTCCACTTCATCCCACTTAGACTATTGGCGCCCCGATTTACGACAAGGGATTCTCCTGTAGATCCGATTTGATCTTCACGGCATTTCCTCTTGGGCTCCATACTGACGGGCTGGGTGAGAGCTGAATGGGTGAAGTGCCCGGCATTGCCACGGGTTAATCACTACTGACAAGTTCCACGAGTGCCGGCGCTTGGTGTAGACTAAGCTGTTACTAACAAGGCGGAGTGACATATTATTTTCCTTGGTGGCCGTGCAGAAGCGGTTCGTGCGCTGATGTCACAGAAGAATTACGACGACGAATAATTCTAGTTCTACTTGACTCGCGAAAAGTCCATAAGTTGAGGCTATGACCCTTTATGTTTATCCACCGATTGAGTTTACGTCAATGTAACAGGTCGAACCGTAAATGCTCCCTGTTCATCTATTTCCCGATTGGTTGGGGTGATGTAACCTGGGCTTTGAGCCGCATGGTGCAGGGATTTACGACCCCGGTCTCGGAGGGAAACACGTAAGCTCACGCTTCTGAGCCTTGACGATATCATATTGATAAGTGAGCGAGTTCCAAAAGGTCAGGGGATTACTAAGATCTTTGTGAAGATCGGTAGTTGGACACGAGGTAGGCTTGGGTCATGAGTCAGGCAGGGTTGAAGATTTCAGCGGCCGACTGGCGCAGCGGTTGGATGCAAGGCATTCTACGATGCAGGTGATCATACTTGAGTTGCTAATTGGCATCTTTGGTGGAAAGAAATATTCCTATGCTCTGTATAAGAGCCACTGCCCAGCTGAGATGCGTAATTCACCACGCATCACGACATCTGTTCCAGCTTGGATATTCCATCAATCAAGCGAATCATCAAGCGTATCCCTGTAACATACAAGCTTGTCCAAAATAACAATATAATTAAGGATAATCTCAGTATCGTAGGGTATTGAATTCTCCGAAATAAAGTGTTTCTAGATAATTGACGACCTTCCAAAGTGGAACCCCGACACGTCAGCTGTCATTGGACCTCCCGTAAATCTATATCGAGACGGCCCCGTCTATTAAACTTTCCGCCTCTGCGGGTTTCCCGCCTCTTTCTGCTCCCCGAAACCTTACTGGACTTCATCTCATTGTCTTGAGATCGGGCTGACGAATAGTTGTTTTTATCTCGTTAGAGCAACTGCCGAAATAGCTATTAGTGGCTGACGGATTCATCATGCACAGGTTGCCTTGTAAGGTGGTATGGGTTGTCAGACTCTCGTAGAGAAGGATTACCTCTGTACTAGGTATATAGATGATACAGAAATATTCAAGGTTTCGTATCGGTATCCCATTATTTCCACACATCACATCCTTCCTCGTGCCGCATTCGCTCGTCTCTCAGGAAGGAGAAATAATAGCAATGTATCACGAAAGCTATGCACAAGCCTATAACTCCGTTAATAAATGCAACAAATTTCATGTACTAGCGAGCAATAGTGACTCGTCGACTTCCGACCATGTCCTTCGTTGCACTACATATCACAGCACTCATGCTCCAACCAATCACTATCACACGAGTGTCACACTATTTCTACCCTGTATATCAACATACCGTTGAACCTAGAGACCAAACTGCCACTTTGCCCGCCCCTCCTGATCTAGACTGAAACCTTATTCACAGGCGTTATCTCCTCCGTACCCTGCGTTGTAGTCCGTCGGCGCTAACGTAGATGGAGATCTTCCAGCCATTGACCTCCCTGTCCACGAAGCGGATTCCTCTCTGAGCTTGAGAATCGTCGTTGAGATTCTCAGCCCAGTCTCTAGATACAGTGTAGCTCTGCCCGAACTTCATGTTACTCACATCAGTTGAGGCCATGTTCCCCACTCAGCAGTCAGCAGCATTGGTAAATACATGGAGGGGTACTTACTGCCGTTGTTAAAGCCGTCCTGGCTGGCAGCAATGTCGTACTCATCGCTCCAAGTAACAGTGCTTGTATCTATCTGGGCTTGACGTTAGTAGTCGACGTCAGGATTCTGCACTCCTGCGCTATACTTACGCAGTGTCGAAGCAATGTTATTCTAATGGGTTTAACCGCCAACTTCAATTCCACAATCGAAACAAACTTTGAAACCCCTTTCGAAAGTGTTTCGCGCCGAGTCTCTGCTTACCTTGACTGTCAAAGTATATTGCGGCATTTTGAGTTGGTTAAGTTGAATAAGTCATCGGCAATTGATAATATCTCCAGGATTGCGAAGCTTGTATGTTATTCCAAATTGTCAGGCTTTCAACGATATGAAGACATTGGACAGGGCGGCATTTATACTCTCGTGAACCGCAGTGAGTGAGATGTACTATTTGCAGCCGAGACCAATGCCTGGAAACGTATGCTTACCCCCACACACTTTAGCATCATGGCGTTCTGGTGTGTTGGTGGAAGAGGGGGGGAGGCTGCTACACCAAGCCAATTGGGTTTCCTCAACAGCACAGTCTAAGTTGGCAAAGTACGCTAAGTTGTAAGTCAACGCGTGATCCTAGCCTCCAACTTTCAGCTGAGAGGAAATATGTACTACGTGGCCGGAACTGATTCATGATTGATCATGTATTAAACCATAAATCCCCCTCATATATAATGGTTCTCGAATTATAGGCTCTAATATACTAACGTATTTCCCCACCACCCCGTACACCCCTAGACCCCGCACACCTCAACACCATCGACGCGTCATCACAACAAGCCACTTCACTCTCTTCTGTAAAATTCAAATTAAATCCATTTTTTTTTCTGTTAACAGAAATGAATTCGCAAGTGTCAGATTATGAAAATAGAATGCAATTGGCAGTAGAGGACCAAAAGTTGATAGGTTTGCGAGCTTCGGCGCGAAAACATTCAATTAAACTGTCGACTTTGAAAGATCGATGCGCCGGCGGCCAAGACATCAGAACGGCACATCAGAAAGACCTGTCGCTAACGGTCGTGCAGGAGGATGACCTTGTTAACTATATTATCGAAAGAGAGCAAGCTTTTCAGCCTCTGACGAGGCAGGAAATACACGACTTTGCACAAGCGTTGTCTGCCGTCAACGGGGGCGTCTCGTATATCGGCAAGAACTGGGTCGACAGATTCATATCACGCCATGAGACAATAGAAATGAAGCCATCGAGAGTCATAGATGCTTCAAGGAAGCGTTGTGTCACGGAGGAGACGCTCACGGAGTACTATGACGGTCTCAGCTATGTTGTTGAGTCCAAGAAGATCTTACGGTCTAATTCGTATAACGTAGACGAGACTGGGGTCCAACTGGGGGAAACCAACGGCGGGACTGTGGCCGGGACCGTCATGACTCCTAGTTCAGAGCGTATAAAGTCAGACAATTCTACTTGGAGCTCGATATTGGAGTCTATATCAGCAGACGGTCGTCGTCTCACCCCGACAGTCGTTTTTAAGGGAGAAAACCTCCAAGGACAGTGGTTTCCGAGCGTTTTCCCTGATTGGAAATACACTGCAAGTCCTACGGGTTGGTCCAACGCCGACATCTTCCTCAAATGGTTTATGGAGGTATTTATACCTGAGACTACGCCGTCAGACCCGTCCCAATGGAGACTTTTAGTCCTGGACCAGCACAAGTCACATATAACAGCAGAATTGATGAAAAAGGCTTGGTTAAACAAGATTTGGCTCTCTTGGTTACCCTCACATTCTTCACATATTACACAGCCGCTCGATGTTGCGGTATTTGGACCGTTAAAACGGTACTATCGCCAATTGACCCGATTTTGGGCTTCATACGAAGCGACCTCACCACATCAGCAACAACTATTCCTAAAAGCTTATAAAGAGGCTTCCCAGAAAGCCCTGACTCGAAGGAACATAATAAGTGGCTTTTCAGCCACTGGTCTCTTCCCAATAAATATACAGAAGGCGTTGAAGTCTTTGAAGCCCAAAGAGAAGAAACGCAAGTCATTTCAAGGGCCTACAACACCAAGGAAGGTGCAAGTCACTTCCGAGACCGTGTGGGGAACGCCTCAAGGAAGTCATAATATTAAAAAACAGCTCCAAGAGGCTCAAAAAGACGGAAATCCGTCAATTCGCGACTTCAAATGTATCCTGAAGAAGGCGATGAAGTCCATCGACAACAAGAACAGTCAAATACAGCGCCTGGAAGAGGAAAAAGCCGTTCTTAAAGCGTCAGCAGCAGCAAAAGCTCCTACAGGTCGGGTCCCCGTTCAATTTAACCCTAACCAAGCTTTTCCTGAGATTGAACAGATCATTACAGCACGAGATCAAGCCGAAAGGAATGTCTTACATCAGATCAATGAAAACAGACGGAAACTACAGAAAAAAAAGCCGCCAAAAACACCAACGGTAGAGAGAGCGTTCTTTAATCAGTATCTAAAATCCTAGCTTAATTGAATAAATACTTGTTGTTATATAATTGATTGTAGTCATCTACAGATCCCGATGTGAGGTTATCACAGGTGTGCGGGGACTAGGGGTGTACGGGGTGGTGGGGAAATACGTTAGATCAATCAATCTAGCCGTAGATATGGTTTAATAGTTACCTCTAGATTCGCTTTGCTCAATCTGCCGCGTCCAAGCTCAATTAAGAAATGTACTTCCTGTTAACTAACAACAGCGTTTTCAGCAAATAAATTGGTCAAGCTTACAGTTTGTCATAATCCTTTGGCCTATTTAAGCAGACTAATGATACGGTGTGAAAGTAGTCAATTGCCCATATCACCATTCATTCAGCCTCAATAGGCAGGCTTTCTTTCGGGATAGGCGTGTACTTCTTTGCAGTATCTCTTCAAAGTTCAAAGATTAGATGGTTCAATCTTAATTGACCTACTCCACATACTGTTAGCTATCCCAAGTCTGTATCCCATGATTGACGGATAACTCACAATGTCACATTTGATCTCTTGTTCGTGGGGTCTTTAAACGTTTAGTGTTTCTGGCTGGGTAGTATTTTCTGAAGTAATGCTCATGATTACCTAGAGGCTATAGTGGTTCTCCAGTGTCCCATTATATCAAGCATAATATGCACACCACTCTCCAACAGGCCTTTCCCGTTCAATAGAAGGCGGCGGGAGAAGGGTGGACTTCGACCTGATAAGGCGATGACCGAGACGTTTTCCCGGGTTCAACTGGTTTGTATTCTTCGGATGCTTCACTTGGTGCCAACAACCGCGATGGTCCTGATAGATTGTGCCATGCCCTTTCTGAAAGTGATGGATTCTAATCTCTTCGATCAAAGAACGAAAGGTTTTCACTTCTTCTGCAGTTGGCTTTTTCACATTTTCCCAGAGTTTTTCTTGTTCAGTGTTTGCCCTCCATACCATCAAATCCATTGGCGTTTGGTTGTTGACGTCTTTACCCTCTGGGTCCAGTCCTGTAGGGCGATGCTCGCGTAGGTATTCGATGTGATCCAGGTCTCCGTATATCGCCGCGTAATGCAAGATAGATCTCTCCATATCGTCGAGAAGGTCAAGTCTTGCACCTCTTTGGTGAAGAAGATCAAAGGCGCTATTGTCCCAGGTGATACAAGACGCGATATGGATAGGGGTCCGGCCATGTTTATCCCGTATATTGATGTCAGCTCCTCCGTCCAGAAGTGTCTCCATCTTTCCATTGCAGTCCCAAGGCTCAGCCGCATTGCAGCATGCCCCGATGAGGTGATGTATAGGAGCAAAGCCTGTAGCTTCGACCTTGAGGTTCGGATCAGCACCCTTATTCATCAGAACCTGAACAACTTCCGTCGAGGCTACCTCCACAGACGCGCAGGCAACATGCAATGCGGTTGTCCCCTTCCAGTCTTGGACATCAGGGTTGCTGCCCAAGCTGAGCAGTTTGACAATGATATCGACCCATCCGTAGAAGGCAGCGAGATGGAGTTGGGGATAGCTACTGCGGTGGTTCACGACATCGAGACGAGCCAGGCGGTAGAAGATGTCGAGTGTGACATTCAGGAAGAAGAGATCCTGTGGATTCTCCTTGACCTGGACGACATGCGGTTGTTTAACGTTACCTAATAAGGGGAGGTTAGTCGCATGGTCGGACTTGGGGGACAGGGTGGACTTACGGATTGTAGCCATGGTAAGTGTTTACAGATTTCAGTAGAAGAAGGGTTAGGTGTACATTGTGCCATGATGGGTGTACAAGTTGTATTTATACATATCGGCAGACCCATCATGCCTTTGCATACACTTCGAGGTGAGAACTCAGTCAGCCAAAGGAGCGGCATCCTCATCGAGCTTTGACATTGAGAGAGGGGTAGGCACCATCCGTGCTTTTTATTTGGCGTGATATTCTTCAGGAGAAATAACAGGAGTTTGCCTAAAATGGTGTGACTTATCGATAAGCTCATTCTGATACATGATGACAGTCTAATGATGCATTGACGAATCATGTTGTTATTCTGGAAAGGTCCAGATCGTTCAAAAGTATATCGTAAGTTCCGTCACCGGGGATTACTGCAAGACATATATCGCAGATCTGTCTTGTCAATGGTCCAAGTCAATTGAGTTTAAACTTAAGATGTATCATGGATTCATGAAGCTCTAGTGGAAAACGAGTCACATGGCATTATTTGCAGAGTTCATGTCAATTCCAATTAATCGTTACGTAGGCGTTCGATATGTCGTTCCATTGCCTGGAACGTGGCAACTCGATTGGTCATGCTTCCAGTCACCATCGAATAGTTGTGGCAAAGGGATCTGATTTGTCCATGTCTAAGTTAAAATTCAGCCTTGCGAGAAGGGTCCATGCTTCCAGCCAATTCATATCGTTGTGGCTGATTGCAGGCTGAATGGCTTATACAAAAGGCATCAGTTTTGCCCAAGAGTCGCAATTCGCTGTGAGCATACTTCCGGACTGGTCAATTACAGTTTGTTTTCCTACTTCTAACATCAGAGCTTTCAATTAAGTGGGTAAGTACATGCGCAACGCGGCATCTCATTTGTCCCAGCCATATGACTCACGACAAACACAAAGTATGTTAAATTAAGCACAGAGTAATCAAAATTAGGTACAGAGTATAACAAGAATAGACACAGAATATATCAATATTTTTTTGCATTTCGGCGTTCAGTCCATGACCACTAGATATAGAATCTTCCATATTATAAGTTCAGAGATTATTCATTACAGTAAATAGCATTCCGCTTGCAACATCAATGCTCCACGTGTTCCAATCAAAACCTCAATTCTTGTCTTGGTATAGTTTCTTCCAGTAAATAGCGTCAACCTTGACAATAGCAAATCGGAGAAAGGGCCACGACTGCATTCGAGTGCGGAGAGTCTTTCTCCATGTTGCGAGAAGGTTCTGGTCATACGCCGTCATATCAGGCTGCCGCTTCTGGAGACAGAGCATGTAGCAGAATAGTCCGGGATATGCTAGACAGTTCCGTGTATAAGCAGGCCAGAATGCTGATTGATGTCTTGCATCTAAGCCGCGGATAAACTTGATGACTGTTTGGATTAGACCACGACATGCTTGGAGGACGGTTTCCACGGAAGATTGTACATGATTGAGCTGTGTGTTGCTGTCAATGATGGGACGTAAGAGCGCACGTAAAACGAGGATATGCGTGGTGTAATATGCTACGTAGAGGGATCTGTGACTCTTGACGGAGTCATCTGCATCACTGTCACTTGGCTCTGGCCTGAGTGCTAGCGATTCAGGAAGATCTTCTAGCCATTTGAGTAGCTGCTGACGTGGCCCACGAGCTTGTTCAAGAAGAGAGTCAAGAATTTGAGGCCGTGATGCAGCACGTAGGGAGCTATTGTTGTCAGTCCAGAGCAATGGATGGCCAGAAATAGGGCAACAAAGAGGTCTTACAAGAATTGTCGACAGATTCCGCTAGTGATCTCTGTCAATGAGCACAAACGAATGAAATATTCGAGTGACTGATCTCGAATGCTCTCCGGTATGATGGCTGTAGGATCAAGAGTGAAGTCGGCAGACGTAAGTGGTGAGACATCCCAATCATCGTCAGATATCATGGAAGATCGACCATGAGTTACTGCACGCCAAGTATATTCGACATAAACAGCCCACCATAACCGTCTCCGAAGGCGAACCTCCCACGTTGGCAACTTCCATCCAGTCGAATTGACATTCAAGCCAAGTGACTGAGCCATGGCCAGCATGGAAGCTGCTAAGGACCATACAAACGGGTTCTCCACAACGACGACATCAAAAGGGGTGTGATTGAGAAGGAGGAGGAATATCTGGATGGTGGAGAGACGGGGGAAATGAAGTTCCTTTTGGAGGCATGTGTAGGAGACTTGCCACAGATCATTGACGTCGGGCTTGAAATATGCGCTGTCGAGACAGAGCTTTTCGTCCCAGGGGGTGAAGGGCAGTGCGAGGGCGTATATACCCGCGAGTAAGCCGGTCGATGCCTCTGCGACAAATTTGTTCAAGTCCTCAAAGACGAGAGAGCGAGAAAGGATTGGTAAGTCTTCGAAAACAAACCTGAAGTACCTGTACATGGCTAAGTAAGTATGTTGATCAAGTACAGAGGGGCGTAAGAGGCATACAGTTTCACTAAAGCCACGCCTGTCTCTCGATCCACCAATTTCTCCAGATCTTCCCTATCACCCAGCGACGACATACACTTATCCACAATCTTCTGACTCTCAATAGCAGTCCCCGTTTGACTCTGCAAAAAATGGATAGGAGGATTCGCTGGGAACGTTTGATCTTGGGGATGCTGCTGCCGTCGATACGCAACGCGATAGAAGTCGACTTCATCACTACTCGAGTACGGAAAATGATTAAGAGAAAACGGATCCGACTCGTTAGAAAAGCCAATTAGTGACGTTGAGTGGTCTGGCCGTTGGTCGAATGAAAGGCGCTCGAATAGGGCTGTTGGGCTGGCGGGACGTTCTGTTGTTTTGCCGGGGGTGGTGATGGGAATTTCTCCGTAATCGTCTGAGGGCGTTGGGTCATCGAGGGGCTCAAGATTGGGAAGTTCGCCGTTGGCGAAGAAGTCAAACGGCTGGTCGCCGCCGTCTATGCCGTGTTGATCGAATGATATGTCCCAGTTGATCCCACCGCCTGGGGAGAAGATGGATTGGGATACTGTGCCATCCAGAGGGGTTAAGTCGAGTCCTGGCTCAATACCGGAAGATTGGATTTCTAAAATATGTCAGCAAAGTATCTTTCAGGCCCGATGTCTTCTCACCATCCGGCATGCGCAGCGTCTCATACACACCCGCATCCTGCGCAAGCGCCTGTTCCGGCCGCGGCACAACAATCGGCGTCCCTCCACCATCAGAATCCAGCCGCCTCGTCCGACTATCCCTCGGCTTCTTATTCGGATTCCCCACAAACGTGCAAACGCGTCCTGTGCGGTCACAAAGCTGGCATGGACGCGTCGGATCAGGGATGTTGCAGAGCACTTTTCGGGCCCTACACAGATCACATGGTCTTTGCGACTTGGAGCGGTAGCGCCTTATGCCCGCGACTTGGCGGTGCGGTTGCGGAATGTTATGCTCGTCATGATTCATTGCGCGAAATGAGATGCTGATAAGGTCAGACTCGCGGTATTCGATTGATGAAGTGAATTACCAATAGCGGGGTCCGAGTTTGCGCCCGATATCCGGGGCACGTGATTGGAAGACCGGCAGTTAGTGTCGGCGAACATCATGTCTGTCATGGAATACAAATGGTCGCGATTGTACGATATAGAATATGAATCTAGGTAGTATTCGAATGGAGCGTAGAAGTGATATTAACAATATTCATTCTGTATGTTCATATAGCCAGGAGGTTTCCTAAATGAGGGGGCTCCTTAATCTGTATCGCTGAGATCCAACGACCTTATCATGGAGCCAATCATGGTATCCGTGAGCGCCATATGTCTGGTCAATATTTATTATCCCTGGAGCCTACGGTTATTACATCTGATCATTGTTTGATTAATTCATGCCGGGGAAAAAAAAACAATAACGTCTCACTCTCATTACCGGCTCAATATTCTTATCATGACTTGTTCTTGAGTCCAATCAAACAAAAATTTGCTATTTCTCTATACACCTGATGTATTACACCACAGACATCGAAATTATAATAACAGCTATTTGAATTATTCAACTCTCGTCGCACGAAGCTTGTCATATCGCAAAACCGCTCCGAGAAGAACACTCGCGCCAAGTGCACTACATCATGTTAGCATAGCATCCCCAACTCTTTCCGTACAGAAAATACTTACCAATCTTCAGGCGAGCAATACTCCGTTGGGTTATGGCTAATTCCCGATCTCGTCGGCGTAAAGATCATACTCGTAGGACAAACCCGATTCGTGTAGCAGCTATCATGCCCCGCTCCACTGATCATAGGTCTCCAAAGCTTACCCTCCGCATTCTGCGGCAACGTCGAGCAAACATCCGCAGCACTCTGCTCCACGACCGAAATACACTCTTGGCTGAACTTGACAGCGGGGCTGTCTACAAGAAGCTCCCAGTCGACTTCACAGCCCTTTTCGCTATCGTCATGAGAGACGCGTTGGAATTCTGCTTCGCATTCCTTTACCATCTCGGCTAGGACTTCATCCTTGACGTGACGAAGGTCGAGGGTGAATTTGACGGTATGCGCCATTGTGTTGACGGTTCCAGGGTCGGTTGTGAAAATACCGGTTGTTGCGAGACCGTCGTATTTTTTGGCGACTGTATTGGTGGCGACGAGCATTTTGCTGGCGCATAGAACAGGGTCTTTTCGAGCGTATAATGGTGTTGTGCCTGCGTGGCTGTCTCGGCCCTTGACGGTGATGTTGAACCATTTGAACGCTTGGACGCCTATTTCCTTGTCAGTCACCGTAAATCTCCAGTTGAAGGGATTTTGTTACCGTGTACAACACCAATCTTGAGACCCTCGTCCTCCAGAATCGGTCCTTGCTCGATGTGAAGCTCAAAATGGGCCGCGAAAGGATTTGATCGGTACGAGGCGGGCTGGTCGCCGCAGTAGCCTATCCTGTCGAGCTCCTCCTTCATCGATTTGGGATTGGATGCCAGAACTTCCCGAAGGTCCCAGGCGGTTTCGAGGGGGATGACATCGGCCCATACGCCTGATGAGACTGCCATCTTGGGAAAGCGGGCGCCCTCTTCACTAAGAAATAGTCAGTATATCATCTGCAGAGAAGGGTTCAGTCCACCGACTTGGTCCAGTTCACCACTCCAATTGGCCCCGCAGTCTCATAGCCATGATCATTCAACTTTCTCAAAACCTCAAGACCCGAAATAACACCAAGAATGCCATCATATCGTCCGCCAGTAGGTTGCGTGTCCAAATGCGAGCCCATCATGACTGGAGGTAGATCATTGTTCTTGCCCGGCCGAATCGCAAACAAATTCCCCATTTGATCAATTGAAGTCTTTAAGCCCAGCGACTTGGCGTAGGTGATGAACCAATCTCGTACTTGCTTGTCGGAGTCGTCGAGGCTGAGCCGAGCCATGCCGGTTTCTGTAGAAGCCCTAGGGTAACCAGTTTAATTTTTGCGAAAAATGGTCATTTCGCGGCATTGACTTACTTTCCATAGCGGTGCGCAGCGCCGAATTGACAGCTCTCGTGAAGTGATTTTGCGAGATCGACTTCGTTGATTTTGAATGGTGGTAAATTGAGAGAACCCATGGTGATGCCTGCTAATTTTGACGTTTGTTTGGCGTCCAAGTTGGCTGTTGTCAAGATCGCAAACGTCTGTATCCAAATGTACCTACTCCTCTCAACGTTCAATCTATCGATAACAGCTCCTTGATAAATTGCAAGTCTTGTCTAATTATGTATAGCTCCCCCTCAGTTGTTATCCTTTATCGTCCCCGACGGTCACAATTCCCTCTCCAGATTGAGGATCACGGCCGAGTGATGAGAGTGGGGTCCTTGTCCGCCGTCGGCCGTCGGCGGAGACTATCCTCCGTTGGGAAGCTTATTGGAGCTCGGAAGTGACTCCAATCTTGCCGAAGAAATATGACATAACCTTTTTGCATGGCTGCAAGGATGTCGAAAACGCGGGGTAACCTTAGTTTCAATTGACTTTCCAGAGGCGGTAATGGGAGAATAACTTTGTTATTCAGCTTAATAACGTCTCCTGGTTGATTGCGCTGTAGATAGACTTTTTCGAATCACACCGGAGATAATCAACGCACGGTTCAGCATTGCAGCTTCAGTTTTCAATCTGGAGAGGCTTCAACAATCTCTTATCATCTCATATCTGTCTTATCTCATCTCTATCATGTATACTCTTTCAAAAGGGAAGGATTTACCTTAATCATCTCCACTTGTGGAGTCTTATACCTCCGCCGACGGTTTATTACAACTTGACTATCAGACTATCAAATGCGGGGGTGGATAACTGACCATCGCTTAACTCGTGCAGCAGATCACCTAGTGATAACTCGGATATGCATGCATGCAGCTGGGACCTTAAAAGAGTAGGTCTGTACCTGTAATCCACATTTTACACCTCGTATTCTCGCAACTCTTGTCAATACACATTCAACATTGTCAACACTGGCCAGGATGGAAGCTGCCGAGAAGCAGTCAGAGCTCAAGATGCCGCTCGAACAAGAGCTCGATCAGAACTCTGGCGAGATGAACGACATGACTGAAGTCGAGAAAAAGGTGTTGTCAAAGTTTGACAAGTTCGTCATGCCGCAGATGGCACTGCTCGTTCTATTTGCTTACCTTGACCGAACAAATATCGGCAAGTACCTTGCAACCCTTGGGCTCCAGCTCAGAAAGCTAATCATGATACTCTAGGAAACGCACGTGTATTCGGCTTCGAAGAAGATACAGGCATGCATGGAACCCAATTCAACGACGTGTCAATGTATTTCTACATCTCATACGTCGTCTTTGAAACACCATGGGTTCTCGCCGTCAAGAAATTCGGACCAGGTCGCGTCCTTGCTATCGCCATCATCAGCTGGAGTATCATTACTTTGGGAACCGGCTTTGTCAATAGCTATGGCCAAGTCGTCGCCTGTCGAGTTCTCCTCGGTTTCTTCGAGGCTGGTCTCTTCCCTTCCCTCACCTTTGTCGTTTCTCAGATCTATCCACCTGCGTCGCAAGGAAAACGTGTCGCCGTTCTTTATGTCTCTATTGCACTTTCGGGAGCACTTGGTGGACTTATCGCATATGGCATTCAGTCGATGGGTGCGCGACATGGTTTGTCAGCTTGGCGATGGCTTTTCATCATCGAGGGTGCCATCTCACTCGTCATCGGAGCTGTTTGCTGGCTGAGTCTCCCGACGTCTCCCCAAACGGCCTGGTTTCTCTCTGAAGAAGAGAAGTCGACCATGGTGCTTATCAAAGAGCGCAACCATCCTTTCAAAGAAACAGAAGGTTTCTCGTGGAAGCAAGTCGTCATGGCCCTCACCGATCCCCTCGTCTGGCTTGCTTCCGTCTCACTGTTCTGTGCTTCCATCGCACTTTTCGGTTTCGGCACATTCCTCCCTACTCTTCTCAAGGGCCTCGAGTAAGTATCTCTATCTCTTTTTCAGGACTCCACTAATCCAGTGACGTAGCTACACATCCCTCCAAGCCAACTATCTCAGCATACCTGTCTACGTTCTGGCATCCATCTTTACTGCTGCCACCACCTACGTCTCAGACCGCCTCAACCGCCGAGCTATCTGCCTCATCCACTCTCCACTATTAGTCATAGTCGGATATGCCATAGTCGTCGGTACCGGTCACAAGGCCGCGGGTTTCTTTGCCATGTTCCTCGTTGGCGGTGGCGTCTACTCCTTCAACACTGTTTTGGTAACGTATGTCAACACCCAACCACATGGCGGGCAATGAACTAACGATGTTTAGATGGGTATCAAACAACATGCAGCCAGACTACAAGCGCTCTGTCGCAATCTCCATGCTGATCTCACTCGCAAACGCATCCGGAATGGCTGCGTCGCAGATCTATCCCATCCAGGATGCTCCTCGTTACGTCATGGGAAATGCAATCTCTCTTGGAGGAGAGGTATTGGCACTTGTTTGCGTCGGACTCATTTATGCTCTTCTCAAGTACCGCATGCAACAGAAGGACAGGTTGATCGCAGAGGGTAAGGATGGCAATGGAAAAGAGGGAGATCAGAGCTTGGAGTTCAAGTATGTCTTTTAAAGAGAGAGCCCCGATACGCCATAACACGGATGTCGGTGTCTCAAAATTATAGCTTTTATTATGAATTGTAGTAGTGTCAGAATTATAAAATGCTATATGTGATGCAGTCCCAAAGTTGAAATTGAGAACTAGCCAAGAGATGTGTGGCTGAGTAACAGATACGTATTTTTCAAGTTAAGAATGGTAATATCGTTGAGTGTTATGTATTAAAATAGCTATATACTTGAAGATATTTCGGACTTCATGTAAGAAGCGCTATATACTTTGCCATATGTACCGCTAGAAATGAGCAGCAGTTTAACCACTCCCGCCGAAAGCAGGGAAAGAAGGTGTGCTCTCATCACACGCGAAGCGAACAAAGTACCTGTTATCGCTACCATCACCATTGACAATGACCGTTCCATCAGGAGCCTGGACCTCAGCGATGAAGTTGAGATCGCCCTGAGCATTAGCCCACAGGAGTCGGAAGGGAGTGTAAGTGCCAGCGGTGAGGTGAATGGTGAAAGACTTGGAAGTGCCACCAGGGTAGTCCTGCTCGAGATCCGCGTTTTGGCGAGTCCAGCCTGAAATGGCCTTGGTGCCGAACCAGATGAGGGTGATCTCATCGGAGTTGGGAATAGTGACCTTGTAGTCACCGGTATCGGGGGCGTAGAGGAATGCTTGGTGGTTGACGGCCTTGTACTGGAACCTCTGAACGGGGCTGTCAGCGTAGATGGCGAAGGACGTGTCGGATGCTGTGCCGGGAGGAATACCGATGCGAGTGGTTTCGCCCTGGAAGGTAGGGGTGGCGGTATGGAAGAAAGTAGGGTCGAAGGAGGAGAAATGAGGAGGATCAGAGTTGTAGAATGTGTGCTCGTAGATGGCATACTCCAGGCCGGCGTTATCGCAAGATTGGTCTGCAGTAGGCTCAGCAGAGGTAGTGGTCTCTGTTGCGGTACCGGATGTGGTTTCGGCATCAGTGGTGGTAGCCTCAGCAGTGGTAGTCTCAGCGGTGGTGGTGCCCTCAGCAGTGGTAGTCTCAGCAGTGGTGGTGTCAGCAGTGGTGGTGCCCTCAGCAGTGGTAGTCTCAGCGGTGGTGGTGCCCTCGGCGGTGGTGGTGCCCTCAGCAGTGGTAGTCTCAGCGGTGGTGGTGCCCTCAGCGGTAGTGGTGCCTTCAGCAGTGGTAGTCTCAGCGGTGGTAGTACCGGCAGCACTTGTCTCGGCAGTAGTGGTGCCAACAGTGCTTGTCTCAGCAGCACTTGTCTCGGTAGCGCTAGTCTCCGAGACAATCACTGTAGCGAGAGTGGAGCTCTCAGAAACAACAGGGACGGAATAGTCCGTGCTGGTAGAAGCAGCAGTCTCAGTCGCCGTGGAGGAGGCGATCTCGGTGGAGGAGGAGACCGCGGCAGCAGCAGTTGTTGTTGTGCGAGGCCTGCAAGGGCCGGCGGCGGCGAAGCTGGCAAAGGCCAAGCCCGCAAAGGTAATGATCGACTTCATATTTGGAAGAGAACGTGATGAACAGTAAAGAATGACTGGGGAAAAAGAAGGAATGAATGAGCGTGTGATCTGCAAGCAGAATTAGGATCGTCCGCTGTTATATACAAGGACTCTAATCTAATACCATGTTAAAGAGGCGTTTACTTAATATGGCAATTTCTTTCGCGATGGTCGAATACTGACTCGTCTTTACGAGGCTAATATAATCACATTGCGCCAGGCTGAGAACTTCAGCTGTTGTTTAAATTGCGACTGTGATTTGGCTGAACTAAAATCCACGCCGTACTCCGAATACCCCGTATTCCTCTTGGCATCGGACCATGTTTTGTTTCCCTGCAAGGTTCAAGGATGTTGAATCTAGTTAGCTGCTCATCAAAGGCAGAAGCTAGCAACGGTCATCGCGGTTTGTTCGGCTAACAGCCGATGGTAGGGCAGTCCTCTTGAAGAGCTGTAATAAACCTGAAACCAGGTAACTGGTCGAAATTTACGTCATGGCGTTTGTGTTTATGGGCAGGCCAATAGGGCTTTGAGATAACCTGTTTGAATCCACTTCTGCACAGACTGTAATTTCTAAATTGTTAGCTCAAAGGCCGTTGAGGCTTGAGCTGCCCCTTTACCCTACAGCTTCACAGCCCAATGAGATGAAAAGAGTTATAGACTATTGAAACTAGTACCTGGATCCGTCTCCCAGCTGCATCGTTACTGTCAACCTTCACGCCTTTTTTGAGTAGCTATTTTCGTATCAAAACAATAACGCAAAGTCTGGTTTGCGACTTTGGAACCAACAATCACGCGATTAGGAATCGACAAATGAAGCACAACGTAAAGTCCTTACACTACCTTTACAGCTTTGCAATCCCGAAGGCTGTAGCAGATTTCCGCACCCCCACCATTGATCTAGAGATATCTGCAATTGCCGCAGCGCCACTCAGCACCATTGTACGCCACAGCTCTCTCTCCAGGATGTTCAACACCGTTTCTACCCCCTGTTGCCCATTCACAGCTAAACCCCATAGCGCTGACCTTCCCAACAGACAAAGATCTGCCCCTAAAGCTAGGGCTTTAAAGACGTCTGTACCCTTGGTGATCCCACCATCAAATAAAACCGGAATGCGGCCCTTTACAGCGCCAGAAACTTCAGGTAAAGCCTCAAGTGTTGCTGGAACGCTGTCGAGTTGACGACCTCCGTGGTTTGATACAATGATGGCGTCAACGCCTGCATCAACCGCTAGGAGAGCATCTTCAGCTGTGAGAACTCCCTTGAGAATGATCTTGATGGATGTTTGGGATCGTAGCCAGGGAATTGTCTCTGTCCAAGTCAAGGCTGAGTCGATTAGAAGATCCGAATGCTCCCTTTCAATCTTAGCAGCCTCTTCCGCAGTCTCCGCGTTCAGGATCAATCGACCCTTCGATGTGCCACCGCCTTTGATGGTAGTCATGTTAGCCATGCTCAAATCAGCAGGCAACTTCAACGGATTGGTGCGTTCATGCAGGCGATTCCCCATGGTTGTCGTATCCACTGTCAGAACGAGAGCTTCAAAGCCCGCTCGTTCTGCTCGCTTGATAAGCTCTTTCGTTATGAGTCGGGAACGCACAAAATATAGCTGAAACCATGGTTTAGGATACTTCACATCGCGTTGAGGTAGGGCTTGGGCAACGTCTTCGAGGGATGTTGTGGCGTTGGAAGAAAGACAGACATTCGTGCCACGGGCAAAAGCGGCTCGGGCGACGTCTATCTCGCCGTTGTATCCAGCTAATCGTTGGTATGCGCTTGGTGCGATGGCTATCGGCACGTCATAGTGTTTCCCGAATATCTGTGTTGAGGTATCAATTGTAGACACATTTCGAAGAATGCGTGGACGAATGACAAGACTGTTGAGGCAAACATATTAGTATGTGATTCTTTTCGCGTGGGAGCTGTGATAAGGTTGAGGGGTAGGAAGAAGCTTCAGCCCCAACACGCTCATGGTGGCAGAGGATCATGCACCCCACGCGACGCGAACGACTGTCACCCGCCGCATCTGGTCAGCTCTAGGGTAGTAATACTCACGTTTTGTATACCTCGCCATTCTGCAAAGTCGTCAATTGATCATCAGCTCCATCAGCGTAATAGCGCCAGATATATGCTGGTAAGCGCTTTTGAGCTAAGGCTTTGATCTCGTCGACCGTGATGTGTTTTCCGTTCTTTGCTTCCATTCTATCTTGGATCCGAGTTTTATCTTTCTCGTAAAAATGAATTACTCGGTTTGGTTTATGTAGTCAGTTCTCGAAGTAAAGGGCGTTAGAGATCAAAATGGAGAGGTAAATTACAACGATTTCTTTGGTAGAAATTTAACTCGGCTACTTTCCATTACAATTGAATCGATCCTAAGTCGACTTGGCCACTGACGCTTCGAAGATAAGCCGAGTGTAAATAAGATTAAGAATTGGCTGTGGTTAGCGTCGCGGGATGTCCGATGATGGGCAGCGTTAGCTTCGGGCGGAGTCCGCGAGATCTTCTCCGCATCTCGCGGACCCGCACCGAGATGATCAACCCTCAATACGTTATGATTATACAACGAATGAACGGTAAAGTTGCACTCGCTCTCCATCCGCTTCAATGTCCGAACAGCGACTATTCGCCTGCGAGCGATGTTCACGCCGCAAACAACGATGCGATCGCACAGTCCCTGTTTGTCAACCATGCCAAGAAGCTCAAGCAGAATGCATTGGCTCAGCGTCCGAGGGGACTATTATATCCGGTAATAACAGAGTCGCTGCGCGGAAAGGACCTGTCACGCGATTGCTGGAGCAGATTGACATCTTGGAAGAGAAGCTTCGGGGTCATGACCGAGGGGAGACTAGTAATGACAATGCTTCTGCAGCGGTTGACCCTGAAAGGGCTTCGTCAGATGCTGCCGCGGAGCTATCTGAGCACCGGGGTAGTGCAGCGTTACCGCAATCGACAAGCATGGATATGAGATTCCTTTCACTAAGCGCCATGACCGAGCCGTCTTCCCGTCGGGGCGAGTTCCTCAAACACCTCTCCACCCAGCGTTTAATTGTAGGCATCACAAAGACCTACGGCGGTGATCCTGAGTCTACCGCTCGCCCCGATTCACTATGGGAGGGCATATCGGCATATCTACATCATCCTCAGGGTAGTAAGCATCGCTTACGTATACCCCCCGCCGACGCGAACAAAGCCCTCGAGATATATCTCGCAGTGGTCGACTTTCGTTTTCCTCGCCTCCCTGTGGACAAGGTGCTACTAGGCATTGATGCCATATCGCATGTTGAAGAGGACCATTTCAGAAGGGTTGTCGCTACAGACCCGGCGCATGTTTTTATGGCATACGCTGTCATAACTATCGTGCCACTTGTCAGCGATGCCTACCCCATATCACAAGGATCCTGGGTGTCAGTGCACCTTCTGGGAAAGTGCATGGAACTACTCGATAGGGTGTTTAATCAAGAAGATGGCATCGATATAATCCAGTGTCTACAACTTCTGGTCATTCTTGCCGTGCACTGCTCCGCCGCTGGATCGGCCTGGCATCTGTCCAGCTTCGCGATGAATAAGTGCATCGCCTTGGGATATCATCGGGAGGACCCAAAGTCTGCTTCCATGTCGTTACTGGATGTTCAGCAGAGACGCTGGGCGTTTTGGGGATGTTATTTTCTGGATGTCCTGATATGTGCCGCTTTGGGGAGACCACCGAGTATTGATGTCAAACATATCACTACTCCTCTGCCAGCGGATCCTGCATCAAATTCATCTAGTCAATGTGCACAGCATGGACAGATCATATCAAATCTCCGAACTTCCCCTTCCACGACCCACCGTCTCGTTTCTCGCGACGTATATCACAAACAACTATTCCAATATGCCCGACTTCTATCTCAGGTTGTTAGTGAGGCTGCAAACAGTCCCCAATCGTCAGGTCCTTGCGACGATTTCGAGCATCACCTCGGGCAGGCCCTTAGCTGGAGAATCAGCTCACTGCCACATGATGAGCCAGACAGCTGTAACATCTATCTCTTCCAGACCTCCTTATATAACACCCTTATGTTACGACTGGCAGTCAGGGAGCTACTGATTCTATTCTCTTTCGGACCTGACTTGCATGACTCCGAACCTACATCTGAGCCAATCACTATGTTTCTAGGCGATATAAATACTGAGGAGAGTCGGATGAAGAGATTGAAGATTTCACAAATATGCGCAGCTGTGGCGCGAAGTTTGGACCGCGTTCACATGACCGGTCGTTCTTATCTCTCTCTCATCACTGGCTACAGCTCTTTGACCATGGCATTTACGTGTTTATACTTCATGGCTGTTCGAACCATCGTCAGGCACGCAACAGCAGAGAACACCACTTGGGACGTTCCTCAGAGTCACTTGGGATCAGATGGCTCAAGTATGACATGGCACCCGCCACCGTCTTCATTCCCCTTCCAGAACTCTGGAGATACCGTACCATCATTTGTTCCATCACCCGAAAGCCAGGCATGGGCGGATAGCTTTGAGGTTGATGGTGTCAATGACGCGTTCAATATTGCCGTTGCTAAAGTTGACGTAGTGGGAAGACAATTCCCTCGACTCAATCATTATGGTCGCATGGCTCTCGATATTCGTAAGCTTCTGATATCAATGTCAAGCCCGGCTGCATTCTTATCACCAACTGAGGCTGTTGGCGATCAGCTTGGAGCAGTCAAGGCCAGCGCTCAGGATATTGGACCAATGTATTTAAGGCAGCTCACAGCTGCCATCTTGTGTATAATCTCTCAGGCTCAACCGAATTGAGCAACAACTCTCTGTATGTAATGACCAAGCTTATCTGAGATTATTCGGCAAACTCTCAATGGTCAAGCCTAATGGAATAGGTGCGATGTTGAAAAAAAAAAAAAACCATGGCACTAGTACAGCCGAATGCGATTCAAGTGAAGTGGTGACTGTGAGGGGTAAGATAGTGCGGGGTTGCGATATTGCTACCTTCGGACCTCAAACCTCGCAAGACGCCCGATGGGTCTAATGCCGAGGACTTGGCTCGATAACAAAGCCTCCCAACGACGGTCTGCGAGGTGTTGGTCCTTTATATAGTTGGAACATTGTCATGAAGCCACTCATGCCATCAGCAGAAACCTCTATCCACGCCATCTTTTATAATGGGTTCGACACCAACTACTGCACCAATGGCTGATTCCGCCACCAAACCTGAACTTTACATCCTCAGTGACTTTCATCCAGAGGCCGTAAAATATGCCCAAAAGTCTTTTGATTGCATCCTCTATGGCGATCCTCGCACAGAGAATTGGCACTCTCACGCCACAGCAATCCTTATCAAGGATTACTACATCACAGAAGATGACCTCGCCTCCGCTCCCATGTTACGGGTCATTGGCAAACAGGGCGTCGGCTTGGATAAGATTGACGTCGAGGCTTGCAAAAGACACAATGTTAAAGTTTGTAACACTCCTGGCGTTAATGCCTCGGCTGTTGCAGAGATGGCGCTTTGTCTGGCGTTGACTGTCGCTCGGGAAGTGCCCCAGATGGTAATCCGACAGAGAATTCAGGGCGAAGCTATTCGAAAAGAGACTGTAGCCGGAATGCTGCTGTCTAAAAAAATCATTGGAGTTGTAGGCATGGGCCATATCGGTCAAGCTATTGCACATATGTTCGTTGGCGGATTGCAAGCAGAGATCATTGCTTTTGATCCATATTTCCACGACAACGAAAGCTCCTGGAACACAATACCCTACAAACGCGTCAAGACCCTCCCTGAGCTTCTCGAGGTCGCAGACGTGGTGACACTACATGTCCCTCTCACCCCCAGTACGAAGAACATGATTGCAGCGCCGCAGTTGAAGCAGATGAAGAAAACAGCCATATTGATCAACACAGCACGTGGTGGGATCGTCAATGAGGAAGATCTGGAAGATGCGTTGGAGCAAGGTGAGATTTGGGGTGCTGGTTTTGACTGCCATTGTGAGGAGCCGCCGACATTGGCAAAGTATGAGCGGCTTTGGAAGTGTCCGCGTTTCGTTGGGACGCCGCATATTGCTGCTGCGACGGATGAGACTCAAATTGCTACGATCAATGGGGCCACGGATGGTATACTTCAGTTCTTGCGTGAGAACAAGAAATGAATAGTCAGATCGATGAAGTCCCAAGGTTGCTAGGGCAAAGGGAGCACTGTTCGATACATATTTATGTAGGCAGAATGAAACAATTACAGTGGAACATACTGTCCTGTGAAACTGAGCTAAAAGTCTGATGACCTTGCCGGTGACTCTTCCCATGGAACCACGGTATCCCACACAAACTCCGATAAGCCCGCTGAGATGCCCTCTACCCCTAACACATAGGCAAGTGGCCACCCTTCTGGCATTCCACCCTCACTCAGCGCACTAAGTTGTGGATTACCTATCTGAATGCTTGTGAGATCAAGGATGTTCGTGCCACCCATATCCAGTTGATCCCCTCTGTTGAAGGCAGTATTGTTCTCAGCGTTTGAAGTATTGGAGAGCGGAGTATTGCGAGATGAATGCGTTTCATAACCCGGCGCAGCACCTTCCAGCACCAGATGCGTAGGCTGTTCTCCAGAGGATCCTGCCGTCTCCAGCTGGTGGCGCAAGCTTTGGAAGAACTGGTTATACACAGCCATATCTGGCATAGAGTCTGCGAACCACGATAGCAATGAGCCAGCTACTGATAAATCATTCCGTATATCTCTCGCTTCAGCATTCCACCGGTCATCAACAAGATCTCGCAGCCACTCTTCAACATCCATTCCAGACGACCTTGTCTTGTGACTAGGCCCATCCTGTCGATGAATACGCGTCTCGAGCACTACAACGATAACCAACGCCGCGGTGAATATAAGGTGCATATAAGCTCTCGAGAAAGTAACCATATTTAAACCCCGCAAAGCAGCGAAGGAACAGATGATTGCGCGGGCGGCTTGCAGACAGGGTTCGAGAAGTACATCAGGCGGTAGCATGGTTTTCGAGCCCAAAACCTCAATAGTTGCGCGGATGAGACGAAGTCGTTCTTCCTGGTATGTCAACTCGAAGAATTCTCTTGTCTCGAATAAGCAGCTCGGGTTATCAAAGAATGGCGCTGACTCATGCCAACTGCGTAGATCGTGGTGAAAACCGCGTAACTGACATAACACTTCACCAAGGTCGGGAGTTGAAGTTGCAGATGGTCCAACACTGAATGATGCGGAATTTGGTCTTCTCTCCTCCATCGCGGAATGGATTTGAGAGGAAAGGCGTCCGATTCCTATTAACCATTGGAAAACCGAGATGTCTTCTTCGTGGGGCGACGGAATCGAGTTCGGGATATCAGTGGAAATGAGCCTGTCCGCTATTGCGAATGGACGCCCTAAAGTTCTTGATGAGAACCTGTCAAGGAGATAAGCCTCCCAGAAGACCTTTTGACACTGTTGAAGGAGCGAGGTATCAGTGCCGCATAATTTGGGGCGTCGTCTATGTAGATCCAGCTCGATGCAACTCCTCATACAGAGACGACTTAGCTCCCATAGTGAGCAACCTGTCGATTGTATTAGCACTCGATAGAGCGGTAGGCTTGGTGAAGTGGACCTCATACATACCAATATTGTAATAAACACCAAAGCGAGCAATCAATATCAGGTTCTCGATATTCCCAAGTGTATTGTAACGAGACTCTGCAGGAGGGTTCATCTCTAAAGCGGCACTGAAGAAACCGAAAGGATGCTGGTCAAATGTTTTATCTCGAAAGAGTCGTATGCTGCCAATAGCAATGGCCATGTAGAGCTGGAAGATATCGTGCCTCTGCTCAGCTGTCAAGTTGATCCTTTCTTGGGTGGTCCAGTCCGGAGCCTGCTCAAGGTAGCTTTGCAGCACCTCTCGCTTAAGAAGAGGGTGTGCGACGTGAAACTCTTTGAAGCTGCAAATCCGTCAGACTCTAATGATGTCTTATTTTGAAGTTTCTGTGGTGACTCGTTGGCCAAATGATCAAATCCTGGACTTACTAATGATCAATAGCTTGTATCGCAACATCATAAGCTGGGAACGGATGTGGTGAATGGTACTCAATACGAATGAGCGGCGTTGGAATATCGTCTGACGGCCCTGATAAACCCTGCTGTAACCGATCCGACGCTGAATGAAGCCTTGAGAGTAAAAAACTGTGCAAAAGCCTGTCAGCGTCTCAGCTAATGTCCTGAATAATAGTCAAGGCAAACCTGACGCCCGTATCTTGACCAACGTACCGACCAACGTCCGGTGGATGTGCGATTCGACCAACAGTTGCTTGACGAGAGAGTAGAGGGTCATCTCGAACTGCAACTGAAGTATCAATCGCTGCTGCCCTCTCTTGAAGGTCTTTCAACTTTTGTTCCAGTGCAAATACTTCCCTAAAGCAAGATCCTAGTGAGCATCTCTTTACATCCAGACAGTCACAAGAACTCACTCTCGAGTGTAAGGTCTTAGGGCCGATGGATCGGCAATTATGCACGGAGTACTGGCTTTGAGGCAGCCTTTGCATATGGGAAACTCGGCGCCGCACTGACATTGAGAGATTAGTCACAGCAGATTGTGTAAATAGTTGGCCTGTATACCTTGACCTTGCGTGATCGACATCTTTCACAGGCTGCTGCGCTTGCAGGCCTGTTGTCGACTTCAGAGGTATGTCGCGCTCTTTTTCTGGGTGGCTGTGACATTTTCTCGGCCTCAATTGCGTGTAGTCGATCCAAATGTACTCTAGACAGTTGTGAGAGGTCTGATTTCACAATGCCGCGACGAATTGATTACATAACAGCTTCTTTGACAACCAAAAGCTACGAGCAAGTCGCAATCTACGATCTCCTCATGCTGATGAGCACCGAGAGTCTAGACCCCGTCATCCCCCGCACAATTGCTGTTATCCGGGGAAGAGTGCGGGGAAACCAGTCAAGTCGCTACCGCTTCTGATGCTGGTCGGACGAAGAGCGAAGCTAAAATGGCGTGGAGTGTAATATCCTCGGCCGCCATGCGATTGGCTCGCTCTCTTACCCCGGATCCAAACCCCAGATCCTGAGCCGAAAAGAGAAAAACCCCAAAGGATCTTCTTCCAAGGGTGGACAGTTGCGGGAAAAGGTATATGAAGGAGCCCTTAGGGATCTAGATTTCTCTCACATTGGGCTTGAGCTTCTTATCCTCAACAGACTCTATTACTCATACACTATACTTCTTGCTGTTACAATGGCAGACACTGTTAACTCCAAGCCCGATTCCTTCCATGACGAGGGTCTTGGGCAAAAGGAACCCAGTATCAAGCTGGCCAAGGCACAGACCGATGATCATCCCATTGAGGATGAGCAGTTCAAGCAGACGTCTCGACGTATTGTTCGTAAGCTGGACTTTACGTTGATGCCGATTATCTGGTTGTTGTATCTTTTTAATTATCTCGATCGAACTGCCATCGCGTAGGTGTTTTCGTTGCAGTGGATCTGACTTGAGCTAATCTGAAGAATAGTCAGGCCAAGTTGAACGGTATTGAGACGGATCTCAACCTTACTGGAGCCCAGTTCAGCACAGCTGTCTCGATCCTGAACGTTGGGTTCGTACATCTACCAAACCTACTGCTCAACTCAGAACTGACTCCGGAACAACAGATACATGGTCATGCAGATCCCTAGCAACATGATCCTTACTCGCGTTCGTCCTTCGATATACCTCCCCATCTGGGCCTGCGTCTGGTCTGCTGTTTCCGCCAGCACCGCCGCCGCCGATAACTTCGGCCATCTCATCACCGTTCGATGTCTCCTCGGTATCGCAGAAGCTCCATTCTTTCCTGGAGTCTTCTTTCTTCTGTCTTGCTGGTATACGCGCGGTGAGCTCGGTCTGCGTATGGCAATTCTATACTCTGGTCTTGTCGTTGCAACAGCCTTCTCTGGTCTCATTGCGGCTGGTGTCTTTTCAAACCTTGATCAGGTTCGAGGTCTTGCAGGCTGGAGGGTATGTTGAACTACGTATCAGTGGGGTAATGATGCTAACAAGATTTGTCACAGTGGCTTTACATCATCATCGGATCTGTCAACTTCCTGCTTGCCCTATGCGCCGTCGTTCTCCTCCCCGACTTTCCCGAGTCTAATACTGGAAGTCAGAAATGGCTCTTCAATGAGGAAGAGCTTCGAGTTGCTAATCAGCGGATTGCCATGGACCGCATTCCGCAAGAGAGCAATCGTTCTGTCTGGTGGGGATTCAAGCGAGCTGTGACTGACTACCGGACATGGGTTTTCGTAAGTTACCTTGAACAGTTCCCTATACCTTCGTCAATACTGACTCTACGCCAAGATCTTTATGCTTATCTGCAACCATGCCGCCTACGGCTTCAATTACTTTTACCCTTCTATCGTCAGTGGCTTCGGTCTTGGTTCTCGTACCATTACCCTTCTGTGCACAGCACCGCCATTCCTCATTGGTGCCATCGCGTCCCTGTTCATCTCCTGGTCAAGCGACAAGAGAAACGAACGGTCCTACCACATTGCCATCCCTATGGGTATTTCGGTAGTTGGCTTCGTCATCTCCGTCTCAACACTCAACGGGCCGGCGCGATATGTGGCATCATTCTTATATGTTACTGGCTGCTTCGCTGCCAATGGGCTCGTGTACTCATGGGCTGCAGGCGTTCTCAACCAGACACCAGAAAAGAAGGCGGTCGCTACGAGCATGATCAACGTTATCGCACAGCTTGGAAATATCATGAGCCCGTACTTTTTTCGCGACCAGGATGAACCTCGATATCTTATGGCGATGATTTTGTTAATTGTCTTTGCGACACTGAGCGGCCTTACCTGTCTGTTTTTGAAGTGGGACTTGACTAGAGCCAATAAGAAGATTCTGGCTGAGACTGAGGCCGACGGTACCGAACCCAGACTGTTCTCACACTGAGAGATTGGTTAGTATCCTTGTGGAATGTGATCTGGAGTGACACTGGGGAATAGGGTTTGGGCCAAGACCGGGTCGTGAAGGGAGAAGTCGTATAGCTCAGATAGCAGAATGAAGTCTCATGTAGCCGAAAATTGCCCTGATAACTTGAATAAATCGCCTGTAGCAGTGACAAACCATCTACTCTGATTGAGTCCTTCTGCGTTGGTTACGGTGTTCTTGCATATGGAGAGTCTAGCTAATCATACTCATAAAGTAATATTGTTTTATCTGTGACATCCGAAACTATTCAATGAATCAAGGTTTAAATCTAAATTTAAAGTCACCGAGGTTTCTGCACCTCTCAAAAAAAAAAAACATGGCAAGGCCACAGACCTAGGAGCAATATTTGCAAAGATCAACACCTGCATGTTTCACCACGAGCCCATTACATTTCACAGTTCATCACGAGGAGTCTTTTGCCATAGCGACCCTGACCTAGCGTTAGCTCGGTCCCTCGGCATCAGCTTTCGGGGCAGACGCGAAAGGGAACTCGGCCCCACGCCCCGAAATAGCTGATTTGTCCACTCTGTAGGAAAACCAGTTGTACAGCGTTAATATTCCCTGATAAGTACCAATACTGAACGTAATCGAATTGTAGTATTCTTCCGTTCAGTTAAAAATTTGGTGTTCGAGAAATAATCCCCCTTCTGCCCAATTAACACTTCACACCACACTTCTCACCATGGTACGAGCATCAACAATCACTGCCCCAGTGCGCAACCCGCAACTACGCATGTTGAATGCACTACACACCAATGGAAAACCCATCATGACCTTTTTGGGGCTACCGTCTCTCCGGACAGCTCAGATTGTTGCTTCCACTGGAATTGATGTAAGCTTCCTACCCATCCGTTTAGCCGATTCATGCTTGGATCATATTCCCTGACGCTTTCTCCAGGCTGTCATCATTGATTGCGAACACGGTCATATTAGCGATGACTCGATGCATGACGCCACCGCTGCCATTGCCGCCGCCGGTGTCTCGCCTCTTGTCCGTCTAAGAATGACCCACCCTGACCTTATCAAGAGAGCTCTTGACAGTGGTGCACAGTAAGTTGCTCGCATACTGAACCACTGATTCTTCCTACTGATATCTCTAGTGGTATCATTCTACCTCAAGTTAACACTGCCGAAGAAGCAAGTGAGGTAGTAAAGTACTCCAAATTTCCACCGCAAGGTCTCCGGGGACAAGGATCACCATTTGCGGGGTTTGCTCACAACGTCGATATTGCGACATATGTCAAGACGGCCAATGAGACGACTATTGTGTGCGTCCAGATTGAATCGCGGCAAGGAGTCGATAACGTCGACGCTATCTGTGCTGTGCCAGGCGTTGGTAAGCCACCAACAAATTCCCCACCATGTGTTCAGAGCTAACTCCAGTCAAGATATGGTCTTTATCGGGCCCAATGATCTGGCTTTCTCTCTCCTCGGCTATGTCCCGGCCAAGGGTGATGAGCCCGAGTTTCTAGATGCCATTGACAAGATCGTGGAAGCTGCTAGAAAGCACGGAAAGTGGGTGGCTCGGTTGTCGAACTCTGGAGCTTTATGTAAGGAGCATTTGGATGTGTTTGATACAGTTGCTTTAAGTTATGATGTTAGGGCGATTCAGAATTGGTATGCTGCAGAACTCAAGGCTGCAAGGGGATAGAAAGTAGAGACCGTAATCAACGAGGCTATAATTAATCTTGGTTATCAACATCTTGTAATTATATGGAGTACTTAGGTCTAACTGCCTCAATTCATTGTTACTTGACTGCGTTATTCCTAGAGAATTCGACTCTTCTCATTTGATCGAAAGTCCTGGTGTAGATGCGACAAATCGGGATACGAATGAGCCTTGCAGAACCGTGCCGAGAATGAATTGTTTCCCCGAAAAGCAATTTACTGACACTCACTTATGGTGCTATGGGTGTAGGCCAACTCGATCCGAAGGTTCTCCATCGGCGCTTAGTAGATTGTGGCTGCTGATAGAAATTTTCTTGACTCGGCGAGGCCAACCGAGCAAAGTTCCAGGGATGCGCTCGGTATAGCCCACCGAGCAACCACCTCGGCCATTGCGGTTACAATGCCAAATCTCGGTGTTACCTCTCCGATTCTCTATATTCGTCCAGTCAAATCCAATCCTATTGTTTCTTATCGACTTAAAAGCATGCGTGGCGTATACCCTTGACCGTTCTTTTCACCATAGCTTTACCCGATACTAGCACTCTACACATCCCTCAACATGTTCTCCTCATTTCGAAAGGGTCCCGATGACCCCATGTACTTTCTAAAGCGTGCGGCCGACCAGGATACGTCCCCCGATAGGGTTGATCTTGGCGTTGGTATCTACAGAAACGAAAGTGGCCTCTACAGTCAGCTCGGCTCTGTCGCAAAGGTATACACGATGTAATGGAGTGAGGGGGATGAGCACTGACTCGCGTTTGTAACTTTAGGCAAAGACAATCTTGACTGAGAATGATCCTGGTCATGACGTGAGTTTGCTTTCTGGACATATTTTTCTCGTCACATCTAATACTATGATAGTATGAGATCACAATAGGAAACCAGCGGTTCTTGAACCATGCTGCCCGTCTTTTGTTCGGACAAGACTGCGAGCTCCTGCAGTCTGGCAGCGTAAGTCCTCACCCCTTGCAGTACTGACAACAGCTCGCTAACAGTTCCCAGATCGCGTCAGTTCAGACCATCTCTGGTACGGGAGCCAACCACCTCGCTGCTCTAGCCCTGAGCCAATCCATCTCTCCCCGTCCACAAGTCTACATCGGCACCCCTACCTGGGGTAACTATAAGCCAATGTTCGAACTCGTCGGCCTTGAAGTGATTGAATACCCATACTTCGACTTCCAGACACGAACCATCGACTTCTCCTCCATCATCTCAGCAGCGCTAACTGCACCCCCCCGAAGCGTCTTCATCCTGCAAGCCTGTTGTCATAACCCTACAGGTGCCGACCCCACGAGAGAACAGTGGAAAGAACTTGGTGCGGTGCTGAAAGAATACTGTCACTTTGTCTTTTTTGACATTGCGTATCAAGGATTGGGTGATGGCATTGAGGAGGATGCTTATGCAATCAGGCATTTCGCCACCTTGGGCCTTGACATGTTTGTATGCCAATCGTTCTCTAAGAACTTTGCTTTGTATGGCGAACGATGCGGTGCCCTACATGCTGTATGCTCAAGCCCCGAGACAGCAGCAGTGGTTCAAGATCGACTCCGATGCTTAATACGCTGGGAGTTTTCGTCTTCTCCTGCATATGGTAGCCGCTTGGCCACTATGGTATTGGAATCTGATCAGCTCACTACTGAGTGGTAAGCCCTTGTCCTGTGGCAAGACCAAGTAGAGCAAATGGATGCTAACGAAGACACTTCGCAGGGTTGAAGAGCTGTGCGCGATGCAGCATCGGCTGAAGGATCTCCGCAAACAATTGCATCACAGATTGACTCAAGTCTTGAAGGTTGGTCAACAACATGATCGATGGAGGTCTAAGAACTGACTTTTACCAGACACCGGGAGATTGGGACCATATTTTGAGAGAGAATGGGCTCTTCTCGTAAGTGGCATCTATGTTCAACGTTGAAGACCTGTGCTAATCCCCGATAGATACCTGGACCTTAGTCCTCAACAGTGCCAGAAACTCATCGACCAGCATCATATCTATCTTCCTCCCAACGGCCGAATTAATATTTCAGGCCTCAACCAGAGTAACATCAAGAGAGTGGCGGAATCAATAGATGAGAGCATACGTGAGAAGACCGGGCTGGGCATGCAGACAAGGGCAGCTCTTTAAATGCTTCAGGCTGGGACAGTAACAACCTTAGGGCAGTACTAATACACTATTCGAACTATATTCTTCTGTGACAAGACTGTTCTGCAAGGCCATAACTTCCCATTTGAATCTGCACATTGGTACAAGTTTTCGGCTGTATCAATTGACCTGTACCCCGTCTGTCATACTACGCCTCTGGGCCTTTGCCAGTTGCATCAAAGATCCAGTCTCCGCCAGCCCAGGCTAATGTGTATGTGGAAGTAGAGTCTTGTAGGATATTTCTAGGGAGAAATACCACGTTGCTAGAAGGGTACTGTCTCTAGTGCCAGCACAGTAGTCAATCCGACTGCTCCAGCTCCGACAACGACATACATTTGGGCGTTGGCTTGTTGGCCTTGTTTGTGGCTTAGCCTCTGATAGCCGGGGCTGTTGATGAATGGCCGTGACAACAAGAAGCCACAGGACGTGCCTCGGTATTCAGATATTAGTCCGATACTCCGAAAAGATTGTGTGGTCTAGACAGCACGTATTTCCAGTTATGCTGCAGACGATTACAAGTTTACCGGCCCAACGCTCCGGAGAGCACTCTCCGAAGTCTCGGCACTGGACAAGGGCCTTATCTCCCTAGGTTTATCGTTGCGGGGTAAAAACCTCGTGTCCACTTTTGCCACATATTTCGAATGTTATCGAGCCTCTTTTTGTCACCTTACTCGACCCCAGACTTGGAGCCACTTTTGGGTAGCTTTGTGGGGTATCATGGAGTAGAAATGATCATGGGGTAAGAATGGGTAAGATAGCCTGACAAGCTCCCCCTTCGGTGAGCGGGACCGAGCCATGATAAGGTTTAGTGGTTGCTACTAGGATAAAAGGGGTTGGTCTGGAGTCGAATCTTTGTTGATAAAGACCAGCATGTCGAACGCATCGACAGCTTTCACTAATCAGCAACTTAACAACCGGAAGACACTACAAGGCCTACTTTACAATGAGAGAATCACTTGAGAAAGAGGAGACCAACGACCTTGGTGTGGTTGAATCCCAAGCACAGGGTGAAATTACTCAGCCTAACGAACTACGGAGGGACTTCAAGCCGCACCAGGTCTTCATGTTCTCGATTGCTTGTGCAATTGGCACAGGACTTGTTATTGGTACAGGCAGTGCTTTGTCCAGAGGTGGGCCAGGCAGTCTCTTGATTGCATACATCCTTGTAGGAATCACGGTTTTCTTCGTCATGACTGCCATTGGAGAGATGGCGACTTTTCTTCCCATGAATAAGGGATTTGGAGGCTATGCGACACGTATGGTTGATCCGGCCCTTGGGTAAGACGACCTTTCTTGTGGCAACTTCCGCACTGACATGCTTCAGTTTCGCAACTGGTTGGAACTACTTCTTCAAGTACATCATAGCCACGCCGACAAACCTTACGGCTGCTGGGCTGGTTATTCAGTACTGGAGACCAGATCTGAACGTGGCCATCTGGATCACCATTTTCGGAGTTGCTATTGTAACTATCAACGTGAGCAGCCTGAAGCCTCAGCCAAAGTCCTTCCTTTGTATCTAACAAGGCTCTAGATTCTCCACGTCAACAGTTTTGGCGAAACCGAGTTCTGGCTTGGCTTTGCCAAGATCCTCATCATGACGACTCTGATAATCACCACTTTCGTGGTTGCCATGGGTGGCGGTCCGAACCACCATCGATCCGGCTTTCGATACTGGCAAGACCCTGGAGCGTTTGCTGAATACTTGCTCGAGGGGCCCAAGGGAAGATTCCTCGGTTTCTGGGCCTGCTGTTGCCAAGCGTGCTTCGGCTTCACGGTACGTAGACTTGAAACTTGACGCGACGCATACTAATTAGCTGGATAGGGTACTGAAGTCGTAGGCATGACTTTCGGCGAGACCCCAAACCCACGGAAGAACGTCCCTCGAGCCGTCAAGCAGACCTTTTGGAGAATCGCCTGTTTCTATATCCTGGGCGTCTTGGTACTCGGCATGGCCGTTCCCTATAATAATGAGCAACTTATCGGCGCCACTAAGCAAAGGACGAGTGGAGGTAAGAAGTCTATAGGATTTCGATCGATCGGTTGGCTAACTGCCCCTTCTAGCCGCTTCTCCCTTCGTCGTTGCAGTGACTCTAGGTGGTGTCCCCATATTCGCCGACATCATCAACGGATGCCTGTTGGTGTTTACTCTAAGTGCCGCAAGCTCAGGTATGCCAACTCGTCACTCGCCGTGTCCATGTGCTTGAACTAATGTGACTAGACATCTACTGCGCCTCTAGGTCTCTCTATGGCCTCGCCAAAGACGGCCAGGCGCCTCGAATCTTTGCCAAAGCGCGCGAAAACGGTAACCCGATATTCGCTGTCGGTATTACGTCTTTGTTCATCTGTTTGGGGTACATGAACGCCAGCAAGTCTTCTTCGACTGTTTTTAGCTACTTTGTCAGCCTGGTGACGGTTTTTGCTGTTCTCAATTGGGTTGCTATCCTAATTTCTCACATCCGTTTCCGCCAAGCCTTGAAAGCGCAAGGCATTGCCGCAGCTGATCTGCCCTATGTTGGGTTCCTACAGCCCTATGGCTCATACTTTTCGTTATTCATCTCACTCCTGGTTATTATCTTCAATGGTGAGCACCCTCCGTTCGCCCAGGCAACAATAACAGTCGCTAACTAGGATTCTCAAGGCTATGATGCTTTCATTCCACACTTCAAGCCTGACATCTTTGTCCTCAAGTATCTCGGCACTGTGCTCTTCGTTTTCAATATTGTTTGGTGGAAGATCTCAAAACAGACGACTTTCTGGTCTGCTTCAGACGTAGACCTCAGCACAGGGAGACGAGAGTGGGAGGAGACGGAGAAACCGGAGGAAGTGCATTGGGAAGGTGGACTGTGGAAGAATGTTCTCAAGAAGTTTAAGCGATAAAAGCTATGATTGATTCTAGGTATTAGAGAACGAAGAACCATCTATTTGCTTCAGCATCGTGCTTTTGTGGCTTATCTAGTTGCGCTCAAGCTTTCTCTGGCATCGGGGTTGCGAAGGAGATACATAATCACCTCAACACCAACAAAGAGACAAATGGGCGCATGATCCATATATGGATACCTACGCATCAGATACCAATCATTGCCCTTTGGCTTGACTTCGGAGGCGATCCGTTTTGTGATACCTTTGAGCCCGGTATGGATGCCAGTCTTGGTACAGCGACTCGTTACAAAGGAGCTTACTACCTACTCAGGCATGGCTTGATGGGATTAGAGAATAGGGACGACCATCGTATAGAGTCTTTCAAATCTGTGACTTTGGCGTAATCTGAGGCAGCTGGTAGAAACACTGATTGGCGGACGGAAGTAGGTTTCTTTTGGTGCGCGCGATGTGACCTGCACATCAGTATCTCTATGGATGATGGGCATGATAAGCTCGACACCAAGGCATTTTCCACTGTGCCAACGATTGCCGAGGGCCGTATCCGATGTTCGGGGAGTAGTCACCGAGCCGGAGAGTGGTCTCCGAAGGTCGTTTAGAGACTACGAACACAGGGCAGACTGACCATCTAGATAAAGCAAACGTAGGAAGCCCACCGATATCTAATCTACTTGTAGGCCAGGCGCTCAGGTTTGATACAGTTTACATTTCAGTCTAAGAAAAATGCTCGCTTGCCGGAATACCCTCAAGACAAGGGCTGCCACTGGGCAGCTGTGCAAGGTATGAATGCATCCCCGACTACCCCTACTTACAGCATAACGGAATGTGCTCTTCATGGTTTATCATGGGTTCCCTGGATAATGTAGAGTAATACGTATCCCGCTCAGTGCTGATGATGTAAACCTCCAGGCCCTCGGTGTACGACTCGTCACAAACCCTCAAGTAGTGCAACTGGCCAAGAACGCAGGCTTCGATAGTCTTTTCATCGATCTGGAACATTCGACACTTTCTCTCGACGACGCTGGCAAGCTTTGTGGTGCTGGACTTGCTCTCGGTATAACGCCATTTGTACGAGTGCCACATCAGTGCGGCAACGGATTCATCCAGAAAGTCCTCGACGCAGGTGCCATGGGAATAATCTTTCCTCATGTACAAAACTCGGGTGAGCAACATGTTATCTGGATGGTTTATCTGTTCTACTGACACACACTCCACCCAGATGAAGCAAAGGCAGCCGTGGCCATCTCGAAATATCCTCCTCAAGGCTGTCGCTCAATCACCGGCCAACTACCCGCACTATCCCTCAAGTCCTACCCTCAAGCCGATGTGATCCGAGAGACCAACGAGCACGCGTCAACAGTGTTCGTCATGATAGAGAACGAGGGGGCCGTCCAAAGAGTAGAGGAGATCGCCGCCGTGGATGGAGTCGACGTTGTGCTAATTGGGTCCAATGACTTGGCTATCGAGCTTGGTGCCCCTGCCGATTTTCGCAGCGACAGATTTCGCCAGGCTTTGATGCGGGTGAGCAAAGCATGCAGGAAGTATGGAAAGGTTATGGGTCTTGCGGGTATCTATGGTACGCCTGATATTCACGACTGGGCTATTCATACATTGGGTGTGCGGTTCATGCTGTGCCAGCAAGATTCAGGGTTGATCGCGGGCGCTGCAGCGAAATGCTTGGCTGCTGTAGAAATGGTTGAGAATGCGCCTTCATCAAAGTCGACGAATGGGTCAACTTAGATAGCACACGGCAAGATTGTTATATAACGCTAACTCCCTGTATTGGATAAGCTCTAGCTCTACTTGCACTTTATGTTCTTCTATCACATTTCTTTCTATGTCCTGTGTGACTATAAATCATTCGTTTGACTTATGCTGCCTGCATACGTATCACCTTGTCACAATTCAGTATGCACAATGGGTCAAATGCATTCTTCATCTATGCCCTCGAGTTAGTATCATATCACCCTCGACAGTCCAAGAAAGCTTACCGATCGCATCGTATCCACAGCTTCTTTACCGAGTTCCTTCTCCAAGTAGTCCCTCTTCACAAGTCCGATGCCATGCTCGCCCGTCGCTGTACCTTTCATCTCAATGGCTTTATCAACCATTCGGTGGACGACCTCTTCGGCGATATGACGCTTCTCCTCGGGAAATAATAGTAGTGTATGGAAGTTCCCGTCACCAACGTGCCCAACGACTGATCCGAGCAAGCCCGATTTCTCGATATCGGCCTTAGCGAACTCTATGATGTCAGGAAGCCTGCTTAAAGGTACAGCTACATCAGTAGTCCAGACTTTGTCAGTTGGTGACTTTCTCATGGCGAGCATGCTCCAGAGGGCATTCTTCCTTGCGGACCATAATTCGTTTCGTTCCGTCTCGTCGGAGGCGAATTTATATGCCGTGCTGCGGTTTTGCTTCGTGATACTTCCAACTTGTTTGGCAAGATGATCCACGATGAACTCATCGCTCCCGGTGAACTTGAAGAACAGGGTTGGTTCTTCTTTCCACTTCAATCTCGTTAAAGCAGAATCATTGATGCTCTTCATCTGTACTTCATCAAGGATCTCAACAGCTGCAACCTGGAGACCATTGGATAGCACCTCTCGAACTGCCGAGGCCGCGTCTCGTAGGGTTGGAAATGTGCACACGGCCACGGCCTCACAGGGTGGCTTGACTGCCAGCTTGAGTGTAGCTTCCGTGACGAGGCCAAGGGTTCCCTCGCTGCCGATAAAGGTCCTCGTCAGGTCATAGCCTGCGCTTGACTTTCTCGCCCTCTGCCTGGTCTTGATAATCGTGCCATCGGCGAGAACCACCGTGAGTGATAGGACCCAATCTTTCATGGTCCCATAAGCCGCAGCGTTTGTTCCAGAGCATCCTGTGCCGACCATTCCTCCAATCATGGCGCCGGGACCAGGGTCTGGGGGGAAGAACAGACCATGGGCCGCTAACTCCTCATTTAGGTCCATCCAACCAATACCGGGTTGCACAACGCAGTCGAGGTCATACTTGTTCAGCTCTACAATGTTGTTCATTCGACCAAAATCGATACATATACCCTGCAAATGGGGTATGTACTGCCCTTCAATCGATGTCCCTCCTGAATATGGCGTGACTGGCAACCGACGTCGGAAGCATACTTTCATAAGCTCTGAGACCTGTTCTGTAGTCTCAGGGTAGAGGATGACTTGTGAAAGGATGGCTGACTCTTCAGTCCAGGCATACGACTGATAGTCTGAGCCGGAATGGGTAATGAGGTCTGTACGTTCTGTTGAGACGTTCTCAGGACCCAAGATAGCGGCGAATTCTCTACAAGCACCTTCAATATTTGATGCCGACAAGTCATGTTGAATCTCGGGGGTGTCAAACAGTGATTGTGTTGATGACAGCTGCCTCTTTGTTGGGAGGCTGTTGACACTCAGCGCTCCAGCCATGCCGACTGTTAATGCCGCCAACCCCAGTACGTATAGCCCTGGGTGAAGTCAGTCTTTGGTCTATGAATGTAATGAAGGGCTTACCTGTGCTACTTGTCTGCCATTGCGTTGATCCTGAACTATCTGTTTTTGATGTAATCGAAACTGACCGAAGGTACTGAGCTGGTAATCGAGTCCGAGAAGACGTTGGACGTCGCCCAACATGTACTATCCGGCGTAACGATCTGCCCAGAGCCCACATGACAGCTTTGGTAGATCACAGCAAGTCTTAATAAGAAAGAGAGAGTTGATCGAGGGGTATAACTAACAGACAGGCAATCAATTTGAATAGCAATTGTGTATTAGAATCTTTTCCATTTTGATTCTCTTATTTACTCTACTTCAATCTCTCATCTGACTCCCCACCGAGGTTCCGAGTTGAGCCGGGGATGGTGCCATCGGCTATGGAATGCAGATCGCAGAAGTGGACAATGAGCATTCGGCTATGGACAATACCATTCCCGGGGATCCAATTTCCATTTTTGGAGTAGGAGAACGGACTATTGGGTCTAGCTAAATCCCTTCAGCCCATGTTATGGCAAATCATAGGTTAGTAAACCTCAGATCCCCGCACTTGCTCAAGACACCAACTAGTCTTAACAGTATGCCAAGAATATGGAGTTTGTGCGTTCCAGCCAGAGATGAAGACTAGATACGCCAAGATTACAATAAAGTCTCACAACACGTTTGTTAATCCATAGGCTCAGTGCTTGCTATTCCGAGATCGGCCAGAAAGTACATCGCTTGATACTGGAATGAGTCTGGGTGCGGAAACTCCATGTCATCACTTGACTGAACACCCGAGAAGACACCGTTTGCCAAGTATGTCGGCCAAAACCCGCCTCCCTCAAATCCTGAACTCTGGTCAAATGCAAAATTGGAGTCTTCAAAACCTGTCGCGTCATGTGTGGCTTGGCCAGCTGATGCAGTGTTTCTCTGGATGTCGTAGACTTGATCCGTGCTGCTAGTCCTCATCTCTGTGCCTGTTCCCCCGCCATCTACGTCGTAGCCATTTGAGTTCGTAGGCGGCCTCTGCGCTTCTTCCGTGTCTGTAGGAGGTGGACGGTTCAGTATATCCATGAAGAAGTTCTTAATCCATCGCGCCAGGATATAGACTGACTCAAACTGTTTGAGAGCCAGTAATCCAGGCCGGATCTTGACAAAGATCTGATCACTTTTGGGCGCTGAGGTTTTGACATCAACTGCAAGAGCCATCATCGCAGAGAAGAGAGCAGAGACACTGGAATCATTGTAAGCCTCTTGTAACAAGAGCACTTTGAGAAACTTACTATATCATGGGAAAGTGCTCCGGTGTCCAAAAGAGCAACGAGTTCTCCACGAGGCTGAAGATTTGTGCTGCCGCGTCAAGCACGGGCTTTACCTCCTTGGATGCGTTGCACTGTCTTTGCAGCCTCTGGCTGAGGTTGATCAAATAGTAACTAATGAAATCAGCTTCATGTTTGGCGAATAGGAGCTTGATACGCACTGATAGCAAACTTTCAGTGTTAAGCTTAGATGATGGTTACCGTTGGAGAAGTTCAAGCCCTGAGACGACTCATACCAGGCTTGCAGTGTCGACTGGATATCTCTCATGGCTTCATGGAGAACATGAGCTTCCTTACAGAGAGACAGACGGGAAGGTGAGCAGTGGGAGAAGTACAATCGAGCCACTATTCCTTTAGTATTTCCCATGGCCAGCAATCAGGCTTGGGGGCATGGAAGATCTTACTAGCTTTACTCAACTTAACCTGCGATATGATGTACTGGACAGTCTCTGGAGCTTCTTCCGGAAAGTCTTCCTCGATAAGTTCTTCGACATCATGATCTTCGTCGTTGATCACCATAGGCGTACCAGTAGAGATAGCGATTTGACGATCCCGAACCTGATTAGTGAGCAAATGCTGGCCATCATTGAATATTTACTCACATAAAGGCACCACCAGATACACTTCCACCGTGACCTTTCCTCAGGCGACATCTTGCTATTTTTTGTACTCCTATGGTAGCCTGTACACTGCGCGGACCGTATCGCAGCTGCAAGCCACCAGTGGCAATCGCGATAAGCCGTTGGACTTCCAAACCAGTAGTGAAGCAGGTACGACGACAGTATCATATGTGTTCGACTCGATTCCCGATCTGCGTCGAAGGCTGCGCTCGCTTTGTTGTACAGAGCATTGTTGGCATCCCATCGAGTGCTGTAGCCCATGAGATGCAATACCTCTGGATTACAGTGTAACGATGCAACGAAGAGGACACTTCGGAGTAGGGTACCAGACATGGCTCCGTCATCAAGAGATGAAAGCAAGTACTTCTTCCCAAGTATCGGGCAAAAGGCGTGAAATCTGTCGAAGTAGACCTTGATGAGGCGGTCTACTAAGTCCGGTGATGGAAGGTCAGCGAGGCCCGTCTTTTCGAGAGGCAAGGATGGCCGACTGCAGAAGCTCTCTCTTCTCGTGTCGCGGGTTACACTCTGAACCGTTTCGTTACACTCGCCGATTGGGCGATGAACACTATTGTGGCCAGGTGTGTAACCCCTCATGACATATGAGGCATACCAGCTTTCACCAACAACGCTTGGTTGAGCATTAGGACTCGCATGCTGGTCAGAAGAAGGCTTTGCGATAGTTGAATCGCTCAATTGTTGCACCGGTCTATTGTTCTGTTCTCCTTCTGTCGGAGGATCTTCAGTGGCCAACCCCATGGATTCATCCTCATTGTTTGGGGCGACGCTGGGACTGCCTGAACTGCTACACGACTCGATGTCAGGCAACAGCGTGTATCGTCCATCGGGACCTCTACACAACGAAGATCAGTATCATCTCGCTGCAGAGGGATAAGATCATACCTTCGGCGTTTAGACTGGATCAATGCACACTGCTCATGATGGCCACTCTTCCTGCAAGCAGAGCATGGTACCCCAGTGACAGATCCATCGCACTTTGTTCTTCGCCGATTGCAACGCTCACACGCCGTGCCTCTCTTCCTGCCATGATTGGGCGTCCTCCTGGCCAGTTGTCGATTACTACTCTCATCCATTGCCCCCAATGATATTGAGTAACTTATCACACTCCAGAAAATGCATGCCTCCTCTTCCCCGCCTGGTAGAATCTGGGGATTGCCATCCAACAGTGGGCCCGGGGTGAAGGATGCAGTCTACCCCGCAGACTCACCACGCTAAATCGATTCAAGCTTAACCCCGCTTGTTCTCTGACGGACATGTCCCCGGGAATTACCATAGCCGATGGCCATCGCCGTCATCGGCTGTGGTTAGCGGTTGCAGATCCTCCATCCTTCACGTTTCCCTTCTCAAACCAGAAAGCTATCAAATGAGACATGGGTCATTGGCGATCTTGGCCCGGAATGCACATGTATAAACATAACCCCAGACTTCCCCGGATTCAATCGAGACCTGCATGAGCTCACTCCCGCCAGTAGCACTTCTTCACTATAGCAATGGCCAACAGCACCGTTCACCCAGAGATTGACATGTCTCACGAGGAAAAACATGACCTAGAACAGATTGAAACCAAGGACAATGTCCAATCAGCTCACGACACCAAATTCGAGAAGCGCGTCCTTCGAAAAATTGATACTCGACTCCTACCTATCCTCGGATGCCTTTACACAATCGCCCTTGTCGACCGATCCAACATCGCGGTCGCTCGCATCTCCGGCATGGATGAAGACCTCGACCTCGCTGTTGACAATCGCGTATCTATTGTCTTGATGGTCTTCTTCATCGGGTACATCATTTTCGAGATCCCCAGCAATGCCTTCATTCACAAGCTCGGTGCAGCCAATTGGCTTGCCTTTCTGGCTTTTGCCTGGGGCTTGGTGTCGCTTGGCATTGGCTTCTTGAATAACTGGGCTGGCCTCGCTGTACTGAGAGCTCTTCTTGGCGTTTTCGAGGCTGGTTTCTTTCCAGGTGCCTATGCAAATTCCTCATCCCAAGTAGCCATGGAACTGACAATCAGAAAGGCTGTGTTTATCTTGTGTCTTCCTGGTACAAGAGATATGAGGTACAGAAGCGCATGGCAGGTTTCTTCTTGACAGCTTCTGCGCTGTCAGCGTTCGCCAACATTCTCGCATACGGCCTGATCCAGATTTCCAAGACTCATCACTACAAAGGGTAAGTATGCCTGTCCATTCACTGATGGTCTAGGAGCTGATTGTTGTAGATGGCGTTGGATCTTCATCGTCGAAGGTGCCATCACAGTCGTCGCCGGCATCGGCTCATGGTTCATCATCGTCGACTTTCCCGACTCCGACAAAAACACATTCCTCACCCCCGAAGAACGTGCCTTCGTCAAAGAACGCCTCGCTGAAGACCGTGGCCCCGAAGAACGAGAGAAAGTGACCATGAAAATCATTGGCCAGACAGCTGCTGACTGGAAGCCCTGGGCATATTCGCTTATGTATATGGCCGGTGCTGTTGGAGTATATGCCTTCTTGTTCTTCCTGCCTATCATCCTACGAGGTGGTCTTGGATACTCACTTGAGCTTTCGTTCATTCTGAGTACACCTCCAGCACTGTTTGCTGTCATTGAAGCAATGGGTATCTCGTGGCTTGCTGATAAGACAAGACTGCGAGGTCCGTTCGTCATCTTCCAAGGCCTGATTGGCATCATTGGGCTATGCATGACTGGCTTTCTCAGTTCACCAACACCTCGCTATGTCGGCACGTTTCTCGGCGTCGCTGGCGCTAATGGCCTAGTTGTGACGACACTGGCGTGGCAGGCCAATAACATTGTCGGTGATGCCCGACGTGCTGTATCCACTGGCTTCCTCATCAGCATGAGTGGTGTTGGTGGGATTTATTCCAGCATGGTATTCCGTAAGTTGGCAACCCTTCCCTTGACATATCACATCTAACAGCGGTCCAGGCCAACAAGATGCACCAAACTACATCCCTGGACTCGTCGCTGTCATGGCCATCAATGTTGCAGCGGTTGTAGTCGCTGCGCTAACAATGCTTATGCTCCGTCATAATAACAGACAGGCAGATCGAGGGAAGTACCTATGCGAGGGTCGAGAAGGATTCAGATATACGTTGTAGAGCTCTTAGTATTCTACCTGACAATCATGATTCACTGCAGTCTTCGAATTGCTCTGCGTGATCCAAGTTGCTGTCGTCATCAGAAACAGGGTAGACATCGTCGCCGCCCATACCGTCCAGCGCCATATTCTCGCTCTCCGGTGCTATCGCAAAATTTCCCACGAGATTAAGAGCCTGTTGCAGTCTTTTTCCCGCTATAGCACGATACCTTTTATCCTCCCTTTCCATGCGGCGCAAATTCTCCTGCTCTTTCTGATCGAGTTCGGCGCGCTGCTTCGCTATCTCTTCTCGACCCTCTTCCAGCTGCAGCTGAATAAATTGCTTGTTCTGCGCAAGCTCTCTGAGTGTTGACTTAGCATCTAACCTCATTTGCGAGATAACTTGTGTATATATATTGTCTCCCAGAATTCTAGCAAGGTCTTCTGCGTCGGCGAGAAACTGTTCTAGTCCTCTTGAGTTGGTGCGTAGACGATGAACAGCTGTATGTCTGATTTGTGCAATTGATCGCAGTAATTCTTTCAGTGCCTTACCGGTTCCCTGCCGTTTTAGGTTTCCCTCATGTCCGAGGAGCTCTGCCCACTGATTAAGCTCTACTGACTCAGGGCAGTCCCAGTCGCGGTGTTGCATGACACTCGAGAGTTCCCTTACTCCGTATTCGTAACAGGCAGTTTCCAAGACTTTTTGAAATTTCTCCATAAGGAGATGCTCCGTAGGGAACGGCAGATAGACTGGGAATAACAGTGAACTGCCAGCAATGTCGCTTGCAGTGCTATCGCTAGCATCTGGCCAGTCTCAGTTAGTATCAATAGCCTTGAAGGGACAAGACGTACCATGTACTGCTGTGGTGGCTGCTTGTAAGTCGTGAACATCCTGACTGTCATCCGAGTGGGTTTCTTCAATGCCCTTACGCGCGGCTTGCTCGGTCCTAGTCGCTTCTGCTTCTAGTTGCGTCCTGGCAGTAGTCTGGGCCGTCGAAGGCTCAAATAGATCAGGAAAGCGTTGGCGAGCAATCGGGGTCGACTCATAAACCTTGTCCGAAAGGAGCTTCAACACTTCCCGAGATACAACGTCAAAGCCGTGTTGAGTTACAACTTGCTGCACTAAGCTCCCCTTTCGTAGATTGTTGTTAATCGATGCTCTTACAGCCCCACGGTCTCGCAGTTTAGCGTATTGACCATTAAAAATACTCTTTGTCGCTTGGTAGATCACCCGTTCGTTCAATTGAGTGCCGATAACAAGATCCATGTTGGGCACTTCAGGATGCTGAAGTAGTATTCGCGAGGTACAACAAACGATACATATAAAAAGGAGTGCGATGAGCTGACGTCCCCAAGTTCCTTCGATTCAAAAGGAAAGGCTAGGTACTTGTTTAAAGCACTGCCGTGATAAGAAGCGGGGAGTCTTGAATGGTAGGCCTCCCTTGGCTGTATTCTTTCTGAATGGCTGCGTATTTACCACGTCATATATTGTGTGGGATATAACAGGATACGAACATTTGACTTTTAGAATTGTGATTCACGAGTTTATTCCGTGGTAGCCATCAAATCAAAGAATCAAGCTTTCTTAACTTTTGTCCCTATGTTCAAGGAAAATTATCGCCTGCAAATAACCCTTTACAACATATATCCGACAACTGGCTTACATTAAACCGGATTTAATTACAGCATAAATGTTAGGAACCTATCAGACTATTATATTAATAGTGAATGCAATTTTTCTAGATACAGGGTAGGGTGTGCTGACATCGGGTTCCGGCTATATGATTCTCCGACAGCTTTTAGCATTGGTACTAACAGTAGCTTGCTTCGACATATCTCCAAAACGGACTTTTGCTTCCATCGACCTCATCGGAGACTTGACATATAAACCCTATTTAATTACCCTACACCGCAAGTGATGAACAACAGAGAGTAAATGAAGAAATAACAGCATCCAATACAGACGTTGGAATGAACCCGCAATCTACGCCTCCACCGTCGGGGAAGCGCAACAAGACAGTCGCGTGAGTAGCTCTCGCTTCATTGACCATTTATACCTAGCCGAAAGCAGTGAAGCAATCGCTAACATAAATAACTCTTCGAAGATGTCTGCAATGTCGCGAGCGAAAGGTTCGTTGCTCAGGCACCTGTCCCTGCGCCAATTGTACGCGTCGCTCGACAGACTGCGTGTTTGAGCAGGAGGATCGCAAGGTTGTCGTATCCGAGAAGTAAATGGATGTTTCCAGCTTACAAAAGTGGCTATGCTGAGACTAATCGTAGCTTACTCAATGATCTGAAGCGAAAGGCAGAGGATTGGGATGAGGCGCAAAAACAGAAGAGGAACAAAACCTCTGCGGATACTAATACAAGTGAGAACTGTTATCATTCTACTTGAAGTTTGCTGACAAATCTGCTCAAGATATAACGGCTACAGCACCCGGCCCAAGAACGAATGCTGACGATGGCCTACCACAAATGACCAATCCTCTACTGACACCGTCGTCTAAGTTTGTCGTGGACCACCAAGGCAGGAAACGTATGCTGATCTATACCCCAGCCGATCCTGAAAACTAATTTGTGCAGGCTTTCTAGGCCCTTCGTCTACATGGGCGTATAGTCACCATGTAATGGGCATGATACGAGAAGTAACTATCCAAGCAAAACAAGTCGCTGTGTGCATGCTAATACAGATCTTAGTATGTGGGCCATGAATTCTCACCCGAGGTTCCACTGAATCACGATGGTGTTGCTTTCAACATCGAGCTACCGAGTATGAAGCAGACTGATCTTGTTGTCAACATCGAAGGCCTGCCTTCCCTGGACTACGCCCTTTATCTCACCAACACCGTCAAGTTTCACATCGTCCAAACCTACCACCTATTCGACGAGCAAAAGTTCATGCCAGCTCTTCATTCATTATACAGTGATGGCCCACCGCTGGTGACCGCTGGGAACAGGATGTGGTATGTCCAGTACTTCCTCATCATGGCTCTGGGGAAGGGACTGCTCACCCGCGGTATGTCCAAGGCTGGTTCACCGGGGAGTGAGTACTTCATGAAAGCCATGGAGCTATTCCCAGATACATACGGACTGTACATAGATCCAATTCTGTCGATCGAAGTATGCTGCGGTCTTGCTTTATATCTCCAAGCTGTCGATCACCGCAACAGCGCGTACGTCTATGTAAGTATACACTGTCCAGGAAATCGCAGACGATACTGAACAATACTGTCTAGCTTGGAATGGGTCTCAGGATAGCGCTTAGCCAAGGTCTACACCGTGATATTGCTGGAGAATCCGCCGACGATCCTGAAGTTAGGCGATATCGCAATGCATGGTGGACACTCTACATCCTCGATCGCAAATTCTCATCCTTGATGGGCGCTCCAAGTTCTATTCAAGACAGCGATATATCCGTGCCGATCCCAGGAGATCAGACAACGCCTCGAAGATCAAGCTCATTGGAGATGCATATCAAGCTATCAAGGCTCAAGACCAAAGTACTGAATAGTATGTTATCCTCAGCAAGGACCGCATGATCGAAGAGCGCTGACGCATAGGCTAGCTATATACGGAATCGACGGGAAATTAGACGTCTCGTTCCCGAAAAACACCATGACGATTTTGAGGGAACTCGCTGCGCTTGGAGTTGAGCTAAACTCAGCGCCTGATCTGAAGCTGGACAACCAAAGTCCACTATCACGCGTCTCTGCAACCTTGAATCTATGCTACCATCAGGTCAGTCGTGGAACATTCCATTCAATTAGGATGTAGGCTAATTACAGCCAATCCAGTGCATCGTTCTTGCTACAAGGCCGCTTCTCATGTGTATTCTCAGAGACAAGCTGGAAATGAGCAGGCACGATAACAATACCAACTGCGAGATTGTTGAGCCTGTCAAAGCTCTAGTTAGAACCTGTTACGACTCAGCCCATAAATCGCTTCGTATCTTGACAACACTTCAGTCACAGGATCTTCTTGGTACATTCTCTTTCATCTGACAAGGAGCAACCAGCTAACGTATCGAAGAACTCTTTCTCCCCTTTGATCTCGACCATGCATTTTCAGCTGGCTTCGTCCTTGCACTTATATCCGCCATCCAGCCCTTCCCAGACTCAGCCGGCGAGTCTTCTTTTGAGCTAACAAGAAATATTCTCGACGCTTTGATCGCAGGTGGAAATCTGCCTGCACGGTTTCGGCGCCAGGAACTTGAGCGTCTGCATGATATGTTGCACCTGATTGAACAGCGAGATATCGTGCCTCAGCTTCAAGGCCAAGATAACGACTGCATTTCTGTTCTGGGAGAGCAGGGAATATCGCCGAACCAGATACTCAACGTTGCTAGTTTGCTTGATGGGCATACGAATATTGGTGCGGATCTTGATGATGTTAATGGTTGGCTATGGGAGGTCACTGGTTTTGAGGGTCTCCCTCCCGTTTGAACATGTCTGGCTGAGGTTGAAATGATTTACAGGGTGTTTGTGGCAAATTAATCTTTCCCTGAATCTATCCCTGGCATCCGCTGTCGCAATGTGGGCATCTAAGCAATATAAACATTGCTTTTAATCATTCTTATCTCGGTTCTTATCTGCCTAAGGGCGTGGTCACAGCCCCTCTATTCTTTACACTAGGGCGTCATTGACATTAGGGCGTGGTCACAACGGCTATACGAAGTTGTGGGGTACCTACAACGCCGACCGCCTAGCTAACTGTGCTTACGTGTCTTTACTAAAGTGTGCCTTGATAAGGTACCTCTTGAAATAGCACAGCCCTTCGGGCGGTAAATTCTTTACCCTGCGTATAGGAATTACTTTAACGCTGGATACTAAGCATAGCTAGTTTCTTATACTTCACTCAGCAGCTGTAACCCCTTTGAAAGGCTGAGGCTCCGAGATACTTAAAGTTATAGGACCCGCATTGTTTAGCTCTTAACAAGAAAGCCATCAAACAAACGATCTTGAAATGGCGAAACCGACCGTCACTCTTATCCCATGGGATCCAAACTCCCCTGAACATGTGAGGCGCATGGTTGAGCAGCGCATAATTTGTGGCTGGCAAGCGTCAACTGTCCCGACTGAGTGGAAAGATGGACATATCAACGGGACGAAATGCGTTTACTGGATTGTAAGTCCCATCTCACACCACTATATTGCATTATCGTTCTAAGTCTCTTTTCAGATCTTTCCGCAGGACGAGCCACAGCGTGAGAAATACCTCAAGATGCATACTGAGGCTTATCCCAAGGTAGGTTCAGTATATGAAGCCAATCCAACTTTTTTACTTATGCTTTGTAGGAGACAGAAGAACTCCTCGACTCGAGCAAGACGCTACTCGGAAAACCACACGTTCCCACTGACGCAAAGTTCCTTCCGGTTGGGCACGTCGCTCTCGACACCCATATCTCAGACTATGCAGAAAAGCTTGAACTAGACTTCCCCAAATCTGACGCATACTGGGTCAAGAGTCTTTACGTATCTTACAGACTTCAAGGCCTGGGTGTCGGCGGAGCTGCTATGAAAATCGCTGAACGTGTGGCCACGGAGGAGCCCCTCAACGCTAGACATCTCCTATTAGACACGGTGCACCAAGAAGATCAGGCGAATGAGGAATTCGCTATAGCTGTCTATGGAGGAGCTTTCAAGGTAAGTGCCTGGTATCAAGTAGCCACCTATAAGGAATGCTAATTATGGATCTAGATTCCCACTCAGGCCTGGTATGAGAGACAGGGGTATAGGTTGATTGGCGCAGCTGAAAACATATATCAATATCCAGATCTGAATGGGAAGGTTTGGCCTTGTAGAACAGTCTTCTTACAGAAAGATATAGTTTAGAACTATATATTGATACTGGTATAGCTTGGCACTCGTCCGATAATCTCAGATTGAGGGATAAACTTTCGTGTCCTGAGTCCGCCGAAACGTGGGGTAATTGGCCCAGAACGATACTCGGTCTAGGGCACCGAGCTCAGTTTAACAAGCTCGAGATGGCGCACCGAACATAGAAAAGCCCAGCGTTTGGTTCTCCAAGGCCAACATGAGTGCGGCACATACTTATCATTCATCATGCACGTTTCGCTATCCACAATATTGTCTCTGATAAATTTGGTTCTATACCCTTCACCGTTCAAGGCCCTGTGTCTATTACGCTAGAGGAAGACTTGGTTACCCGGTACATTGGAAAGTGGATTCCGAAATCTCGAGAAATTTAACGCCTCGTGTAAGCTCTAGCCTTTTTGTAGGATTGAAGCCCCTTGTTCGCCTGTTGCATGGTCAGTCTTGGGATCTGAAAAGAGGCCAACTCTGTGGTTTACTTTTAAGCATCATTCTATCAGCCATACCTGTAATCGGCTCAATACGTTAAAATTATGGATCCCGAACCCGAGCTTAGCATCGGCCCCCTCTTCCCGAAGCTAACAAAGCCAATTTACTAGTCTGACTATGGGTTCTATTTGAATCTTCGGGGTCCGCTTCCCGAACCCAAACTCCTCATTTCCGTTCTCAGCAGCAATGTCCACATCGTCTCGATCTCCCAGGATTTCGGGCGTGAGAAAAACACAGAACAAGAAGTCATTGGCGTGAGTGAATCTACTCGTTAACCAGCCGTGCCTCCCTGACAAACGCATATCAAGATGCCTGACATGTCGGAAGAAGAAGGTCAAATGCTCTGGGACCGTGCCTTGTGAATACTGTCACAAGCGTGGACTGCAGTGCAGTGTTCCTCTTCGCCAAGAAAGAAAAGTCTACTCCGTAACGCAAGCGCCACCTCGCGGTTTTCCATTCACGCGTCGCTGTGTGCATCCGTATTGACACTCTCCTAGTCACGTTGAAGATCTCGAGAATCGCCTCGCTCAGTATGAAGGAAGGAATCAAGACACGGAGGACTGGGTCCCCGATGCTGTTGATGTTCCAAGTCCCTTTTCTAGTGGCCACGACGCTCAACAGCCGCAAGACACACCTCCCGTTGCGCCGTCACCGATTCCGAGATCTACGACCAGACCGGGGACCTCGATACCATTGACCGGCCGGTGTATGCGTTTCACCTTTGAGATAGGGAGTCGCATGTGCTAATTCATGGTACAGCAATAGAAACCGACTCTTCGTTGAGCTCGAGCGCTACTTTTGGCTTCAGGGTCCAGAACCTGCTCAGTAATGCTCGACATAGACGCGATATTCCCCGCCCTACCGGCCACGTCTCTAACAATAACAACTCGTCTCCAAGACAAGCCTACATCACGCATAGTGGCTCTCTACCCCTTCTTCCCAGCGAATCAGAAGCCTACCATCTCCTGGAGGTTGTCGGCCTGTACATCGGTCAGAGTCAAAGTCACTTTGACTCGCGAGAGGTCTCCGACAACATCGAGCTCTACTATAGGGATCCAGAAGGCCAGCTCCCGCCTACGCCATGGTTTTTGCGCATGAGCATTATATTTGCAGTTGGAAAGCTACTTTCTGGAGAAAGCTTAGCTTGCAATGGCGAGACGGATTTAGGAACTAGTTTATTTGAGTTTGTCCATGCACAATTGCCAACACTTAGCGAGCAACATGCTCAAGGGAGGGTTGCGATTGAGACATTGACGCTGCTTGGTGTTTACCTACAAGCCATGAACCGAAAGGAAGAAGCGTACATATATGTAAGCCTTTAGCTGTCTTTATCCTGAGTCATGAGTATTGTACCTGATCATTTAGACCAGCATAGCCTTGCGGCTCGCAGTCACACACGGTTACCACCGTCCTCTGGAGGGAACACGAATACTTCGGTCGGAGAAAGCCCACATCGGTAGGCTATGGTGGACGATTTATATGCAAGAAAGGTAATGCTCTCGCACACTTGTTCCTTCTACTAGCTTTTGTTAACATGTCGATCACTAGACGGTTGGCTGCAGCGACGGGCCACCCATATGGTATTGACGACGCTTTCATCGTGCTAGAGTATCCCACCGACCAGCCGGGCTTCAGCTCCACCCAACCAATACGCACAAATGCTCGAATCGCGAGAGTTACAAGCCGCATCCTTATAGGTAATAGATCTATCTCAACGCGATGCTTTCGACTGACTGAGAATCACTAGACCTCTATAGCCCCAATCGTCAGCACCAAGACTCTTTCGTGCATGATGTCAAAGAGATCATTAGATGTCTGCATGATATTTCGAGCGAGATTCCAGAGAATCTAGCAACGGTAGCTCATGGACCAAATGCGAATGTTTCCGTGAGAACAACTGCCTCTCTTCAGCTCATGCTATATCAAGTAAGTCGCTTCCTCCTGGAAGCTCATTCGGCCAAGCATATTATCCTTCAAGCCTCAAGCAGCGTTGAAGCTGACAGGCATAGGCCACCTTACTCACAATACGTCCGGTAATGCTACACGTAGCACATTTAATACTTGCAGGATTGAGTTCTGGCCTGGAGCAACTGGGGAACTCTTCGTTGGCACAGCTTTGTCGAGCATGCACTGATGCAGCTAGGCGTATTGTGCGTACTATCATAAAACTACGAAGAATGAATCTCTTAGGTAAGAGAACTCAGAGTATCATTGGAGCTGGCATTAAGGCTTAAACCACCAATCGATAGCTATTTTTGGATTCTTTGACTGCGATGCCATCTTTTCTGCGACGTTTGTCTTGATTCTCACAGCTGTCTTCGACTCTGCTTGTGAAGATAAGGATAAGATCAACCCATCGCCTGGACTGGGTGAGGCCATGGAGAGTTTGCAGTACCTGGCCGACAACCACAACACTACCGCCGTTGAACGACTCCAAGAGATCAATGATATCCTGCATCATTTGCCCGAACATTTACGAACAAATGAGGGTACAGCTTTCCCCCTGCACGATCGCTCGCAACCTGCGTATGACCATGTATGCCAGGCCGCTGATGGTAGTCGAGGCCATGAACCTGCAGAGCCCGTGAATAATACCGAGGAAACAGATGATATGACACAGCCAGTGGTAGATCCAGGCCTATCGAGGGCTGCACCTGACGCGAGCCGCATTGAACAAGACCGTTTAGCCTTGAATCTAGACGCCGAACACCATCCCTCAAACTTCAATGACTTGTCGCAGCTCTGTATACCCTCAGCAGTCAATACAGGGACCGTGCCAAGCGACGACCTGATCCCTACCGACATACCATTGGATGAATACTATGGCTACTTCCAGTCACTGTTGGATAACTCTGATTGGTATCTCACAGGGCAAGACGTTGGAGATTTGGCGGAATTTGGGAGACATGTCGTTAACTGTAGTAGATCTGAATAGGATGTTGCTGGTCTGCTGTCAGAGATACTATATTTCTGGACTGGTAACATAGAAGAACAGTTGGAGAGTCACAGAACAACAATGTGATGTGCCGACTGAATTGAAAGTATCTACCAACAAGCTTGCACACTGCCATCCACACCATGACATCGAATACCAATTTCTGGGCTTCACCATCTACTATCTAGAGCATCTTGAGTATCTCATCAAGACCTGGGGCTCGCTGGACATCCGGGGTGACCTGCTTGATTATGTTAGTCACCTTATTCCCACTGCGCCAGGGGATAAGGGCCTCTCGAGACTCACATCATGAATGGCGACAGCCACAGCTTTCGCAACGAAGAACGTAGGCAGATACCCCGGTAAGGACGCTAGCGGGCTCCTCGATGTAGCACCCGAATAAATTGTTGCAATGGCGGCATCTACTGGTTTTCTTCAAGAGGTCGATGGCGCTGCTGATCTTCGCAATGGAGAGGGTTCTGACTCGCTCTTGGACTTGTCGTAATTCTCTAGCAGTGCTCACGTCTTCCACGAGCTTTTGGATCCGCCGACCGCAGGCCTCAAGTATCTCAATCGCGAGATTGTGTTCAAGGTCGAGAGCCCGAAGGACTTGCGACGAGGTGAGTTCTTCGATGTACTTGGCCGTAGCCGAGGCGATGAGCGAGCGGAGATCTGCGTCTCTGTTTGAGATGGACATCTCCTGGATGACCTGAGGAATGATCAAAAAGTTCAAATCGTCCCGGAGAATGGCCTCGATCTTTGAATTCGAAAGCTTGCCCAGCTTTGCGATGTTGTAGTAGTCCGCGATTGCGTTGACGCGAAGGTGGGATATTATCTTTTCGGCAGTCTTGTCCTCTGTCTCTTCAGACGACGCGAACGAATCTTCTGACATTTTGTCTTCGTCGCCATGGACTTCGTCATCCTCACTCTTTTTATCGCGGTCTTTGACCTGAACAGGCTTCTCGGTTTCGGGAGCGAGTTCGTAGTCTCCGGTGTAGAGGAATGTGACCATGCTCTGAACGGTCGCAACATCGAATTCATTGACATTGACGACCTTTGATGTTGTTTCCTACTCGGAGAGTCAGCGAGAGCCGGTGGATGGGTTAGTGATCACGTACCTCAAAGCCGCTGTGAAGCGCAGCGCTGATAACAGGCGACTGAGGGCAAACGATCACCTGGTGAAGCTTGAACTCGCGATCCTTGCAAATGAGAGTGAAGTCGCTGAACTTTCCGGATCCCACCAAGTGCAAAAGAAAGGAGTGAGGTTGGGGCGCCATCGCTGAGAGTCTTCTGTTCAATCAATCAGGCTTGGTGTTGTGGTGTGAAGATGGTAAGATGGTGTTGACATTTTGGAGAAAAAAAAAAGAAGAAGAAGAGAAAGAAGGGCCACGGCGGTGAATGATTTCATGCAGATGGAGCAGGTTTCTCTCATTTTTGTTTTATGATAAACGTGTTGTATGTTTGTAGGTAGCTTGCAGCGCTTGACAGTGCTTTGCAGCCCAAGCTCAAATGCTATCCAAAACACCGAGCCAATTCATCAGATTGCCAACTGTTGTATAAAAATGATTGGTAAAGAATAGAAGAGTTTGGCCTCTGTTGATTTCACAAGTGACTGCCACTCACTACAGACTCTCCTAAGGAGTGTTGTCTCATCCAAACAAGGTGGATTCCCGGCAAAGTGAATGTGACAATTCCACTTCGTCTTACACCACATTCTTGCTTCTAACAAAGAAAAGAATGAATGGCTGGATCGAAAAGTCATACTTATTACTAAGAGTACCAATGCGATTACTTTACTCTGAGATATTGTTAAGGATGGACAAACAGCAACGTGGCAGGCTGCAGCTATCCCCCACAAAAGTGTATTCGATCTTAACAGTCTGTAGACAATCCCAGATACACAATACAGTCAAATCTATACTTACTGAGCTCAATAAAACTGTTGATTCGACCGAAACAAACACATGTGCCAGATTTAACATGGTAAACAATGACATTCAATTGATGTGTCACTGGGATGCATTGTCCCTGTTAGCCTATCTTGGGAGCGTGTCTTCATCAGCACAGAAGGCAAACCACATATCGGTACTTCACGACATCAGACGAATTTAGCTTGTAGATAGCCATGGCCCTCCAACCATGAGCGAACATTGGAGATGTCACGTTCAGCCCAGGACCTCCGATTCTCCATGCCTTCCAAGTTCTGGTCAAGCACCATCTGATAGCTCTTCGTATCGCGCCTGGCAAAAAACTCTTTCACGTCTTGAATCTGCTCCTTGGTATGCAAACCCTCGAGAGCAGTTCCAAGGAACAAAGACGAGATGTCCACCGGGACCTCCTTCTCAACCCTCTCCCAGTTCTGCTTGGTCCACTCCCAAAGCTCGATTGCCCCGTGAGCCGTACCTCCCGCCAGCCAGGTGAGGTAGAACATCTGGTCTCCAATTAGCTTGATCTTTCGCTGTGTGAAATTTGTCTCATCCTACGTCGTGATTCTTGACAGTGGCAGTCAGTAGGTGGCTGAGAACCCACTTCATGAGCTCAGCGTTGGGTGCTCGTCCGAGACACTCCAGAGCAAGATACTGCTCGTCCTCGTTGGATGAATTCTTCCAAAGCTCAACCAGACCTTTGAGTTCTTCAAGACCGCCGTGGGCTGCGATGATTCCAAAAACCTCCCATCGTAAGGATCCTGGGATTGCATTCTCGTCGCCAGCCATGCGCTTCGAAAAGAGTTCCTTTGCAGCTGACACGACACTACACGGAAATTGTCAGTTATACATGAAGCCGAAAGGATATTCAACTTACCTGGGGTATCCTGCGAGGCCCGCACCGCTAAACATTGATGTTTTGAACGTGATAAGATTCTCGTCATCATCCTTTGAGATAGTCCACCCAAGTTCCTCAGCCTTGGGGCCGATCACATCGCTAGTTAGTTTACGAAGAGCCTCATTCAGCTCAGGCCCGTGAAACTTGTAGACAGACTGGATGGACCTGAGATTGCGGTCAATCATCTCCCATACATAGAATGAGTCCAGTTCAGCAAACTTGACATTGAGGTCGAGAAGTTCGCTTGTCTTGTTCACTCCTGCGGCAACCAAAGCCTTGAGGTCACACGATAATCCGATACAGTCGCGCAGGCTGAGGCTGCCTTTTGATGCCTCTTCGAGGAGACGGGTAAGTAGTTCGTGTGAGTAAGAGGTGCGGAAGAAGCTACCATGGTCCGCGTTGACTTTGAATAGGCCGCTGGAGGGAGAAAGGACCAACTCCCTTGTGTTCATATCAACTGTCTCGAAATCCTGCCTGTGCCGGATTGCAAATCTGAGCGGGTAGATTGTATCAGATACCGCATCCTCTTGCTTTGCCACACCGCTGGTCAAGAAGCGCTGCTGGAAGAGTCGAACACCTGTTACCTTGCCACTCTCGTCACGAGATTCAGAGACTCGAAGGACAGGGAAGCCAGGCTGTTTGGTCCAGACCCTCATGCTCGTTGCGATAGATTCCCCAGTGACCTCCTCCCAGGCCTTCCAGAGGTCATCCGACTCCGTGCACTGGAACTGGTGACGTCGAAGATAGAGCTTCAAGCCCTCGAAGAACTTGGTGTCGCCCAGGTTGTTAAGAACCATCCTGAGGATACATGAGCCCTTTTGATAAGAGATTTCGTCATAGATCTGCTTCGCGTCGGTCGAGTCCGAAATAAATAGCTCAACTGAATGGCTGCTGGTAAGGGAGTCGAGACTGAGGGCTTTCTGAAGGGTGTTGGCGACATAGGAATCCCAAAAATGCCAGCTGGGAAACATCTTGTCCGCGGCGTACCAGGACATCAATGTAGCGAAACCTTCTTTCAGCCACAGCCCATCCCAGTATCTCATTGTAACCAGGTTACCGAACCACATATGAGAAATCTCATGGAGGATAGTCTCTGCAATCCTCTGTTTGGTATCTAGAGCAGAGTCTTCCGGGTCAAGCAAAAGGTTTGTAGTCCTGAAGATGATGGCTCCCCAGTTCTCCATTGCGCCCGTCGAGAATTCGGGAACTCCAATCAAGTCTAGCTTTGGCAACGGGTACGGCAGCTCAAAGCAGTCTTCGAAGAACTGAAGGCCTTTGGCTGCGAGGTCCACTGCAAAGGTCGCCTGTTCTTCACTGCCAAGAGGACAAAAGACAGATATGGGGATCCTGCTGTCGGTGCATTTCACCTCGGCCAAGGGTCCCGCTACTAAGCCGACATGCTTTGACCAGTTAGGCGACACGTATGGCATTTTATAGGATTGGCACTCACGTATGTCGACATGGAAACGCTCTTCCGGAAGGTTACAAGCTTCTTAGATGAAGACAAGGTCTCTGACTTTTCCACGGGCATATTTGAAACGGTGACGAAGGACTCATCTACCACGATGGAGAGGGTGAACTCGGCTTTCACGCTAGGTTCATCGAAACAAGGGAAGACCTACGATAAGTCAACCATGAGTCAGCTATCGTGGCAAAACCATGCATCAAAGGTCGAGAGACTCTTACCTCCCTCGCATATGTCGGCTCCATGGCTGTGGCCGCAATGCGATGCTTCACACCGTCATCTGTCTCATAGCTCGCCTGGTAGAGCCCAGTCAAATCGCTGCGAAACTTGCCGGTATAAGAAAGGATGATTTGAAGTTCCTTTGGATCACCTGGAGCAATCTCCTGGGGCAGTTCCATCTTTAAAGTCTCGCGTGCCTCGTTGTAGCTTTACCATCGCAGCATGTTAATGAATGTCGGTTGTAGTAGCGTTTTCCATTCAAGCCTACCTCACTGTATCCAGAACGTCCCAAGAATCATGGTTGAGCTTGACGCGCGCTTCATTTACCTTGATTGACTTGCAATGTAATTCAAGATATGAGCAGGTGTCAATTACGGTGCAGCTGTGAACCAAAGTCAGTGCTTCAGAACACCCAACGCGCTGTTGGCTGGAGGGCTCACCTGATATTGACATGGCCTTCGAATTTCTCCTCGTCGAAACTAGGATCGAGTCTGACCTCGTATGAGACAGGCTTGACACTGGCCGGTAGGAGGAGGCGCTCTTTCTTCTCCATGATGGGGCTGAATGAAAATGCTCGAGCAGTGGACAACTCTTGGGTGAATCGGAAGCTGGCCAACGGGGCAAGAAAATAAATACAATGATTGACGAAGAGCTACAGCGCTGAGATGGGATGGGAACCAGAGTCAAACCTTTTTCTGCGGCGGTGGAACTATGAAGGCCACTGCCTGTAGTGTTGCGTTGCGTTGTTGCACGCCCGAGCGAGGTTTAGGTACTGCAGCGTGCCTACTTGCGGCTCATGTCCTACAGTACACGGAGGCTTTGAGGCCTATGTCTTGGCGAAGCAGGCTGTCGGAAACAGACCTGCAGCTGCAAAGCGGGGGAAAGGCAGGCCTGATCAGATGATGCCAGTTTTCCACCTTCTGGCTCGGCTTGGTCGTAAGTACAAGATACTCTCTGTGTGCAGTCAGTGTGGATACAGCATGTGGCCACGACCACTCGATGTGGCTCGCCAGCACTTTCTATTGGCCCGCAGGGAATCAGCTCATTATGTAGGTAAGATTTTGTGTTTTCTTGTGAAACAAATAACTCGAGCGGGGTTGCTGCAACATGCCAAGTCGGGCGCATCTAGGACTTGTAATTTCCTGTTATGCTCTGACCAGGTACTTTCGAAAAAGGCGGATCAAGGACAAGGCAATAAATAGATATGCATCAAGGAGGAATGCCCGCATGTCGGGGTTGTCAATCAGGCTGACCCAGTACATTGACAGGATTTACAGTACAACTGCCAAAGTTGGTATAGGAGAGCGTCCCATCTGGAAAATTAACTTTCCTTTATTATATTCATTTTTTCATTGGAAACACGCCTTTTCTCTGTGGTAACGCGAAGTGGCTTGACTTTCTCAGAATGCAAGAATTTGGGGCTTGACACAGTGCAGCCATGGCATCATTAAATCCGGCAGAAGCAAATAGGCACGACATGCACTACCTACCCGCGACATCCGTCCTCCCTAGCTAATCACGCTCCCACCAGCAGCAGCAGTCAATCACCTGCGACGCTTCAGACCGCTGGTGATACTCTCCATGACGCCTGGGCCAGTGCCGTCAAGGCATTTCAGTCTACCCTCTCCACAGAGGAGTACAGAAAGCTAGAGGCCATCGATTGCCCCGAAAAGCTTGAGACTGAGCTCCAGAAGTCAAGGGATTCTTACACGTCGCGCAGAGTTCCGCGACTGTTAAAGAGACTCGAACCATTTTTGCTACAGTTAAACTTCTTCACTCAATCCATCAATATCTTTGTTCAGTCTAAACCAGAGATAGCTGCCCTTGTTTGGGGTTCTTTACACGTCCTACTCCAGGCAAGTAGAAAAAAAAAGACATCTGAATTCTTTCATTCAACTGTGTAGACTTATCTGAGACTCTCTTACTAGATCACCCTACGTCATAGAGCGCACATAGACAACATTATCGAAACCTTAGAATACCTTGAACGACACTTACCTAGGGTCAAGAGCTTCACAGACCTCTATGTTGTGTCTGGCCGAATTGAAAAGGCGGTGTGTAAGCTCTATCACGAGCTGATTCACTTTTTTCTTGAAGCCACAATTTTCTTCCAGAGAAATCCAGTTGGTGAGAGGCCGCGACGCAGACCAGTCGTAGACGCTGAGGCTAACGTTGTCTATATAAAGCGAACTTGCTCGGTATTACGATTCCTTGGAAAAAGAAAGGCCACAAGTTTCAGGGACAGTTTCAGCAGTGTCTGATCAAAATCCAAAAGAACTTCGAATGGATAGATACCGAAGCTGGTATCGGTTTGCACTACTTGACACAACAGATGACCTCTAAAGGAAATCAAGGTATCCAAGATATTCTTTCCAAAGTTTCCGCCATGGGTTCATCGCATTCTTCACAGCCTGCCCCTGTTGCAGCGGCGTCATATCGCATCATACCTCTCGTTGCCAACATATCCTTCTTCGGCCGTGAGACCGAGATGCAAATGATGGAAAAAGTGTTACTACCAGAGAGAGAGACCAGACTCACTGTCTTTAGCATACTGGGTATAGGCGGCGTCGGTAAATCGCAGCTTGCCCTTCATTTCACGTACAAGCACCTGAATCATTTCAACGCGATATTCTGGATACCAGCAGAGACAAGCGTCAAGATTAAGGGGGCGTTTGAAGAAATTGGTACCGAAGTTGGGCTGCTGGAGCCTAACGGCGGCCAAGGGAACTTGGAGGCTGTTGCTCAGAGAACGAAAAAGTGGTTGCGGAACTACGGTCAGGATACTACAAGGTACTCTAACGATGATGGTGATAGCTGACTCCTGCGAAGATAAGCCATTCCTTTTAATCTTTGACAATGTTGAGTCCATGTCAATATTGGAAAAATATCTACCTACCGGTGGCCGTGGTTCAATCATAATCACGACGAGAAACCAGAACCTTTTCCAGCCTCCTGTAACAGCTTGGGCCCATCTAAAGTGCTTTGATATCGAGGAAGGGAAACGTTACTTGCTGGCTAACATTCCTCAAGGCGCACTGTATGGGAATGATGCAGATTCCGAGCATGCTGGGAAGATCTGTGATACCTGCGGTGGTTTACCATTGGCACTCTCTCAAGTCCACCGGTTCATAAGCGCACTCAACATTTCGCTGGACGAAGCCAACCGCAGAGTCACAGGACTTGAGGCATTCGTTAATGTGTCCTCAGAATTGAATGATCTCCAGCAAACGGATTACTATCATCCAACGGGAGTTCCATCACTTTGGGATGAATCACTCCACGCTTTGAATCCTTCTTGCTCTGCTATCGTTAAATCCATAGCGTTTCTTGACCCAGACGCCATGCCAGAAGGATTTCTGAGATTATTCTCAGAGAATAATAGTCAATCGGGACAGCAAGCTCGAGCTACGAGTTCAAGCGAGTACGGTTGTCTTCATCTCCATGACGTAGGATATGATAGTAAGCTGACCGAGATTTAGATTCAATAGCCAGATACTCACACTATTGGAGACATCCTTAATCTATCGAGCTTCGAAGAGCAACACATTTTCTACGCATCGTTTATTGCAGCAGACCGTGCTCCAGGATCTCGACCAAAAACAGCATATTCGCATATTTCGATCTGTACTGGAAATCATCGATGAGACGTTCCCCGATTATGACGATAGCGATCGACTTGTAACTTCGTGGCCACAGTGCAAACAGGTTCTACCACATGTCCTGAGGCTTTCCATTCTATGCTCTCCTGCAGGGTCGTATGGCCCCGCAGTTCTCCTCAAGCTAGGGGAACTTCTTGAAAGAGCCGCATGGTTAGTGAACTTCCCAATTACTATAACGATATTTCAAACTAAAATATCTTGTAGGTATCTCCAGGAACGTGGAGCACGTGAAGAGGCTGCCAGACTGCTGGAACGTGCACTCAACATAGCAAAGACCGGGCTACAACTTTTGAATGACTCTCCCGAAAGTGGCGATCGCGACGAGGATGCCGCAAATGCGACCATAGCCTTGGACTTGGGGGAGCTCGAATCCGCAATCACCAACTCATTGGGAACGCTAGAGCTTGGCCGAGGTAACTTCTCCAAGGCGCAGAAACTCTTTGAGGATGCTATTGCCAGACGCGAGAGCATGGGCGTGATAGACCGCGAGACTATTTACATGAAGCGGAACGTGGGTGTTGCGCTGCTTAGCTCAAATAGCGTACAGCCTGCATTGGAAATTTTCAAGGAGTCGTTGGCGCTGGTGGAACAGAAATTGGCCACGTCGGATAACCCACGACAATTTCACGAAGACTTGGCCTTTTGCTACGGATCTATTGCCTTTGCCTTGATAGGAACGGGCCAGCTAGACGAGGCTTGGGATGCTGCGGTCAAGTCCACTGAGCTTCTAAAGCAATCATACAGTCTTAAGAGCCCCCGGATTGGAGAGTATGTCAATGTTATCCCAAGATCTGATCTGCTGATACTGAGAAGTACAAACAGCTGCCACACTACTCTGGGAAATATCCGCCTCTTGCAAGGGAATCTTCAAGAGGCAGAAATCTTCCTGCACCAGGCATTAGATATCCGAGTCGAAGCCTGTGGAGAGCATGAAGAAACAGCTCTGGCTATGCATAATTATGCTCGCATCCTGAAGGAACTAGGGAGGACCAAGGATGCTCTGTAAGTTTTGTTTCTACCCTCAGGTCCATCTACTATGACAATGTGTGAAAAGGGTTTACTGTTTCTATTACCCAAAAGGCTAATCGAGCGATATCAGAAGGTTCTGTAAACAAGGCGTGGAGATGTTGCGTAGATTGCCCGACTCGAAAGGCATTCTCGCTCGATCACTCTACTATCTAAGTCGCTATCAGATGGGGGAGGACCCAATAGAGCTAAGCAAAAAGAACGAGGAACAAGCTTTCCAGCTCTATTACGAACATCGGGGCCATGTCGAGAATCACTCATCGCTACAGGCGAAAGATTTCGATGACCTTCTTATTGCTTACAATCGCTAGATACAGGAGAAATCAGTCACCAATGAGTCCCTATTCATATTTGAAGCTTCTAAGAGAGCTTGTAAATCCCTGCGTGTCTCCAAAGCCTGCAGTAACTGCACTGGAGGTCAGTTGGTGTGATAGAACAATCAAGGCTGGGGGGATGCGAGGCTATCGATTGTCCTTACTGGTACCTGTGTTTTCATTCCATCGTGGCCGGCATCTCGCGCGTGTTCTCGGGAGGTGACGTGAGTTTGACCGGCTGGCGTGAGACGCGACAGCTATTGTTGCTGGAACTCGGGGGATCCAGTGCTTTGGCCCTGGCGAGTGCAGGGATCTTGGGCTGAATTTCTTTGGGAAGTGAGGGCATCTTGGATGAGACGATGTGTGTTTGAAAAAGCTGATACGATGCTACTTGCTACTTAATGTATCGAGCTGAAAGAGGGAGAAATCGTTACGGTCACAGGAGGGGCGCCTGACGACTTTTATCGTCATGTAAACTAACCATGCGATCGCCATTAATATACCATAGTGCCAGGCCAAGCTAGAGTGCATTCTGTGCCATGTTGCTCTCGAATCGTGATTCTTGATCACGCGCCAGCTTGTTCAGTTGCACTTTGAGCAACCCTTTCAGATTTGCAAAACCACAACTAGTTTATGATATCGGAGTGTGATCAAAATTTGCTGACTGCATAAATGTGTTTTATTTAGGCTCAACTGACAATTATTGTGGAGCTTGTACATGCTACAACTTGTTATCGCACCAAAACTGTTGCCTTGCATGAAGAGGCAACTGTGGCGTTGTAAGTGGCAGGCCTCAAAGATAGCTAACGATCGACGATCTCGCCGCCGGAGCCTCCAGATCTCGATTGTGCGGCCGAACAGAAATCGCCATCATTGTCATTTCTCAGTCGCTGAGATTATTCGCTGCAGAAAGCAACGCATTATCACTACCTACCGCAGATATTACTTGCCAAGCAAAACTCAAAATGACTTCAGCTCTAGAACTTGAACATAGCCATCGAGAAGACGCAATACAGCGCTCTCTCGAGGCGCATACCCCCAAGATTGAGCAGCTCATGGAGATAGGAAACACTCCCGGTGTCTCGATTGCCGTTCTTTGTAACAACAAGCTAGTTTTAGAGCGTGGTTATGGCCTCGTCAATTTGCGTACAAATATAAAAGCCACTGCATCGACTATCTACCCCATCGCTTCCGTAACAAAGACTTTCACAGCTGCAGCATGCGGCATTCTTGTAGCCGAAGGAAAATTAAGCTGGGGTAAGTTCTTTGAAAGTGAGAATCACGATACGAGAGATCTAATACTGGGTAGAGGAGCCGATATCCACATACCTACACGATCTCAACATCCCGAAACACCCCGACATCGAAAGGCACGCTACTATAGTGGATATACTAAGTCACAGGACGGGTTTGCAAGAGCAGTCGTCTGTATTCGAGAGTTCTAATGGAATGCCGCTATTCAAAGACGCATTGTCAACCTACCATGCCCTGAATCTAATGTCCTCGGAGCCCGGCAGCTTTAGACAAACGTGGAGCTATTGTCCTCCCTTATACGCTCTTCTGACAATTGTGATTGAGCGTGTGTCTGGACTACCGCTTTCAGAGTTCTTTCAAAAAAGGATATTTGAGCCACTAGGTATGACATCAACATCGATAGTAGGAATGGCACCCGATATTGAGCCAACTCACTTGGCTCAAGGCTATACGCGAACCTCAGCCGGTCTCTGGCTAGACCGAGACGGCACATCTTCGGGGTATCAGTTCCCATTCGACACCTCTATGGGAGTCCAGAGTTCTGTCTCGGATATGATGAAGTGGGCCAAGGCAGTCATTAAGAACTTCAATATATCGAGGCAGCTTCCAGGAGATTCTAATAGTCAGGAGGAAGCGGATTTCCCGGAAGGAAGTGCGATATTCAAACAATGGTGCAAACTTCCCCTCAACGAGGGTGGCTTCCCGTCGTACTGTCTGGGTTGGTTCAGGCAGGAGGGCTACTTCATCTTTGACGACATGTTTGATGGCGATGGACAGGCTGACTCGTTGGAGTGGCCATGTACGCTCCCCACGCCTCACGAAGATCAAAAGCCCGAAACCATTCTTTATCATAGTGGTTTAGGCCATGGATTCAGCTCCTCGATGCATGTATTCCCGAACAAGGGGGATGCCGTGATTGTCCACGGGAATTCATCCCATGCGGGTGATGCTGTGGACTGTATCTCTCGGCTCATTACCGCAATTGTTTGCGGTTATGATCTCTCAACCTCTGAATTGATGTCAAACCTGAGATTCTATACAGACTTGGAAGTAGGAAGGTGGAAGCAAATGGACAAAGAGCTGCGGAAGGAACAAGAAGGTCAATCGAGAAGCAAACGCATTCCTGAGGCATCTGAGATCGTAGGACGCTACGTCAACATTAGCTCAACCCTGGAAATGACGATATCGTCGGGAGGAAAAGGAAACCCAGAGGACACATCAAGGCCTAGCGCGGAGCCATTTATTGGTGCCAAGCTGAAACTTGGAAGTGAAACCAAACTTGGTCTCGACTTATGGAGCTTTTCTGACGCTACGTTGTGCTTCTTCCCAAATGAAGTTGATTATCAGAGATGGTGTATGTCTTACTTGGGAAGCTGGCCGCAGTTTCTCATACACCTAAGTTACGACGATATAACGGGCTCTGTTTCTGGATTTTGGTGGCAGTTTGACCCTGCTAGAGATGGGATATGGCTCCAAAGGTTGGATTCTTAAAAGCTCTACCGACAAGAAATGGCAGTATAAGTTGCTCGTTCCCCTCCTAGAATAAAGGCAACATGACCAATCAAAGCCTCTGTTTATGCCCCAAACACGCATGGCTCGCGAAACCTTCTTCGCACTCTCGGTATCCGCAAGTGGCTAAGCAACAATCGCGACACCAAGAAACATCGTCACCGAGAACCTTTTCCGTCGCGTCCCCACACACGAAGCACCAGAGAGGCGTTAACCCGGTACTTTCCAGAAGCAAAGCGGTTGATCTGCGTACTGCCCAGCTGCTTCTTCCAAAGATGTGAGTCCACAAGAACTGGGGGTTGCTGTACGGTTCGGCCAAAGCGGGGAGGAGGCGAATATAATTCCCCTCTGGGACACCTTGCAGAAGCATGGACCTTGCCTGCTTCTCGTCAACGTATATGAGAGATTCTAATCCGGCCATCTCGAGTGAGCTTTGGGACTGTGGCTGTCTGGCTCTGGCGGTGTCCATGGTGCTAATGACCTCGCGAATGGCCTGGCCTATCCGAATACTGAGACCGGGCCAGTGTTCTTTCTTTGCTAATTCAATGACAAACAATGCTTCGATAAGTAGAGACGACCGGATAGCTCGCGTATGCCTGTCATGCCAGCGAAAGATCGCCCTCAATCTGTCATTGTGAGAAGAAATATGAAGACTCTGAAGTGTTTGCCCATCAAAGTTGACACCAATTCCGTTAACCTTGAGCCCTTTTCCAAATATCACCAAGTCGGGCCGCACGATCCTACGGTATTCCTCTCTCTGGTAGGCAAACGGGGCACCGCATCGGAGTGCCGAAAGAGTTTCGTCGACCATTAGCAGGATTCGGAGACTACAGCATGCTTGAGCCAGTGCCTGTAAAGAAGCTGGCTCAATCTTCCGCCAGGGAAACTGGCTCTCGACTATCTGCACAATTAGGGCGACGCATCCCTGCTCTTTCGCCTTCATTAGAGCTTCGTGATATTGTCCGTCGGCTGCCAAATCGATGACAACTGGGCTGGAACCACATGCGACAGAGCTGGACTCTTGATAGGGACAGACATATGCCTTTAATATTGGAGTCAGCGTCAGGATCACAATTCTATAGTCATCGTCATACCAGGGGTCCATATCCTGCTCCAAAACACCGGGATAAAATTACCACTTTTGGTGATTGTATATGGTTTCGGTTCCAGCCCAATGCGCGTGCGACTACCTCCATGGAAGAGCGTGTCTCCGCGATACTTGAGTTTTGAGATTCAGATGTGCGTGCCATGTGGAGCAAAAGGCTAGTAATCGTTGTTGGAGACATGGCGTCTGTTGCATGGCTATGAAATGAAATTGGATAAATGCCCAAGAACAAGTCTCTTGGCGAAGTTAGTTGCCATTGAAAAGGAGATACTTCCTGGTGCAAGAGTTCCTACCTGAACCTTTCTATATACTCAACAAGAAGCTGTGAGTATGAATGGTCCAGAAGAAGTGGATCGTGCGCGTATTGAGTCCACAGCTTGAAATACCTCGGGTGGGAGCTTAGAGGCTTCCAGGTTAATGATTCGCCATACCGATTATGCATGTCGTGGTAAATACGTAGAGGTCCAAGCATTTTCAAAATGGATCGACCAAACTGGATCTTTGCTAAAAGTAACTGAGGGTTGCTTCACAGCCTTATAGGAATCGGATGCAGACTGTGTGTTGGCATAGTACTGCTTAGAGGAGTCTATGCTTATATCCAGGTATTACCTTATGCTGTACGAAATAAGGGTCATGTGCGTAAACGTAGGATCTGCCATGCGTTACAGGTAGGACACTTCAAGGAGCCGACTTTCAGTCACCAACCTGTTTATTTTTTACCCACGGTCGAACGTATGACAAATCTAATATTAAAAGCTGTGACTCGGGCACTCTTTTCTTAGATACACCATAAAGCTTTCAAGGGAGGCTGCTCCATCCTCAAGTTGGAAGAATACTTTCATATCGGTAGTTTAGGTGGCTTGGACTTCTTTATTGTTTATTAGTCGGTGATTTTGATCATTGCTCATTCAATGAAGAGAACCTGAGTTACAGAACTAACCAAGTTGAATTCTACTTCGCTGAGAAATAGCTCGATGTCCTATATTCACGATTCATGGCGGTGTTAGATAGAAAATTGACATTCAGACACTTGTCGTCTTATTTGTATTCTCAATTTAGCTCCTTGACCTGATGATGTATATTATTAATTGTTATAGCCGCCGTACGAGCAGCCACCTATTGGAAGATGAACACGGTGGATGACTCTAGTAAAAGAAAGCTGATATCATACTTAGTAAGCTCATGACCTGAGCGTATGAATACCAGGTGGTGTAATAAAGATTACGGAGTGGCGAATTTGAGAACTGGCTGTCGATGTTATGGGAAAAGTGTGGTGTAACATAGTTTTATGAACTTGGACCCCTGCTACGTAGGACGTAGAGTGGTAGAACTAAAAGTATCTCTTCGGACGGCCCGCAATGAGCTTTGGCCCTCTATTAAACCATCCTTGAACAACACCGGGAATCTCCCTAAGAACAACCCCATACCTTGCTGTTAAGACATACTTTACGGTGGCTGCGATTCGCTGGTGAGTATCCCGATGTCTTCAGCTGGTGATTGCAACATTCCTGCGTGCAATGGCCTTCAATCAGCTCGGCCACAGAATGAGCAGTCCAATAGGTGATGTCGGGGGCATGTGTTAAAGTGCCAACTCTGAGATGGCAGTTTCCGTAGCGGAAGATTGTTCTACTGTGAGCGCCGATGTAGGCTCTACTAGTGGACATGAGCTCGACAAGGCATAGGCAATTATATCGGTAAGCCTCGTTGTTTCCAATATTGCATTTGATACCAAAGGTCGGTCGTTCCTGAAGATGACTGACATCTTTGAGGTCAACGTTTGCAAGGAGATGAAGTACGTCACAGTGTGTATCATTGCTGCTCGTGTTGGCGTAGACCGACAAGGCATGTTTATAGTCGTCTGTTGCTGTTGCTTTGTACTCCATAGCGAATTCCTCCAGGGCTTCCATCACTGTTTGTTTTGAACCCTCAACGAAGCCGTCGACAATAGTGCCAAACATATGATATCGAGCCCATATGGGGTCGCCTAATCACGCCTCACGGATGGAAGCCACGTATTCGCTAGCCCATGGCTCAACCAATTGTAGTGAATTGTTTGGTTCAAGGGCTGTTCCGATAGAAATGTCAAGGAATAGTTGTTCGAAAGGCCGACTGTAGTTCATGGTAGCCGCAGAGAATACAACACTACTGCACCCGAAGATGATTGTACTGAGAGGGAGCTGCGAGGTCTTCATCCTGTGGATATCTGAAATTTGAGACGGAATTTATAAGGTGATATAACTGGAATGTAGCTCTCTGGCTGAAGTTAAATCTACAACATGATGAGGGAAAGCGAGCCATTTATCTTTTCAAATTATCACAACAGCTAATGTCTTTCTTCTGTCCTGGTACTTCTGTAGGCATTGTTGGTTGTGTTGGTCGTGAAAACGGATACCCCGGCTCGAATATCACCGCAGTTGGCTCCATATCGCCATTTCGAACCAACAGCTTTTCCATTCACACAGACTACTCGGGCCTTCGGAAAGAGGTCAAGACCGATAGCTAATGGCCACTACAATTAACGAAAAAACAATACATCAATTCAAGTAACTTGTAAAGCACGAATTTAACGATGCGCTTCTGCAATACCAGATTCTTGAAATCTAAGCGTTTGGTGTATATGAACGGCTTTATCCAGTATGTAGACAATCCTTGCTTATCTGGTAGGTTCATAAAACAGCATCACAGCATCCATGGGTGGCCGTTCTACACCAATCAAGACACAATATCCGTGCATGCTATCTTGAAGTAATGTTCCATCGGCGAAGCTCTCTATGCTGTAGTTGTCAGACCACTATCGTGTGCGCAGCTCGGGTAAGGTGGGTTCATACGTTGTCTGTTGGTCGGCTCCTGTAAACCCTGTTAATTCGGCTTCTAGTGCCGAGTCACAGAGCTATTGAAGTTAAATTCCGCTTTGGTCAATAATGCCTCGACGTTTGTATTCACGATGATGCGGTGTAAATACACTTATGCGGAACTGGAAACCACTCAATTACTTTAGGGCAAGAATGTTCGAGAACTATCCACTTTCCGAGGCCTGGATCCGACTGACATCCTTTTTATCAACTTGAAGGATAATTTCGATGACCTCGGGATGAATATCAGCACTGCTTGTCTCTTTGTAAAAGGCCACAGTATTAGCCCATTCACGGCAAGCCCGTTTCTTATACCTCACTGCCTCCTCTTCAACATTGTCAATTACGGTTGATCCATACTCAGATTTTCCATCTACCACATTTCCAAATATGTGATAGCGTGCCCAGATCGCATCTCCGAACCTTCCGTCGCGTACAGCATTCACGTACGATGTCGCCCAGGGCTCAACGGGGTCAGGTCCTGTCCCTGCGAAGACTCTTTGTACCGATATATCGAGGGACAGAGTCTCCGGGGCCTGAGACTTGTCGATGTTTAGCGCTGTGTATGTCAGTATTGAGGTACCTTCTTTCAAAAAGGTTATATAGATATGCGCATTTGCGTCTGTAATGATAAGGAGGAAGGACAATTATGTGCAATTCACCAACGTCGGCTTGGTGCACAAAATAATGAGGTATGGTATGATTTGGAGAAGGACTGAGTTGGTTCGGCGTCTTAAATATTTTGGCAGCGAACCCAGCAAGCCCCACACTGGCAAACACATCCAATATGCAATGGCTTCCATGTGACTTTCTTCAACGCGCCGTGTCCGTACCATCACCATCGGGCAGCAGTGATAATCAAGGCACCGTATTTCCTCAACAACTGGCAACCGAGCTATAGGCACAGGTAGCTTGCTTATGCTTCCTGAGATATATTATATGTAGCTCAAATATTCCTAACTCTTTATTAGAGAAAAGATGCAGACAATGCTCCATAGCCCCGTCGCAAGTTGTTTAGTGGTATGAACCGTAGTGAGTCCAGGTCGCGGCATAAACATAGACATCCTCTATAAGAAATAGTAACGGTCAGCACCAAGCAATTGCGTAGATTCTATATGATTTGACTACCGAGGGCAGTATGTTTGTGCGAATAACTGATACACTGGAAATAAAGATATTGCATTATGTAACTAAAAAGGAAGATAGGTGCTGTCTTGCTTTTTCAGCCTCCCAGTTTATCAGAATACCCTCCTTGGACTCTTCCACTTTTGTCTTTACCAGTACCTCCATCGCTTCTTGCTCATCTTCAGTCAGCAGCTGTACTCTGGCCTTCCATAACTCTTCTGTAGGAGTGCCTTCTGCTCTCTTGTCGAAGAATCTTTCATCTAGGTATTTCCAATAGATAGCGTCAAAGGACCAGCTTTTTCGGGCAGCATAGCTCACAGATAGGATAAAAAGAAAGAAGATTCTGGGCAAACACGGTTGCCTTTTTCAGAGATTTCACAGCCGGATTTCGTCTCATCCAATCAAGATATGTTAGACTAGGGTCTTTCCTGTTGGTCGTCCAACAAGCCAAACAGTCAATAACAACCCGACTTTTGATCCCTGCAACAGAGTGTCCGACAGTGGCTTGCATGGTATGGTAGTCTAGACTTATTTCCTTAGTTGTCTCTTCGCTCACCTGGTTTCTCTCAGACTGGCTTGGCAATCGGCGCAAAGGGATGAACAGCCTGAGCCTTGATCTAAGGGAATGTGCCGATTGGATCGAGATGCATGCCCGGCTCCTAGCTCATCAGCCCTCCGGTGACAATCAACAGGTCAAACACTTTTACACACCAAAAGGTCAGCACCAACTCACAGCTTAAACTTTAGGCATTTATTCTTAAGACCGTGAGAATAATATATTTATCCGTGGGCTCATCTATACACCCCTCCCATCCAATGGAAAACTCCCACGCCAAAGACAAAGGGCCGCACAGGAAGACCAACGAATTGACCTTTGACCACATGAAGAGGCGTGGCGCACCACGTCGAGAAGAACACTAAAAAGAAAAGAGCAAAAGATAGTAACTCTTTGTCATCCGTTCACATCATCAGATGCACCATTCCTTCCACGTCACAGGGATCGCCTACTTTTAGCCAGCCTCCTCAAATCCGCCGCTCTGGCTGTGAGACATATCCTAGAAGCCTATCTCCCTTAATACTTGGCCGCAGACTGTCTTGAGAGAATCTAAGATCTCATTTCCTTCAGTTGGCTTCGATGATGCGGTCGTTGTTGGTGGATCCATGCTAGAACATGAACCCGTTCTTTGGCGTCACTCGCTGTCACTTAAAGTGGCCATGTTAGGAGCATTCTTGCGTGCCAATGGCCATCTTCGCTGAATAGACATCTGGCGTATACATGTAGGTTGGTCCACCGGACTTGTAGCCTCATCTCCGCGTCCTATATTATCTTGAGTTCCGTGTTCAGGCTTAACCTCTCGCGTCGGGATGTTCAGCCGAAGCGGCCTGCTCTCTTGGTTCTCTGCTGTTGTCCTGGGTTGGGTATTTTGATCTATATTGACGTTCTCATATGTCCTGCCGATGGGAGTCTGCCTATGCCTGCTAGAGGTTGGTGCATCGTTGTCGCCAGCAATGCTGTCTCCGTATAGATCTTCAGATTCATCTTCAACCTCGTTTCCAAGGCCTGTATTCAGTTTAATTAGTAAAATAAAAAATACTTCAATCAACGACACTTGCCTGCCGTGGTTTTGCTGATATACGCCTTGATAACGTCCTTGTCATCAAGGTCCTCGTCTTCAAGATTAAGCTTTCGAAAGTGACACACTGGGAGCCAATCGACCTTGTGCGGGATTTCCCCAGCTAAGCACATAATTGGGTATTCCCTGTAATTCGCATGTTTTCCATGTTGCTCGTAGCCCTCAGCCCAGTCATACCCACCAGTGGTCTCATTGAGCTTGTAGCAAGCGGGAATATCGACCCTGAGGTCTGACTCCGTAACAGATTGTATGTCCATACCATCGCCAGGCCGCGGAAAGAACGGGATGACCAAAAATGCGTGGAGGCAATGGCCCTTATCGTCGTCACCAAACCAAGCCATATATATTTCACCAGTCTGGGGAGCATGTGCAAAGTTCTTGGTAGAAGCCTTGCGACGCTCCTTTTTCTCCTCCTGCTCTGCTAGGTAACAATCTGCAGCCTTGTTATTCAGCTTGAGATCATCGTCATTGCACTCCAAAACTTGGGTCCCAAGCGATCTAAATGCCTGGGTGATGGTCGACCTCTTGTTGGGGTGTCCTTTGCCTTTAAGATGGCTCATGGCAGCTTGAAGGGGGTTCTCCTTGCAGAAGTGCTTATCATGCTTCTTACATCCAAAAACATAGTAAAGCTCATCGACCTTGACAATTCTGTATTTCCATCGAGCTTTACCACCTTGATATACCTCGCCAAAGGGAATTGTTTTTTCTGTAACGGTGTCACTTGAGACGCTCTGTCGCTGGCGCTTCGTAGGGCGAGATACGGAGGTATTGTCACGTCTCTTATTTGACCGAGCTTTTTGGCCAGTCGGTTCAATTCCCACTTGCTGATCGACGTCGGTCGAGAAGCCCCTTGGCGGAGTTGCGCTGTGTGTACGCGAGGGGGTCGATCTGGGCTCGATCGTTTCTGGAATAACGGTGGTTTGGGGAAGGTTGCCCGGCGATTCGGTAGTCTCATGGGTTGCTCGATCGTTGGAGAGGCCTGAAAGTTGAATACAGTCGAGGTCTGGAGTTTGGACAAGATTTCCCAGCGTTTCAGAGGTCTGGTGGGTTGCTTGATCGTTCTCGAGGCCGGGATTGGTATCAGTGCCAGTATCAAGGGAAGCCGGAGTAGCTAGCTTCTGATAGCCTTCTTTGGATAACCTGGAGTCAAAGAGGTCCAGCTGTTCCTTGCGCTTTGCCTGGGCTGCCTTATGTTGCTCTTGGACCTCTTCTAGATGATCCCCATACCGGACCAGTTCCCTACACAGAGCCCTTTTTCTCTCTGGACTCTGTTCACGGCTGTGTCGCTCTTCTGCAGCATCGTAATCCGCCTGAGCACGCGAGATATCTCCTGGTGGCTCTACGTCATGGAGCAACGATCTCAAATCCTCAATGATTTGCAGAGCAGCGGAATGTCTCTGAGCGAGAGAGTCTCCCATATTGGCGCCCTTCAGGACTAGTTTACGTGTGGTGGGTCTCTGGGGCAGCTAGTTAAGATCAAAACAAACCTATCCCGATCAATACAAGAAAGAAACGGCGTTTTCAAGGGTGTCAATACAACGGGGCGTCTGCACGCGTTCCATGGTACGGAGAAGTAAAGGGGAAAAATGAAATTGAGGGGAACTGACAAAATTGACAGGTACTGCACAACAGCAAGAGAAAAGAGATTTCGCAGCCTGATTCATGTCTTATCTAATCAAGATATTGTTAGACCAGGGTCTTTCCAGTTTGTCTTCTAACACGTCAAATAGCCAATGATGAGCCAACTTTTAGCCCATGTAGCCGCGTATCTGCGCCGGTGGCTTGCCTAGGCTTGTTTCCCTGCTGACCGAGAGTTGTCTCTTCTTTCACCTGGTTTCCCGTAAAAAGTTTAGTAATATGTCTTAAACTGACTTGGCAATAGGCAACTTAATGCAAAAGGCGGTAGACATCGTGTCATTTAACTTAAGGGAACGTACCAATTGGGCCAGGATACTCCTCCTAGCTTATCACTTACCAGCCCTATGGTGATAATTAATAGGCTATTAAGCGCTTTCCTACGCCGAAATGCCATCACTAATCCGCAGCTTAGACGAAAGCAGTTTTAGACCGGAATAATCTACTTAACCCTGGGCTGATACCTCTTATCTTTCCTTTTAATGTAAGGCTCTAAAATTTCAAGGTCTAATACTAGCTTTTTTTACTATCATAAGACGTGATGCGCCATGCTAAAAAAAAAAAAAAAAAAAAAAGTATCCCCCCTCAAGTTCATCTCCACGATCCATCAAGCCCTTCTGCGTTGCTAAATATGTCTTTGACCTACTTCTCACTATCAAGTTGGACTTCTTACAGCCAACGCTCATCGCCATGGATACTGTCTTGAAGCTGAGGGTACCTATTGTCATGGCACGTGCATGCCAAGCTGCTCATCTACCTGCCATGGCACAACCACGAAGGGGTGGACTGTTGAATCCAATAGAGACGGCGATTCTTGTGGCTGGATTGCCACGTTCTGTACTGAATTTATAACCGGTAAGCTTATCTTCGTGGTCTGAAATTGAAGCGAGGTCTTTTCGCGCTGGATAAGCATAAGGAGCTGATTCCTCCCCAGTGATAGACGGCTATAAAGACTCGGCTCATCTGTGACGGCAATCTTTACCATCCTGTCGGCACCATCTGGAACGATTACCGTAGCATTTGGTGCCGAAGAGCTGTTGGCGACACTCTCAGGCAGCCTTGTCAATTGTACCTCATTGACAGTTTCTCCATCGGCCTCTTGATCTTCTTGTATATTGCGCACAACAATCTGGTTTTGTGACGAGACGACATGTAAGGCATCAGTGGCGGGAACTCCGTCCTTGATGACCATACTCGCATCTGTACTGTCAATCACCCCGTACTGTTTGCTTCGCTGTAGAAAGGAGCCATATGCTTTTCGTGTCATGATGTTGAACGATTCGCTTGTCACCGGGTTACTCCTCTGTTGCAATTCTGGCATACGCTTGATGCCAAGGACCTGCTCTGCATCCACGGTCATTGGCTTGGGATTTGCCTGCAGGCGGAGGATAAAGAACTTTCCGCAGCTAGAAAAGGCTATTTTTACTGGTTCATCCACATCCGAACTGTAGCAGCAAAGAATTCTTGGCTGTTCTGTGGAAATTCCCCTATCAGTCCGACAGCTATCAGTAGTTGGTATTATAGGAACAACCTACCCGCACGCGTCCAGTCCCATAAATAAGCTCCCGGACCAGCAATAAATCCTACTAATGGAAGGACCGGGTTATCACATATCATGATGCTGTGAAAATCATCCGGTTTTAAGACGATCTCACTCATATCAGAAGACTTCAACGTCAGCTGGAATTTATCTTCAAGTCTGGTTTGGAAGAGTGCGAATACTAGCGGAGTGCCAACCTTTGAGTAAAGGACGAAGAGGTCGTCACTGGCAGTAAAACTTGGGAAGTACAAGAACCGGGGTTCCAGCAGATTGTGTTCGACATGTCGATAAGGGTCCCAATCATCGCGTCCATCCAGGTTCAGGTTCAGCTTGAACTTTCGCAGCTTTGGTTGGCAATGCTGACTTTCCGGCTGGGATATTTTGTAAACCGTCCGAAGAATGCAAAAGTACCGTCCGCTCGAAGAGATAGCGAGGGGAAACTGCAAACTCCATGGTGACGCGGGGGACTTATTGCGGTCTTCCCAAGCAGACTGTTTACATTGGATCAAGACCTCTTGGGCATTAATTTTGATAACTAGACTGAGAGCACGAGTAGGCTGTTCCTCAGTCGTCCAAGCCTCAAGCTTCGCAACCCAGCCTGAACATGCGTTCCACAAGTTCTTACCACTCAGCTCCGCGGCAGAACGAAAGGCAGCATCTTCAAAAGCCCTGAAATGTTAATCTCGTTAGTGATAGTCTCCCCAAGACCTTACTTACGTACCTGGAAGGCCAAATCGAGAGTACAATTATAGCTTTTCCATCGTTTCGAATTCTGGATATGGTCTTTAGACTTCCATTTTCAGCCTCAAGAGTTTCTGGCTTCTCTGCGCAGAGACTAGTCACTTTCATGACTGGAGCCGCGGGCGAATGCTCAGCATGTCTGTGGAAGGCTTCAACCTCTCTCCATACAATAGCCGGATCTTGTAGGAGTTGCGAATTCCACTCCGTTTCAATATCTTCTGCGCGCGACACAAGATCGATCAAATCGGTCAATGTCCGAGACACGCTGTCTGAATAGACACCGCACGAATGGTTGGTGAGATTTGAAGAAAGCTCTTTCAAGCTAGCTTTCCAGACGAGACAAGACTTGATGACGGATACTGAAAGACGGTATGACATTTCGATCCAGGAGAGGAAGCAGGATTGGTTGTCAAGAAACTGGTGAAGTCTAGGTATCAGTATATCCACTAGCTCTCCGATGTTATCGATATTGGTGGAGCCTTCGTCTTTTCTATCCGAAGGATCGTTCTTCATTGCAAGAAGTGCATTAACACAATGATGCATCCAATTCCCTACCGCAACTTTGAGTAGCGGAAATGTATCAAGAAGCGTTAAATGGTTATGCAAACCTGCTGGCAAAGGCTCGGAGGGTAAGTGCGTAACCATGTACTCTAGGTAAACCGCAGCGCACATCGCATGAGCGCGGTGAGGAGGATGCCCGAAACCTGCTGCTTGTGATATAAAGTATTCCTTGACAGAAATGTGAATAAATCGGATTTGCCCGTCGGAACCCAGCTCCACTAGTGCCCCACAGACTCTCACCGTCGTCTGCACAAAGCGAGCTAGTGGTAAGTGCTTCTTCGCGTTTGGACTAAGGAACAGTCGTAGCTCTTCAGGTCGGAAAGGGCCAGGAGTAAATGCATACGTAAGGCATGAGAAGACTTTGGCGGCCCACTCGCGCTCTATCGAGTTTGAGAGTTGGATTCTTTGTAGAATTCGGAAATACATCCTGTCCAGGTCATCGGGCATGGTGATATCAAAAATAGCCGAAATTCGGCTTTCTTGATACATAGCATCGGTGTCCAAGTACTTGATCATGAGATGAGCCCATAGGAACATACCGTCGGCGCCTAGTGTGAGATGGTGGAGCAAGCGTTCCTTCTGCACTGAAGCAGGGAGGTAGTCTCGCTCGACGAATGATTCGATCCTCCGCTTTAGATACTGTTGGATGTCGCTGCTGTTTTCGTCTCCTATCGGAAACCGCTCATGCGGTGGTACCCATTCATTGAGAAAGGCGACGGTTGGTCGACTGAAAAGGAGTAACTTGGCAAATGGGCAATGAGAGATCGTAGTCAACAGTGCCGATAACGAACGGCCGTTATCACTGCACTCATCTATGCCATCAAGGATAATGAAGCACCTTCCCTCAAAATTTCGAAGACATAGATCCAGCAAGTCGACTACCTCGAACATAGATGCAGTCTTTTGTCCATGTGAGTCAGCCAGAGAAAATGAGAAACGATCAATCATGGAGCGCGAATCAGAGTATTTTTGAAACAGCTGTGCGAGGATTGACCTGTAGGCTGCAGTGATAGTATTAGACGTAGGATCGTCTGCATTAAAATGGAAGAAAAGAACGACTGTGTGTTTGTTGCTGCGAGCTGAAGCCTTTAGCAGATCGATGGCCGAAGCGGACAGGAATGATTTGCCACTCCCTGGTTTACCTAGTATCTGGTAAGCAAGTTTTCATAAACTGTTCCCTTTCAACTAACCATGAATCCACAGAACCTTGCTATGTGAAATTTCTTTATCGCCTCCCTCGAAAGACTCCCATTTCTTGTACTGATCCTTCTGAAATAGCCATTCAGTAGTGGTTTCTTCTATCTCATCGATTATGGACTCGTATCTCCTCATGAACTCTGGAGGGTTAATCCATTGCCGGATGTCATTTCTAACGGCATCTGCAAGCATGATAATTAGAACTAGTACGTATGATACTCATGGATCACTCATACCGATATGCCTTTCTTCCCCCTTCTTCTCCACCTTCACTGATTTCACGAGAGCATCAATGGCTGCAATGAGCTGACGAAGTGCGTCAGAAGATCGATCGTTATTCGCTTTCAGTTCGTTAACGTCCTCCTGTCGGCGCTGCAGAATAAGTCTGAGCTGATAAAGCTGCAACTCCTTGTCTACGAGGGTATCGCAATCCGACAACTTTTCTTGGAGGGTGCTGAATGTGGAATCCAGCGGCTTCAAAAGAATGTTTCCGACCACGATCGGCTGCGACTTTGCCTCTAAAGGACAATTAGCTTGAGAGATACTAGATGTCTTTGCCGCCTTAGACTGTTCCAACTTACTCCCTGTCTTCTTGTAAAAAACATCAACTATCTTCTGGAAAAAGTCTAGTATGCCTTCGTAGGTTGTAACTACTGCGCACTGAAGCCCTGGAGTCGGCTCGATGTCATTTTCCTCAAGCAATTCGAGAAGTTGTTTGTAATTCGCAAGTTGCGACGAGGTTTTCTCCATCATGCCAGTTAGCTTCCGGAAAAAGTTTAAGTAATTGCTTGCGAGCTAAAAGCGAGCAATTAGTCCATAAATACAAGGACCAAGGTCGGAAAGCTGTTGGTACCTGCAACACTAGTCTGGCTGCACCCCATATCAAGGCAGCTACTTCCGGCTTGGACGACACAAAAGTATCTATGACCTTGACATAGGGCTCAACGTTCTCACTGAAGGTGGAAATGCTGTTGAAAATGCTCTTTTTGACACCAGACTGAGCGTTTTGTACTGCGTCGAGCTCTTTAACATGGTGAATGAAAGTGTCAGCTGACGTGCAGAGAGTAGCGATAGACCTATTGTTATCCTCCAGAGAATCTAGGAACCGATGGCCAGCTGACACCACCGGGCTGAACATGCTGCTGGTCGACATGTTTATTGTGGTTTATTTAATTGTACCAGTTCCTTAGAATAAGAATACGAAGAAAAAGCCAGAGCCTAACATAGAAGAAGTATTATAATAATGCCTTACCCCTCTTTTAGGCATAACTGTCAGACAGAATATCAGTGGCTGGCTAATCCATGGTAAAAAGTTAACATAGGTCTTTGAGCGCCCTGTAAACAAGGCTGGCTTTATGATCTGATGATAAAAAGCTAGTGATTTGCCGGCCCTGGAGTGTTAGTTTGGCTTTGTAATCGAGTTTAACTGGCTAATTATTATACCAAGCTTTTTAAAAAAAAACATTACTATAAGAGATGCTAATTAAAGCTTATATTTTTAGTTTATAAGTAATATTTTTATCCTTTATGGTTTTATATTTACTTATATCTTTACTTATTAGCTAGTAATATATTTATAAAATAATATATTTATAAATATAATATCCGCCCAATGCGATGTCGTTGATGAAGGCCTGCTGCTGCCTCGATACGCCATGACCTCGTTCTGGGCAATCGGCTAGGTCTTCCAACGCCTCCATCTGGCCTGCGATGTATTCGACAAGGGATGTGTCGTCCTCGGCACCGAGGAGCTATACTTAGTAACCGAAGATTGCAAGATTGACTTGCTATATTGGCCGCAACTTATTAATATGCGGCAGGTATTTGCTTATAATTTTATAACAGCAAAGGAAGGAATATAAACTTAGGATATATTTAATATTAATATTATTAAGATTCATTAGAGGATTACTTATATAGCCATTAATTACTAAGACTAAATAACTATAGCTAGGTTAACTATTATTAATAATAATTATATAGCAGTATATCTTATAATAGAAATAAGAGTTCTTAGCTTATTTTAATATAGTTTTTTAGGGTTAGAGCCTTAGTAGTAATTGCCTTAAGAGGGTAATAATAAAGAGGGCATTCGGCCTGCTAAGGATAGGGGAAATATCTTTTTTATACTTATAGATTAAGGCCACTTACTTAGTTATATCTTAAGGTTTAAGATAGCAGCTATAAGATCTGCTAAGACTTAATATTAAGGTTATTATGTTTTTTTTAGCTTAGTTTATAATACCTTATATTATATTATATTAAAAATAAATACCTTATTTTATTATTTTACTTTAAGGCCTTTGGCTTTATATTATATATTATTAAATAGGTATAACATGGTTAATAAGCAAGTAAGCCAGATAAGCAAGTAAGCTATTTTCCTCTATAACTTATAGGTTATACCTCCCTACTTAACCTATAGGTTATAAAGGCTATAAATTAATTATTAAACTTATTCTTAGATAACTTAAGAACTACCTAATAGGTCCTTACATTATACCTATCCTTCCTATATATACTATAGCACTAAATACCTAGTTATACTAAGCTTCCTTAACTACTACTTCTTAATAATTTTATAACTACCTATAACATGGTTAATAAGCAAGTGAGCCAGATAAGCGAGTGAGCCAGCATACTGTGCAGCTAATAATAGCTTACCCTATAGCATTTTAAAGCTTAAATAAATTAGCTAAAAATTAAATAAAAGGTTTTCCTAAAATAGTATAGTTAACTTTATTAAAAAGTATTTTTAAAAGATTTTTAAGTATTTTAGTTTATATAGAAAACCTTAAAATATAGTATATTTTATAGTGTAAATAGACTTTAAAGTTTAGAGCTATATAGAATTTTTTTAAAATTCTAAGAAAAATAATTTAACTTATTTTAAGACTTATATATAAGCTATTAAAATTATAGGTATTTTAGATTTAATTTGAATTTTTAAAGAATTCTTTAAAAACTGGATTTAAGGTAGAAATAAGATTATTACGCTTACTTATCTATTGCATTTACTTATCAACCACGTTATATTAATATCTATTTAATTAATTACTTATAATACTTTCTATATTATTATTACCTCTTCTTTCTATAATTTAATTCTTTTTTACCTTTAGTATTAGCTTAGTATCTTATTTACTTATTAAAGTTCTTTATTCTTAGCTATTAATAAGGCAACCTTATATATAATTACCTTAGTTCTCTTTAAAAGAGATTAAAAAGCTTTAAGAATTAACTTTAGAGAGCTATTATAATATTACTAAATTTGCTTAATAAGATATTTAGACTAGGATTTTATCTCTTATATTATATTTAAGGTCTTTAAAGCCTAAGGGGTTAATAGTTTTATATCCTCCTTAGTAGGCATTAGGATTTATAGCTATATATTAAGCTTTAAGATTATATTTTCTAAGTTAAAAGGAGTAAATCTAATACCTCTAAAACCCCCTTATATATTACTTTTAGTAAAAGTAGCTTTCTAAGTAATATAAAATATAAAAAAGAACTTAATTTTTAAAATATAAGTTATAAAATATCTTATTAAATACTTTATTTATTAATTATATATATTTTTAAGTAGCCTAAAGTACTTAATATTAAGAGGCTAAAGTAAATAAGAAGTATAAGCTAGTATCTAAAATATAATAATTTTATTCTCCTTATAGTATTTCTTAAAATTAATAAAGTAATAGTTTTTATAACTATTAAAGATTAAGAGATAATAGGTATTAATTAATTAAATAATTATAACTTAATTAAAATACTTTAGCTAATTAAGGCCTAGTTAGTTATTTATTTATTTATTTTTACTTATTATAATAACCTAATTACCTAGGAGGTTATATTCTTAGTATTAATTTATAAGGTAATATTAGCTTAATATAGTTAATAAGTAAGTATAATAGATAAGTAAGTATAATAAAAATTCCAGCCTTTAAACTTTAAATTAATCTAAAAATACTACTAACTAATGTGGTTGATAAGTAAGTGTAATAGATAAGTAAGTATAACAGCTTAACTTATACCTTAAAATCCAGATTTTAAAAGCCTATAAAAAGCTTAAATTAAGCCTAAAATAGTTATAATTTAAAAATTACTTATTTAACTATAAAATAAAGCTATATTAATTATTAAATAATTCTAACTAATTTATTTATAATTAGTATAAAAAAAGCTTATTTATATTATATAATTAAGCTTTATTATATAAAGGAGATTTTTTAAAAATCTAAAAAAATTATATTATATAGTCTATTTTATACTGTCTTTAAAAAAACCTTTATTAGGCTCTTAGCTATTTTATTTAAGGTAATTAAATACTATAGGGTAGGCTATTTCTGGTTATATAATATAGTATTATACTTACTTGTTTATTACACTTACTTATTAAATATGTTATCTAATTAATTAAAATTAATTATTATATTTTTTTCTAAATATCTTAATTACTACCTATTACGACCCTAGCGGTTACGTCACGTGTACCCCTACAAAAAGCCTATGCAAGGCATTAGCCCCTTAATGGTTATAGACCAATCAGAGCTGGATCACCTCATAAACAGGATTACGATGCTCCAGGAGCTACCGTGATCTAGGATCACCGTGATCTAACTATACTAGTGATCCTCTTAGATCACTTCTAGTATATAGATCATATTTATTTGCACTTTTATAGATTCTAGCTTACTAGCTATTAATAAAACTTCTTTATATTAATTAAGCCTAATAT